AATGTGAACTGTGGGTTTACTATACGGTCCATAGTTTTTTGTTGCACTTACACAATGGGACTACTTTGCGGCTTGCATTACATTTCCTCCTGATGTTGCGATGCGGTTGATGGTTACACCACCAGCAGTGTCTTCGATAAGGAGGAATGTCAAAGCCAGGAGATGTGCCATGATGTCTGGGTCTCGAATGAGGAGGTGTTCTATTCTGGACGGCCGCCTTGTTCAATAATAATCAATAACAATGAGTATTGTGAATCAATAACAATGAGTATTGTGAATCAATAAAAATGAGTATTGTTATTGATTGGCTCACGCTTGCTGCGCCCTCTAGTGGTCCACGTGACATTTTTTTAAACTTGTTTAGAGTTTTGAAAGAACCAAAGACGATGTTTCACTTGTTTAGAGTTTTGTTGCTCACAGCGCCATCTGTGGCATTATTGGCTGCATTGTCATGAACACAAAATAGTTTTCACGACACTTTTTTTTTACTTATGGTAAGTACTCGCTTAACGCGTGCTTTTATACAACGCGTTTTTGCTACAACATGTTTTTGTTTGCATTCGGGGACACGTGCACCGTTATAATACGATTCCTGAGTGGTCGACGACGAACTACTTTCTTGAGCTGCGCGGCTGAGTGGAATGATACAGTTTGCGGAATGATACATCAACCTTCAGCAATGTGTCCCGCTATCTCACTGTGCGTGCGTACATCGTTTCTCGCCACAGCTGATCGTTACGCCGTTAGCGGCGAACTTGTTTTCGCTGAACGCGTTTTTCCTATAACGCGACACTTTTCAGGCACGTATCTAACCGCGTTAAACGAGGACTCAGTGTACACATGGAGGAGCAACCACACCGAGTCAAAGGACTATATTTCAGGAGGGTTATTCTACATTGGCTTTTTCTTTAGTTTAAAGATGTTTTCAGCCAATTAAGGATGAGTGTCTGTTATACAAGTGGGGAGGAAACCCGAGCACCCGGAGAATACCCGCGTGTGCGAGGGGGCAACACTATATCCCCGGACAGATGGAAAGAGACGGCGATTAGTCCCACTTGCTGCACTGCCTTTTTCTCCTGGCGAGACAGGGTATGGAACTTCATCGACGCCCACACGCTACGATGTGGCTCTGCGTCTCACGGCGCTTGCACAGAAGCAGTGGTAAGTTTTACAATTACAGGCAGAGTCGGAAGGTCTTGAATCCGGACGCGAAAGGAGGGAGCCTGGTGGAGGTGGGGGCAGGAGAAGTCGACAGCACGGATGACTGTGAGAAGCAATTTGCGATGTAATTACAAGAGATGTCAAACCGTGTTTGTTGGATCATATCCGCCTTTTAGAAATGGGCCGAGCGTTCCACGTGGAGGTGATCAGAGCGAGCAGCACAGCGCTCACACAGGGAGAAGGCGACGCAGGCTGTGGTCGTGAGCCTCGGGGTCAGGTTCATGGGTGGCCACCTCCACTCTGCTCTTGGCGTTAGTGTGTGGCGCGCGTGTGTGGCGCGCGTGTGTGTTCCGTTCCGCACAGGTGAACGTGACGCACGTGGGTGGCCCACCCTCCTCCCACCGCACCCCTCCCTCCCCCCTCCAAAGACAAAGATCCCCCGTATAGCCTTGGCAAGACTGTTGCGGCAAGTGCTGTCAGCGAGCACCTTTGAAGACAGGCACGGCACACGAGGAGTGACCAACACCACGCCCGGTCACCTTTGTCTCCCTAGTGGCGATATTTACACACAGCACCAAGTACTCACTTGAGGCTGAGTCGACCTAGGGGGTGGGGGGACCTTGGACCGGTTCAGATAATCGTCACCGGTGTTGGCCGTGAGCGGGAATCGAACTCGGGTCGCCGGGTTCGTAGCGCAGCGCAGCGCTCACCGCTACACCACCCACGTGTGTTGGGAGCGGTGGCACAATGGTTGTCGCACTACGAATCCCGCTCACGGCCAACCTCGCTGACGATTACGTGAACTGGTCCTGAGCCTCCCCTAGGTCGACTATGCCCGATACGAGCACCTGGTTTGCGGTGTGTAAAACATCAGCGCCGGTGAGACAAAGGCGGCCGGGCGTCGCGCTTACATCAACACCCACCTCCCGTCGTGGTTGCGCCGTGCCGGTCCTCGTAGGCGCTTGCTAACAGCACTTGCCCCAACAACCCGTGCTGGCTATACGGGGGACCTTTGTGCGCGCGTCCCCATGTTTGCTCAGCACCCGTGCGAGCAGCGAGGCGTACCGAGAGCCTCACGCGGAGCGGTCTCGACGCGTGGAGCCTTCAGCAGTCGTCTGAGCGCCCGGCGCCGTCAGCGAGCACCGATTTGAGGGCCGGCCCAGCGTGGCCAGCACCGCACCCGTCAGCTAGCCACTTTCTCGTGTGCCGTAGATGTAAAGCACTGCAGGTGCTCGTTTGAGTAGACCTAGGGGGAGGAATCGGGACCAGTTCAGATGTCACGCTCGCGACAGATGTTTAGGCGGTGGATAGGTAATTGAATTCAGGTGGCTGGGTTTTGTAGCGCATTGCGCCAACCGTTGCGCCACCGCTCCACACAGGTAGATAACACACGGAGGGGCAGACTGCAACACGCAAATAGACACACGTGCACACGCGCGCGCACACAGTCACACGATCTCGGGGATGGGATAGAATCGGAGGAGGATCGGATCAGTACGGCATCAGCGACGGATGAAGAGGCTCTTCCTAGGTGTGTGGCACCGTTACCCGGGATCGAATCCAGGTGTCCTGTGCCCGCGTGGCCAGTTCCCGTGCTGTGTCGCCAATCGGTGCTGCATTGTCCACGCTGTTCGTGTACGGCGGATGATGATGATGATGGTGGTGGTGGCGGTGATGGTGTTGAGTCTGCGATTGTTGTTGCTGGTACTGATGATTATCGAAATTTTTTGTGGTTGATGATTTGGGTGATGCTAATGCAGATTCATCATTGCCTTACTTCTGCTTTGCTGCTGACGATTATTATTATTTGACTCCTGCTAATACTGTTCGTACTGCAGCTGAAGATGATGCTGCTGGTAATAATGATGTCAATGCTGAGCGTTATTAATTTATTTCTGCTGTTGCTGATGATGATGCCGCTGATCGTGATCATATTGATTATTGTATTTTGTTGTTTATGTTGATATTTTTGCTACTGCTGATGATGTATCGCTGCTGTCGTTAACACCCTTTCCTGTTCCTGCTGGTGATGATGATATTTTTCTGGTGGTGCCGATGCTGCTGTTTCTGTTGATGATGATGCTACCGTTTTCACCGATGATGACCGTATTGATTATTTTCTGTTCTTGTTGTTCATGCTGCTGTTGCTGCTGCTGATTATGATACTTCTGCTGCTGATGATGCTGCCGATGATACTGGTGCTGATGATGATGATGTTGCTGCTGATGATGATACTGGTGCTGCTGCTGCTGATGATGACGATACTGATGATGATACTGGTGCTGCTGCTGATGATGATGTTGCTGCTGATGATGATACTGGTGCTGCTGCTGCTGCTGATGATGACGACGATACTGATGATGATGACACTGGTTGTGATGTGTCGATGCAGCATGCTTGCTGTCGCTCAGCCACCCCTAAGCGGCGAGGCGGCTGACGGTAGAGTTCTGGACGAGGAGGATACTGTGAGAGCCGGGGTCAGGAGTCGAACTCAGGTCCCGTTGCCCGAGGCACCGCGGCCCGGTCTGTGGCCGCTCACGGTGTCGAGGAGAGACGCTGAGTACTGGACCGAGTTCCTAAGTCGCAGGGTGAAGTCGCAGAGGGAGAGGGAGGAGAGAGAGGCGAACATGAGCTACGGGCAGAGAAGCAGAGGGGAGTGGCAGGTGAGCGCGCGTGTGTGTGTGTGGGCGTGTATCCCATAGGTCGACTCAGCCTTAAATGAGTACCTAATACGTTGTGTAAGCATCAGCACTGGGGAGACAAAGGCGACCGGGCGTGGTGTTGGACACCCACCGCCTCGAGCGCCGTGCCGGCCTTGATAGGTGCTCCTCTGACAGGACTTGCCCCAACAGTCTGTTGAGGCTTCGCGGGGGATCTTTGTCTTTGTGCCTTGCGTGTTTTTGTTGTTGTTGTTGCAGATTTGGTTTTTCGAAGAGCGGTGCTCGGTGCTTTGTTCACGATTGGAATCCAGCGGCCGCCTTGCGTGAAGAGTCGGCCGTCGTGCGTCGACTCCGCGGTCAAATTTTTTTTTTAAATAAAAAAAGTCAAAGTAAATGACTCGATTAGAATTACACGTAACAACATCGCCCATTACTTGGCAGGACCCTGAGTCACGAGTGAGGCTTTCCTGGATAATCCGAATAATAATAATTGGGACCTGTTTGCCAGAATCAAAGTATGAAAAAATAAGAATAGGTTTTACCCTTGCTGGCAATAAAGCAGGAGTTATGTTAAGATGTTCAAACGCCGAATATGAAACATTTTAGCAAGGTATCAAGTAACTGCATTAACCACACGCGTACTTGTGGTGAACATGCAAACACAAACACGTGGCTCTGATAATATTTGGCGTTGTCTTTGAAACCTGCACCAGAGTCGGCAGCCTTCTTTAGGGCCTCGTCTCACCACCAGCGTTAGGGCAGAGGACGCCAACAGGCAGTCGGGTTATTAAAAATAATAATAATAATTTGCGTTGATAAAGTGGTGCATTGCATCCGTAGATGCCTGCAATGCGCCATTGTGTGGATGGAAAGAAGGAAATAAATAGAGCATGCTGGGTAAACGGCCAGAACTATAGGGGGTAAAGGTAGAAAACATCTCGTCACGGTGGCGAGATGTTAACTATCTCGCCTGGTATGTGGGAGCTTGTGGGTTCGATCATGCCTTTGTATTCGGAGTTTGCATGTCTCTCTCACCGTGATCGCGTGGAATTTTTTTCCGGTCCTCCGGGTTATCCCTCCACATTTAGAAACACGTTTAGAGGATTTGGCTGCCATACATTTCCACGTAATGAGCCACTTCGTTGAGCTATCATTTGTGGCCAGGTCGCTTCTGAAAAAAAGCTGTAAAGCTCAGTGGGACCTTACCTGGTAAAAAAAAAAAAAAGTTAAATTGAAAGAGGTGAGTTTTCAAGAACGACTCAAATAACAGCTGTAACGACTCTCATCATCTTATTAGCCAAAGGCGCAAAGCGTTGTTCCAAAGCTTGGGAGTTGCACAGCGCAGTCAAAAGTGCGATGACCCCGTGACCTCGCCCCCCGCCGCCCCGTGTAGACCGTCGAAGACGCGGCCACCACCACCACCACCACCAGCACGGCCCCACCTCGCCCCGTCTTCCCAAGGACTTTCGGCGGCTACAGTCGCGCCGAGGCTCTGTCGGCCATGCGTACGGGCCGCTTCGGGGACGGCTCGAGGCTGCGCCGTCGCCGGGATGGGTCCTACGTGGACAAGAGGGGTGCCCTCCTGGGAGAGGACGGGCCCTTCTGGCCGGCGCGACGCGGCGAGCTCTTGCAGAGGCTGCCGTGGTGCGAGGCGGCCGCGGTGTCGGGGGAGTCGAGCCGGGCCCCTTGGAGAGACGCGGTGAAGGAAGGGAGGTCTCCAGGTGCGTTGGTGGTGTGGCTGGGCTGTTGAGGTCGTGGTTGCTGTGAGCAGCTGGGGCGGTAATAGTCAGAATCGCCGTGATGATCATTCGTACCAGCAGCGTTCACAGCAGCAGCATTATTCATAGTAGCAGCAGCATTATTCATAGTAGCAGCAGCATTATTCATAGTAGCAGCAGCATTATTCATAGTAGCAGCAGCATTATTCATAGTAGCAGCAGCATTATTCATAGTAGCAGCAGCATTATTCATAGGAGCAGCAGCAGAAATAATATAATCGTCAGCAATGCAATCATCATCGGCAATAACAGAATAGGCATCGTCATCAGCACCAGCATCAGAACAGCAAGGCCTGCTCATCATCAACAGCAGTAGCGGCGTCCGAGTTTACCACGTGAATGGTATGGGGTCCGGTCGCGCCAGTAAAATGGGCTTAGTTACCAGAATTCCCACAATTTTCTGATGCTGCTGGTTGCAACTATCAACAAAACGTCGCTTATGCGATTGCTAAATGGGTTTCAGATGACCAGCGGTGGTGCTGCTGCTAAAGCAGTCATACATTCCCAGCGTTCATCAAGTGACAACTTTATTAACCGGCTGCGCCGTGTGGAGGAGAGTTTATGACACGCATTTTACTTACGCGAGCTGACCCAACAAACTATACATGAATCATCGATCTGCCTTATCAGAATCCGAATCTTTATTCAGACTGGAAGAATCCGGAGAGCTTTGAAGCGCTCGAGATGCAATGTCATGCTTGCTGCAACGGCTCGCAATGGTAACGGATCTCGTGTTGTCGCCACATGTGTTTAGCGAAGCAAAGCGGAACAGGTATTGAGTGGGGTTAGCCCCAAAAATATTTCCAGGAACTGATCCGTGTTTATACTCCAACGATGTCCCTGAAATATTCGGATCACCGTCTTCTCAGGACTCCGAGGTCAAGGCTCTCCGTTCCTGGGGTGATCGAGATTTTGCCTGGCAATGTGCAGCTCTCAGACTATGGAACAACGCTTTTGTTCCATTGGTAATAAACCAATCTGAGTCCTTGGAGCTATTTCAGTCTTTCTTGAAATCTCACTCCTTTAAGTGGGTCTTTATTCCCACCTAGTTCTGGCCGTTTACCCTGCAGGTTCTGTTCTTGTCTTGCTTCCTCGTACATGGACGCATTAGGATACACGGATGAAATGCCCCACTTTGCAAATGTAAATTATAATTTGTGTTATTGCTACGTTGCCGGGCCAGTATGTAAGAGGCCAAAACACGCTCCAGAGGGCCTCTTTGGAACTCTCTCTTGCGGAGATCCTTCCACCAGCAGTGGCGTGAACAAGCAATTGCAGGGCTGCGCCTTTAACTTGTATCGCGAGATCCGCGATTTCCAAAAACGTCTTTCTGCTTGTGGATTCGGGAGAAGCAGACCCCCTTTTCTGGGGGGAGGGGCGCATGGAGTGGAGACCCCCCCCCCGTCTCAGTGAAGGTCTCTGTGAGTAGAGAGGCGCACGCGAAGGATGCAAATGCGAAATTCCTCCTGCGCAGAGTCTCACTGCACGCGCGAGTGAGCCGGAGGAATGAGCTCACTGTGTTAAACTGGGGGGATACAAGAACTGATGCTTCAAGGGCAAGGTCAAAAGGTCACCACACCTCGCCACCGCTTCCTTCCTCCTGCTCGCTTCTGCGGCGGTTACAAAGTCGACAGCCGCCCACGATGCTCGCATCATTGTCGCTGCCGAAAACCGGCTGGCTTTTAAGTCTTCATCTTGTTACCGCAGTTGACTGACGCCTCCTTCAAGGACGGCGCTTACGATCTCATCGCCATCACCACCACCGTCTGGGATTACCTCGTTCCTCTATCGTACTGCTCACGAATCACTGTGTAAGTCTGGGTGCAGTGCTTGACAGGTGTAATAGGCTGCGGTGCCACGTGTTTCGCTCGACGTGCCGAGGAGCTTCTTCGGAAACTGAATTCGCTCATTGAGGAAGATACATTCGATCGCTTGAAGAGGCTCCCAGCACGCGGCGCGAAACGTTGGACAGCATGCCAAACGACACTCGTCCACAACCTGGCACCATGTAGAAAAACTATCACCGTAGAATGTCATCTATGAAGGCCAACACGGCACACGAGGGGGTAGGTGGCCGTCATCACGCGCGGCCCCATTTCTTTGACCAGGTACTAATTTAAGGCTGAGCCGACCAAGGGGAGGGTCCAGGACTGCTTCAGATATGTATCACCGACAATGGCCGTGAGTGGGAATCGATCTCGGGACGCCAGGTTCGTAGCGCAGTGCTTTAACCAACTACGTTACCGCTGCCCCTGCCCAAGCCCCCACACACTCAAAGGCAAAGATCCCTGCTTGTGTAGCCTTAACAGACTGTTGGGACAAGTGCTGTTAGCGAGCAGCACCTGTGAAGGCGAGCACGGCACACGCCCACACCCTCCCCCACACTGAACGCAGAGCGAGCTGCTCACCCCGTGCGCCATTCATTACCTTTGCCACAGCGGGCGAGTGAACAAAAGCAGAGGGGTAGGAACTTGACACCAGCTCGCCTCCCTGCTGCTATTGGCCGCCGTTTGTTTTGCAATGAGGGCACTTGTCCGCATTTGCCACGCAATGCATCTTAGGCGCGCGACGCAGCGCGAACTCCCACGCGGTCTGCACATCTCGCGGGGGGGGGTGCAAGTGATGGAACGGAAGGCGCGCGCAATGCGATGGTGACTACAATGGAGAGCGCCCCAGGCCGCCGTGGCCACGTTGCACAGAATGCGCTCGGCCGACGTCGGATCTCGGGAGCTCAGTCGGGCTTGAGTCTCTGGGCAGTGTTGAGATGGCCCACAGCTGCACGCGGCAGCTTCTGCTATGGATTGGCTGCTGCTGCCGGGCGACTGTGTTGGGGCAGTGCAGTTCACTCTTTTTGACTTTTTTTGCAACGATCCATCAGGATCCTGTGTGCGCAAGCAGCCGATTTCGTTGCTCCGTCTCCATTTGTGGACGTCCGCTCTCGGGCGTGCGTTTCCGCTCCTTCTTCTCGACCACTGGCCATCGAACATGATGGTAGCGACGTTGCTCCGCTCGAGGCCGCTTGAGTTTGTCTGAAGGCTTGTCCCGTGTCTCCCAACGCCACGCTGTCTCTGCCGCTACTGTCGCTCCGTGTCAATTTGTTGTCCTTTCTCCCGCACCTCCGATTCATAATCGGAATCGGAATGTGTATTTGTGACTGGAGGACGAATCCGATGAACTGTAAAGCTCTTTTGCACAGATAGCCAGTCGGGGCACGGGGTCAGAACGTTACGACAGATTCTCTAAACGCACGTTTCTAAACGTGGAGAGAAAAACCGGAGGATCCGGAGAAAAATCGACGCGACCACGAGGAGAACACGCAAACATCAAATACACAGCAGCAGGCATCGTCACGGTCAGCATCGAAACCAAGACCTCCTGTATACCAGGCGAGGTAGTTAACATCTCCTAGCCACCGCAGCAGCAGCAGCAGACAAGCAAGGGCACGACTGAAGCTCTCTCTGCGTGCTGGGGGAGAGAGAGGAGGAGCAGGAGCCTGGCTTGTTGATGCCCACGTTGAGAGCGGACCTCAAAGGTCCTGGTGAAGGGCTCTGGAGAGCCCCGCGGAGTGGGGGGGGGTGGAGAGGGTGTGGAGGGGGAGGTGGAGGGGGGGGGGTGGAGGGGGGTGTGGAGGGGAGGTGGAGGGGAGTGTGGAGGGGGGTGTGGAGGGGGGTGTGGAGGGGGGTGTGGAGGGGGGGGTGGAGGGGGGTGTGGAGGGGGGTGTGGAGGGGGGTGTGGGGGGGGGGGTGGAGGGGGTGTGGAGGGGGGTGTGGAGGGGGGTGTGGAGGGGGGGTGTGGAGGGGGGTGTGGAGGGGGGTGTGGAGGGGTGTGTGGAGGGGGGGGTGGAGGGGGGTGTGGAGGGGGGTGTGGAGGGGGGGGTGGAGGGGGGTGTGGAGGGGGGGGGTGGAGGGGGGTGTGGAGGGGTCACTCCTCAAGGCCCCCTGAGCAAGTGGCGCCTAACGAAGCGTTCAGTCGTGAACGCAGCACGAGTGCACGATCATTAAGCCTCTCAGAAATAATAATAATGAATAATCCGTGTAACTTGTTCCACTAAAAAAATAAGGAACCGTGTGAATAGTTGGGATGTTTTGCCGACTCGGCGTTCTGCTGTTTGGTTCGGGATGGAACGTGGGGGGCTGGTGGGGGGGGGGGCACAGTGGAGTCGTGCAGCTGATGGTTTGGAGGCGATAATCAACTTTGTGATCGTTATCTTAATGCATTCGTGTCGTCATCGTTATCTTCGTCATCAACATCGCCACCATTATCGCGATCATCATTACATAATTGTTAGTGTGAATTTTCCAACATCGTCATTATCGTCGCCATCAACATTAACGTCATCGTAATTACCATCTCAGTAATCATACAAGTAATTCATCATTACGTTTTTTGTGTTAGATCGCGTAAATGTGTCGTATACCCACCTCCACCCAACACAGCATACTACAGTACTGACGTTTGTCACGTGAACAAAATGCGCCAATTATTTTCAGGACTACACACCGATGTTTGCTGACTTAAACAAATGCTGATGTAAACTATTGGCCTGGAAAGCCGATAGATCGATGGGCTAATACAGTATTTAACATGTACGGTCACGGACTGGAGTTATTCATGTGTCGTTCATATAAATTCGCATCAATTAGCAATGTAAATTATTCTACACCGCTTGCTTACCCAGGACATCATCCCGGAGTCTCAAGACCTTGTTTGCAGGAGGGCCCTACCAGGTTTTTGCTGTAGGGGGGCGATGGTGACCGCGTGTAATCCCAGCTGAGTTATTTGCTGGGAATCTTTCAGCATTCCTATTGCCATTTCCAATTCCAGTTCCATTGCACGATTTGTATTTACGAATACATATGTTTTGGGATGAAGGGAAACCAGAGAACCCGGAGAAACCCCCATGCAGATCAGGTGGAGAACACACAAACACACAAACGCCTACACAGAGGGAGGCGCCCGAGTCGCAAATCGAACCCAGCGTCAGAGTCTTCTTGCTGCCAGACCACGTGCGGTGTTGCCACCGCGCTGCCGTGGCCCCCAGCCTCCGTACGCCACAGCCACGTGGGCGATTTCGCTTCATTGATCGCTCTTCCACCCCCCCCCTCTCTACTACCGCCCTCCGCTCTCCCCATTCAGAGGGCGCACTTCTACGAGGTGTGGCCCACGCTATTCAGAGGTCGATAAATCACGAAGCCATCTCAATGATCCCCGAGAGAGCAGCTGGTGGGTGTGGTGCGAAATGTGAAAGGCCCTCACACCACCCTCTCACATCGCCACCTCCTCCTCCCACCACCACCAACCTCTTTGTTGTATATAAAACATGTTTGTGGCCATGTGGTTTCATTTAAACGGGGAGTGAGCTGCTCGGATATAAGACGCCACGTAGCTACCACCACCATCAACGTGATCACCTTGACTCACCATCACCACCGTCACCACCGTAGTCACCACTGTCGTACCGCGTGAGCGTCAAGGCCACTACCGAGTCCAACATCGCGACCACTGCCGTGACCGATCACCACCACCACCACGACACCGCTACAACCTCCACCACAACAACACAACCACCGCCACTTCCATCGCACGACCACAACCAACACCACCACGACCACCATCACCACCACGTCCACCCATCACATTCGTATCAACCCATCGGTGACAAAGATTCAGGCGGCGACGTTGACCGATGACAGCTTGACCACGTGGGGGGCGACGATGATTATGACGACGACGATGACGACGGCGACAACGACGACCGACGCCAAGTGGCATTAGCGAGGCGGCGAGCGGCCGCGTAGGGATGCGTGCGGCATGCGGCGATGGCCCAGGAGGAGGAGGGGGGGAGACATGGGGCCCGTGAAGGAGGATCTCCTGGGCCCCCCATCCTCGCACGGGCCCTTCTGGCCCCGGGACTGCGTGGGCCCGAGCAGCGGCACCCCGTGCCACGAAGCGGCCACGGCCCAGGAGCGCGACGCGTGGCCGCCCTCCGGTGCGGCACGTTTCATTCATTCGTTACGTCGTTCACTCACTCGTTGAATCGTTCGTTTGTTCGTTCATTCTTTTGTTAATTAGGACGGTGACGTGGCCGAGCGGCAGTGTGTTTGCCGCATGATGCAGAGGTTCGCCGTTGGGGTACAGTTTGTAAAAGGCATGCGTCTTGTCAGCTCATTAATTGGGTACCCTTTGTAAAATGCCATCTTGGGCGTGCGTGGTTCTGTTTCCTCATTCATTGGGTACCCTTTGTGAAATGGAACCACATTGGAAGAGAAGAGAGCCACGTCTGAGCACAAAGAGCAGGGCACCCGAGACCACAGAGGGATCTGTGTTGTTGTGGGGATCAGAGAGAACCGAGACTACAGAGGGATCTGTGTTGCTGTGGGGATCAGAGAGAACCAGAGACCACAGAGGGATCTGTGTTGTTGTAGGGATCAGAGAGAACCAGAGACTACAGAGGGATTTGTGTTGCTGTGGGGATCAGAGAGAACCAGAGACCACAGAGGGATCTGTGTTGCTGTAGGGATCAGAGAGAACCAGAGACCACAGAGGGATCTGTGTTGTTGTAGGGATCAGAGAGAACCAGAGACTACAGAGGGATTTGTGTTGCTGTGGGGATCAGAGAGAACCAGAGACTACAGAGGGATCTGTGTTGCTGTAGGAATCAGAGAGAACCAGAGACTACAGAGGGATCTGTGTTGCTGTAGGGATCAGAGAGAACCAGAGACTACAGAGGGATCTGTGTTGCTGTGGGGTTCAGAGAGAACCAGAGACTACAGAGGGATCTGTGTTGCTGTAGGGATCAGAGAGAACCAGAGACCACAGAGGGATCTGTGTTGTAGGGATCAGAGAGAACCAGAGACCACAGAGGGATCTGTGTTGTAGGGATCAGAGAGAACCAGAGACCACAGAGGGATCTGTGTTGCTGTAGGGATCAGAGAGAACTAGAGACTACAGAGGGATCTGTGTTGCTGTGGGGATCAGAGAGAACCAGAGACTACAGAGGGATCTGTGTTGTTGTGGGAATCAGTGAGAACCAGAGACTACAGAGGGATCTGTGTTGCTGTAGGGATCAGAGAGAAATCGAGACAACAGAGGGATCTGTTTTGCTGTGGGGATCAGAGATCTCAACCTTAATCATCTCGGAAATAAAATCGCAGGCATTTGTGCCCAGGTGTCTGAGACGGACGCTGTGAATGTCGTGTCCCAGATAGGAGAAGCAATGCACAGGTCCGGAAGAGACCGTGGCATGCGAGTGTTGTAGCTCTGATTGAGCGGAAGCGGTTGCCCTGTGAGGGACAGACACGTGGGTGCAGATTTAGAGTTGAGGGCCGGTGACCGAGACCCGACATTGGAGCGGTCTCCACGAGTCTGGCGACCATGGGGAGGAGAGAAGACCTCGTGGCAGATGGTGGGAGACGGTCAGGGCAGGTATTGCAGGTCGCCCCGTACGGGAACTGGTGGAGGGTAGGAAGCGTTTGTAGCGATGAGGTTGATGGTCGCGGTGGTCGTGGCGACATCAACCGTTTTAGCCACGGTGGCGAGATGTTAACTACCTCGCCTGGTACACAGGAGGTCGTGGGTTCTATTCCGACCCTGACGCCTGCTGCTGTATATTTGGAGTTTGCGTGTCTCTCCCCACCCGTGGTCGCGTCGATTTTTCTGCGGTTCCTCCGGCGTTTCCCTCCACATTTAGAATCAACATCACGCGTTTAGAGTGTCCGGCTTGCCATACATAGCCACACGATGACGGTGATAAGCCCGCTTCGTTGAGCTATCATTTGTGATAGTCAGGTCGCTTCTTAAAAATAATCTATACAGCTCGGTGGGCTTTACCTGGTAAAATAAACCAAATAGTTTGAAATAGTTTGCAGCTGATTAGTTTTTAATCTTTGTGCCCAGGTGAGCGCCTCGCCGAGGCCACGTGGCCGGGATGTGGGCGGCACGGGGCCACGGGGGGCGGCGGTCGAGCGTCCTCAGCGGCCGCGTGGCGAGGCCGCCAGGTCGTGTTCGACCCCGACCGATGGGGAACGCGGCCTCTGGTCCCGCTCACCTCGTCCACGTCGTCCACCGACGCCACCTCGTCCACCGCATCGCTCTCCGCGCCCCGCACGGGGCTCTGTGCGCCCGCGCTGGTCTTTGAGTCGCGGTTCGAGTCCGGGAACCTGAGACAAGCACGGCGAGTGTAAGCGAGCGCCGTGTGCGCACACCTGTGTGTGTGTGTCTGTGTGTGTGTGTACCTGTGTGTGTGTGTACCTGTGTGTGTGTGTGTGTACCTGTGTGTGTGTGTACCTGTGTGTGTGTGTACCTGTGTGTGTGTACCTGTGTGTGTGTACCTGTGTGTGTGTGTACCTGTGTGTGTGTACCTGTGTGTGTGTGTACCTGTGTGTGTGTGTGTGTACCTGTGTGTGTGTGTCTGTGTGTGTGTGTACCTGTGTGTGTGTGTACATGTGTATGTGTCTGTGTGTACCTGTGTGTGTGTACCTGTGTGTGTGTACCTGTGTGTGTGTGTACCTGTGTGTGTGTGTGTACCTGTGTGTGTGTACCTGTGTGTGTATGTACCTGTGTGTGTGTGTACCTGTGTGTGTACCTGTGTGTGTGTGTACCTGTGTGTGTGTGTGTACCTGTGTGTGTGTGTACCTGTGTGTGTACCTGTGTGTGTGTGTACCTGTGTGTGTGTGTGTACCTGTGTGTGTGTGTGTGTACCTGTGTGTGTGTACCTGTGTGTGTGTACCTGTGTGTGTGTGTACCTGTGTGTGTGTACCTGTGTGTGTGTGTACCTGTGTGTGTGTACCTGTGTGTGTGTACCTGTGTGTGTGTGTGTAACTGTGTGTGTGTGTACCTGTGTGTGTGTCTGTGTGTACCTGTGTGTGTGTACCTGTGTGTGTGTGTACCTGTGTGTGTGTACCTGTGTGTGTGTACCTGTGTGTGTGTGTGTGTGTACCTGTGTGTGTGTACCTGTGTGTGTGTACCTGTGTGTGTGTACCTGTGTGTGTACCTGTGTGTGTGTGTACCTGTGTGTGTGTGTGTACCTGTGTGTGTGTGTACCTGTGTGTGTACCTGTGTGTGTGTGTACCTGTGTGTGTGTGTGTACCTGTGTGTGTGTGTGTGTACCTGTGTGTGTGTACCTGTGTGTGTGTACCTGTGTGTGTGTGTACCTGTGTGTGTGTGTGTACCTGTGTGTGTGTGTGTACCTGTGTGTGTGTACCTGTGTGTGTGTGTGTAACTGTGTGTGTGTGTACCTGTGTGTGTGTCTGTGTGTACCTGTGTGTGTGTACCTGTGTGTGTGTGTACCTGTGTGTGTGTACCTGTGTGTGTGTACCTGTGTGTGTGTGTGTGTGTACCTGTGTGTGTGTACCTGTGTGTGTGTACCTGTGTGTGTGTACCTGTGTGTGTGTACCTGTGTGTGTGTGTACCTGTGTGTGTGTGTACCTGTGTGTGTGAACCTGTGTGTGTGTGTACCTGTGTGTGTGTGTACCTGTGTGTGTGTACCTGTGTGTGTGTGTGTACCTGTGTGTGTGTGTACCTGTGTGTGTGTACCTGTGTGTGTGTGTAACTGTGTGTGTGTCTGTGTGTGTGTGTGGGGAGTGGTAGCGTAGCGGTTAGCGCGCTGCACTAAGAACTCGATTCCCGCTCACGTTCAACACCAGTGATGATTATCTGAACCAGTTCTGGGCGTCTCCTACGTCGACTCAGCCTTAAATAATTACCGGGTGCAATGTGTACATATCGCCACCGGGAGACAAAGACGGCCGGGCGTGGTGCGTGGTGCTGCCCCCCCCCCCCACTCTCGTGCCGTCTCTACCTTCACAGGTGCTACCCGCTAACGGCACTTGCCCCAACGGTCTGCGGAGGCCACACGGCAGGGTGATGACCTTTGTCTTTGGCAGGGGCGAGTTCGAGTACGAGCTGGTGCTGCGGAGTGACCTGCACACGGAGCGACACACGCAGTGGTTCTACTTCCGCGTGCAGAGAGCGGTCCCCGGCCCCTCGTACCGGTTCGTGATCACCAACCTCCTCAAGCGGGACAGCCTCTACAGCCACGGTGCGGTGCCGGCGGGGGTATCCGTGCGAGATGGGGTCAGGGTCAGGGTGGGCTATAGTGGGGGGAGGGGGAGGGGGTGCGTGGCTCGGGGCAAATCCCACTACGCTTTCAAACTAAACCGGAAGTGTTGCATCTGACACTGTGACGTCGATACGCAGCGCCTCCCCCCCCCAAGCGCGGGGCCCGGGGCAGTCGCTCCGTGCCCTGGTTAGGAAGCTTGTGAGTTGGGTGGTCGTGGATGGATGGGTTCACTGGGCTGCCTCCTGTCCTTTCCCCTCGGCTGCAGCTCCTCCACACGGCTACACGATGCGGAAGAGCTGCAGCCAGGGGGGGTGGGCGGTTGAGATAATAGAGTGGTCGTGAGTCGGTGGTTGTGAGTGGTTGTAAGTTAATCGTATGGGTGGTTGAGACAGGTTAGTGACGTCAGATGATCGCGGCGAAGCAGGTGGCGGCGTGTATCTGCCGTGGTCAATGCACACCGCGCTATTAACCGGGGCGGTTCGCCGGATTCGAACCGCGAACCTCAGCAGGCATGCGCCCGCTGGTGTACTCGGAGGTGGCGGCGAGGTCCGGGGCTCCGGGCTGGTGCCGGACTGGACACCACATCCGCTACGGACCCTGGAGCAACCCCAGCCGCAATCCGCTACTCCCCGCCGGGGTGCAGTTCTACTGCCTCGACTTCCTCATGGTGAGTGGAGCGCCCACCTGCTGCCTCACCGCACCCTATACTGGAATTGAGAGTAAAGGGGCCGTCCATAAATGACGTCACGCACCTGGGGGGGCGGGAGGGGGGTCAGACATTTGTGACGATGTGTGACGAGGGGGGGGGGGTGGTTTGAGAAATGTGACGTCACGTGAAAATGCGCAACTTTAAATAAATATAGAATTGTTATAACAACTCTCCTACAGCATCAGAGTGCAGCGCCACATTAAACACCCACTACAATGACAACAGTTTAAAGCGATTTGAAGCATGTTTTATTTTAAAAATGGAAATATGGTTTTGGGGGAGGGGGGGGCAGAGCTTTGTGACGTCATATTTGAGGGGGGTCTGACTTTTTGTGACGCCGTGTGACAAGGGGGGGGGTCAAAAATCGTCCCAAAGCAGCAGCAGCAGCAGCAGCAGTCAGGGTGAATGGTGACCCAGCACTCGGTGATTCACTCCGGTCACTCGCTCGTTCTCCGGTGCTCACTCCCCTCCTCGTCACTCTTTATCCGCGACCGCCACGGCTACTTCTCCTGTGAGCTTGGCTCACCGCTTCCTCCGCTCAATTCAAGAGGCGCGTTACACGCGGCATCGATCGCAACTCAAACAGCGCTGCCCGTTGCTGGCCGCTTGACATTTGTGGGCCCTTGGGCCGAATGTGCGCTCAGCGGCTATCGATCGACCGGTCGACTGATCGATTGGCCTGTCGATCAAACAATCAACTGATTGATTGGTCTGTCGATCGACCGCTCGAGCGATCGATTGCCCTATCGATCGACCGGTTAACTGATCGTTTGGTTTATCGATCGACAGGTCGACTTATCGATTGGTCGGTCGATCGACCGGTCAACTGATCGATTGGTCAGTCGATCGACCGGTCAACTGATCGATTGTCCTGTTGGTTCTCTCTGTGTGCGCGCGTGTGTGTGTGTGTGTGTCTCCCGTGGCCGGTGGCGCGCGAGCGGCAGGAGTTTGCGCACGCGGGCGACACGTGCTACCTGGCGCACTGCTACCCCTACTCCTTCTCCGAGCTGCAGGCGCACGTGCGGGCGCTGCTGGCGCACCCTCGGCGCGCCGCGCGCCTCCGCCGCGACTCGCTGTGCTGCACGCGCGCCGGCAACAGCTGCTTCCTGCTCACCGTCACCGACTTCCCGCCCGGTACGGCGCGCGGCACAGCCAGGCGGCCGGGCCGGCCGGGCCCGCTGGCTGTGACGGCAGCACCTCGCAGATTTGCTCGACACGTTCATCGTTGTGAATATTTACGGGGTTTATCGATGGGTTGAATGATTCGTACGTGCGTCGCTCGAGCGATTGCTCGATTGATTGCTCGATTGATTTATGGGTCGATTTTTTGATCAGACGATTTAAATATCACCCAAATAATTGGCTTATTGACTGATCCGTCCACTGATTAGTCGATTTATGTAACAATAGACCGTTTGGTCTATTGATTGATCGGTCGATTGATTTGTTGATTGATCGGCCGATTTATTGATTATTTGATCATGGTTTAAATGATCGATTGATCGCTTATTCATTCATCAATATATCGATTCAACAGTGCAATCCCAGGCACGCGTCTCCCCGCGCTTCTTTGAGCTGTCATCGCAGTTTCCACCAGCAGCCGTACGTCATCACCCCCCCCTCCTCCTCCCTCCTCCACCCCCCCCCCTCCATAGACTCGGCTCAGGATGACCGCACGGAGGAGCACGCCGGGAAGCTGGGAGTGGTGCTCACGGCGAGGGTGCACCCCGGGGAGAGCCAGGCGAGTTGGATCATGAAGGGAGCCCTCGACTTCCTCACCTCCGACGAACCCAGCGCCCAGGTGGGTTCCGCGCTCGGGTTGTTAACCGGTAATCCGGTAACCCCGGTGACCCGGTAACCGTTTTTGAGAATCGATTACCGGTTATACAAGTCACGGCAACCGGTAACCGTTTCCAGCGGCATTTTTAGTGGGGAGAAGTGTGAGTACCTTGACTCCACCACACGTGACCTGCCGATGGACTCACCTGTGGTCCAGCCCATTTAGCACCGCCGCCGCTGCTGCTGGGAGGATTTAAGAAACCCGCGGCCGTTGTTTCGCCTGCCGCGCCGGGCGATGGGATTCGAGCCATGCGTTGGACACTCTTACCGAGTACACCTTCGATGGTGCCGTTTGTTGCTGTCCGCTAGGTGTTTCGGACCTGCGCCAAACAACCGTGATTTTATACGTACATATATTTATATTTTTCGTGACGCCGAGCAGCGCCGCATTGGTGAGTAAATGAGAAGCGGTGAAAAGTGGCCGGTGAACGTGAGAAGGAAGGAAATGAGCTGAACATGAAACATTATAATTTTTACAACCGACAAAACAATAACGACCGATAACCCCGTGACCTTAATAGAAAACATGACATAACACGTGACGTTTCGGGCAATGGTCGAAACGTCACGTATTGTACACGTGATCGTGATGCTCTGGAGTTGCGCTCTAATCGTTAACTGTGCACCAACACTGACACTGCAGCAGCAGCAGCATCACCAAAAAAAAAATCTGTATTTGTTTTTGCTCCGCGAGACTCTAAACCCACACGGCTGCTGCGGGGTTGGCCACGATACACCAGTGCAGCAGGTGGCTTCCCCGACCTTCCCCGTGTGAAGTCTTTCGCTGTGCTTTTTGCGTCCCGCCGTTTGGTACATCTTTTTAAAAAATCCCCGCAGGAGCTTCGGCGCAAGGTGGTGTTCAAGATCGTGCCCATGTTGAACCCCGACGGCGTTATCGTGGGGAACTACAGGTACGGGACGAGATGTTCACTACCTCGCCTGGTGTGTAGGAGGGCGTGGGTTTGATCCTGATCCTGACGCCTGCTGTATGTTTGGAGTTTGAGTGGTCTCCCTCTCTCTCCGTGGTCGCGTTGATTTCTCTCCGGGTCCTCCGGTTTTCCCCTCCACATTTAGAATCAACATCACGCGTTTAGAGTATTTGGCTGCTTTACATTTCCACAAGATAAGCCACTTCGTTGGGCTATCATTTGTGGCCAAGTCCCTTCTGCAAAAGAGCTACGTAGCTGAGTGGGGCTTACCTGGTAAAATAAAAAAAAGTTTAATAGTTTTAGTTCATAGCTAGGTGTGATGCGGGGTGACACTCGCGCGACCCCCGCGTCACGCACTCACCACTCACCCCGCAGCTCTCGTCTAAACTCTCGCCACTATCCTCCTATCAACTCGACTCATCGATTGTTCATTTATTATTGAAAAACAAGCCATACTCAAAAAAATGTACACCTTTTCCAAAACACAGCTATTCTTGCAGAGGGCGGGCGCGACCTAACCTGGGGAATGGGCCAAAAAAAAATCCCCCAATTTTCTCTCCCTGGCCTTCACCTCGCTAAGTTGTCAGCGGCGGTGTCGTCGTTGTTGCCGTGTCAGCGCTGCCGTGTGCCGTGCCGCAGGTGTTCGCTGTCGGCCCGCGACCTCAACCGCAACTACCGGCACCCGGACAAGGACGAGTTCCCCACGGTGTGGCACACCAAGCAGATGGTGGAGCAGTTCCAGAAGGACCGGCCGGTCAGCGTGCAGCAGCAGCAGCAGACACACACGCACGCACGCGCGAAAAGAAACGATGATAATTATTGCATCAACTGTTATCACTGCGCCACCGCACAGCGTTCGCTCGCCCTCGTAGGGAGAGGACGACTCAGAGGCGCGGGAATGTGGCAGCGGGAGCCACGCAGGGAGCCGCTGCAAGTTCCACCCCCACGCTCTGCGGTCCTCGATATATTAAGATGTTATCGGCCAGTTGTTAATGAGATTTACATGCGCGAGTAAACCGGAGCACGTTGAGGAAGCTCACGCGTGTCCCGTCCCCTTTCAGAGACGCCAGAGGTCATGGCCGGGTAGCCACGATCCTCGTAGCTCTGTCCACGATGTTTAACTCGAGAACTGCTCCCGGTTGCACCCGATTGTTCCAATTGTTTGTGCAATTAAAAAAAAAATCGCTGTTGAACAAAAAAACATCTCAAGAGGCGGATTTGAGCGGTCGTATTTATGCACGTTGAACTTCTTTCGCACCGTACGTAGCCAACCGTGCTCAGCTGAGGTGCGGGGGGAAGGACACCAAACAAAACGCAAACTAGTTCTAAAGCTATTAGTTTGTCCATCTAGACGACGATGATTTAAAAGTGCGTCGCTCCCAGTAGCTTCCTAATATCGGAAGGGAGAGCGTTCCAGACGGCCGCAGCAGTCGCGTTGACGGTCACCGCTGTCCGTCACGCCGCCGGTGTGGTCCTCGTGGCGCAGGTGATCCTCTACTGCGACCTGCACGGCCACAGCCGCAAGCACAACGTCTTCATGTACGGCTGCAGCTCGCGACAGCCACGCGGCGCCGCCAGTGCGGCGCTCTTCCTCCGCGAGCGACTCTTCCCCTGGCTCATGGCGCGCAGGGTGAGTCTGTCCGTGTGAGTCCGTCCGTGTGAGTGAGTCCATCCGTGTGAGTGAGTCCGTCTGTCCGTGTGACTCCGTCCGTGTGAGTCCATCCGTGTGATGAGTCCGTTCGTGTGAGTGAGTTCGTCCGTGTGAGTGAGTCCGTCCGTCGGTGTGAGTGAGTGAGTCTGTCCGTGTGAGTCCATCCGTGTGAGTCTGTCCGTGTGAGTCCATCCGTGTGAGTCCATCCGTGTGAGTGAGTCCGTTCGTGTGAGTGAGTCCGTGTGAGTCCATCCGTGTGAGTCTGTCCGTGTGAGTGAGTCTATCCGTGTGAGTCTGTCCGTGTGAGTCCATCCGTTTGAGTGAGTCCGTCCGTGTGAGTCTGTCCATGTGAGTCTGTCCGTGTGAGTGAGTCCGTGTGAGTCTGTCCGTGTGAGTCTGTCCGTGTGAGTCCATCCGTGTGAGTGAGTCCGTTCGTGTGAGTCCATCCGTGTGAGTCCGTCCGTTCGTGTGAGTGAGTCCATCCGTGTGAGTGAGTCCGTCCGTGTCAGTGAGTCCGTGTGAGTGAGTCCATCCGTGTGAGTGAGTCCGTCTGCCCATGTGAGTCTGTCCGTGTGAGTCCATCCGTGTGAGTGAGTCCGTTCGTGTGAGTGAGTGAGTCCATCCGTGTAAGTGATTCCGTCCGTCCGTGTGAGTGAGTCCATCCGTGTGAGTGAGTCCGTCCACGTGAGTCTATCCGTGTGAGTCCATCCGTGTGAGTGAGTTCGTCCGTGTGAGTGAGTCCGTCCGTGTGAGTGAGTCCGTCCGTGTGAGTCCATCTGTGTGAGTCCATCCGTGTGAGTGAGTTCGTCCGAGTGAGTCCGTCCGTGTGAGTGAGTCCATCCGTCTGTTTGAGTCCGTCCATGTGAGTGAGTCCGTCCGTGTGAGTCCATCCGTGTGAGTCAGTCCGTCCGTGTAAGTGAGTCCGTCCGTCCATCCGTGCGAGTCAGTCCGTCCATCCAAAGTGAGGCCGTTCGACTCGGACACATCAACTCGAATCTTGGAACTAACACCAGAGCAACACGAGCCGATGTCGTCGCTCCATCTCCGCAGCGGGCGTGAGCCTCCCGGCCGCGTGCGCACGGCGTGTGCACGGTGGCCTTCTGCCGCACCGCCCACGGCACTTGCCCCAACGGGCCCGGTTGAGAGGCCGCGCCGGGCCACCCTTGCCTGTCCGTGCCGGACGCAGGCCCCGGGTCGCTTCGACTGGCGCAGCTGCAAGTTTCGCATCCGGCAGGGGAAGGAGTCGACGGGACGCGCCGTGATGTTCCGCGCCATGGGCATCACCAACGCCTTCACCCTCGAGGCGTCGTTCGCCGGCTCGCGGGGACTGAGCGCGTACGGCCGGGTGGGGTGGGGGGTGAGGTGGGGGGGAGGAGTGGGGGGCAAGGGGAGGTGGGGTGGGTGGGTGGGGTGGAGGGTGGGCTGGGGGGTGAGGTGGGAGGGTGAGGTGGGGGGGTGAGGTGGTTAGGGTGGGGGATGGAGTGGGGTGCAAGATGGGGGTGGGGCGAAGTGGGGGCGTGGGGGGCAAGAGGAGGGGGGTGGTGTGGGGGGGGGGTGGAGTGGGGGGCAGGGGGGGCAGACCCACGCTCAGCTTTCACTCAACACTCATTTTATCCACACCAGAGGTGAGCAACATTGCACGTGTCGGAAGCCGTCAGTCAGCCTTATGGAGACCACCACCTCCACAGAACTGCGTCTGTGTGCGTGTGCTTTGCTACAAGCCCCGCGAACTGAGTTCCATTCCGTCCACCAACACCAGTGATAAATCTCTCAAGCAGTCCTGGGCCTCCCTTAGGTCGACTCAGCATCACACGAGTAACTGGTGCAGTGTGCAAACAGCAGCATTGGGGAGACAAAGGCAGCCGGGCGTAATTTCTAGCCACACCACTCCATTGTGTGCCGTTCCGACCTTCGTAAGTGCTCGCTAACAGCACTTGCCCCAGCAGTTTGTTGAGGCTATACACGGAATCTTTGTCTTTAGAAAAAATATATATATTTATATATCCTTTGAGACCGTGAGGTGGAACAAACGGAGGTGGTGCCAGGAAGCGAGGTGCGGGGCCCGGGCCCAACCACGGCGCGCGGGTCCCCACGACGCCTTCGAACCAAACGGGGGAAGTGCCACGTCTGAGAGCGTGACGTCTGACAGTGTGACGTGTGAGAGCGTGACGTCTGAGAGCGTGACGTCTGAGAGCGTGACGTCTGAGAGCGTGACGTCTGAGAGCGTGACGTCTGACAGTGTGACGTCTGACAGTGTGACGTCTGACAGTGTGACGTCTGACAGTGTGACGTCTGACAGTGTGACGTCTGACAGTGTGACGTCTGAGCGTGACGTCTGACAGTGTGACGTCTGACAGTGTGACGTCTGACAGTGTGACGTCTGACAGCGTGACGTCTGAGAGCGTGACGTCTGACAGTGTGACGTCTGACAGTGTGACGTCTGACAGTGTGACGTCTGAGAGCGTGACGTCTGACAGTGTGACGTCTGAGAGCGTGACGTCTGAGAGCGTGACGTCTGACAGTGTGACGTCTGAGAGCGTGACGTCTGACAGCGTGACGTCTGAGAGCGTGACGTCTGACAGTGTGACGTCTGACAGCGTGACGTCTGAGAGCGTGACGTCTGACAGCGTGACGTCTGACAGCGTGACGTCTGACAGCGTGACGTCTGAGAGCGTGACGTCTGACAGTGTGACGTCTGACAGCGTGACGTCTGACAGTGTGACGTCTGACAGTGTGACGTCTGACAGTGTGACGTCTGAGAGCGTGACGTCTGACAGTGTGACGTCTGAGAGCGTGACGTCTGACAGTGTGACGTCTGACAGTGTGACGTCTGACAGTGTGACGTCTGAGAGCGTGACGTCTGACAGCGTGACGTCTGAGAGCGTGACGTCTGAGAGCGTGACGTCTGACAGTGTGACGTCTGAGAGCGTGACGTCTGACAGCGTGACGTCTGAGAGCGTGACGTCTGACAGTGTGACGTCTGACAGCGTGACGTCTGAGAGCGTGACGTCTGACAGCGTGACGTCTGACAGCGTGACGTCTGACAGCGTGACGTCTGAGAGCGTGACGTCTGACAGTGTGACGTCTGACAGCGTGACGTCTGAAGCGTGACGTCTGAGAGCGTGACGTCTGACAGCGTGACGTCTGAGAGCGTGACGTCTGAGAGCGTGACGTCTGACAGCGTGACGTCTGACAGCGTGACGTCTGACAGCGTGACGTCTGACAGCGTGACGTCTGAGAGCGTGACGTCTGAGAGCGTGACGTCTGAGAGCGTGCCCCCCAAAGCGCGGGGCCCCACCCGGCCGTACCCCTCGGGGACGCCTCTGTGGCAGGACGTCGCGATGCTGCGGGTGAGCCGCGTCGGTAGCGGAGGGGGGGGGTCTCGCGTGGCCCCAAGGCGCCGCTCTCCTCCCCGTGTCCCCCCACCCCCCACCCCCAGAAGGAGCAGCGCCAGGGGCAGCAGCTACGACGTGAGCGACTTCCTCTCGATGGGCCGCAGCTTCTGCGAGTGCGTGCTGGACTACGTGGGCACGCGCGAGGACCCACGGTGAGCACGGGGGGGTGTGGGTGGTGGTGGGAGAGGTGTGGGCAGAGCCTGCCATGCTTGCGGACCCCCCCCCCACTCCCACCACCACCATCGCTTGTGACGACGCTGGCACTGCCCCCCACCAGACAAACAAACCAGTGCACGTTCGGGCAGCCCCCCCCCACCACCCCACGCGGCTGTCCGGCCCGGGTTGCGACTGAACTGATCGTGCCCCCCCACCCTCCACCATCCCCACCATCCCCCCGCACCGAGAAAGAGATCAGCGGCTTCTTGCAGCGTTCCGAGTCATTTTGTCAGCACGTTAATGTTACTCACGGGGCTTGGTGTAGTCCACGGTCAGCTGTGGAATTTCAGTCCGGAGGATTTAATTTAATCGTCTTTAGCCGGTGAGCGCCCGCGTGGTGCGACGTACATCAAACCTAACGCGTTGCCAACCTAAAGTACCGCACGTCTTCCTTCACATCCTCCCTCGTGCTCCTCCACCTCGCATCCTTCCCGCACGATCCCCTCCACCGCCTCCTCCTCCTCCTCCGCCAGGAAGCTCGCGGAGGCCACGGTGACCCTGACGGACGCCCTCGTGAGTCAGGCCACGGAGAGGGGCTGCTACGGCCCCGAGGGCCCGGCCGCCCCGCGGCAGCGAGAGAGGACGCCCCGGGCGACGGAGGAGGCGCGGGGCTCACCGCCCGCCCAAGGTTCGTTTCTCCCCCTAAAGGGGGGGGGGGGGCTCAACGACCCAAGTCGACCCGGTTCTCCTCCGGCTGTCCGATCGGACGGATCGGCAATGGCTCCTGCTCGAACGATAGAAGCGCTGTGGAGGAGTTGCAGGCCCTGAAATGGAATCGGAGCACGAGGGAGAGCAAGCGTGCTGTTAGAGACTGCGTTGAGAGTTGAGAAAAGTGTTTTGGGCTCGCTGTGCACGAGTCTGTGGGTCTCTTGTGTGAGCCTATGGGTCTCTATGTGACTCGATGGGTCTCTATGTGACTCGATGGGTCTCTATGTGACTCGATGGGTCTCTATGTGACTCGATGGGTCTCTATGTGACGATGGGTCTCTATGTGACTCGATGAATATCTATCTGAGCCTGTGGGTCTCAAAGTGACTCTGTGGATCTCTGCGCTTGACCGAGCCGCAGCCTGGTGTAACCACGTGTCGGTAAGCTGAGTCCCCGGGTGTTGAACCCTCGGATCTCAGCGCTGCCCCCTCGGGGGGGCGGGGGGGTGGGGGGGGGCCTCCGACCATTCAGCCGCTCGTCTTCCGCGCTCCGCTCAAATGTCCCAAGCGAGCGACTCGGAGCGGAGCGAGACTTCGGACACGGAGAGCGCGCGGAGAGAAGCCGACGGCATCGACGACGCCGGCGGCGACGATCGGACTCCCGCACGACCGCACGACCCCCGACGCATGCAGGTGCCCCCCCCCTCGCACAGATGCCGCCGGTGACCTCCGGTCAGCATCGCATCCACGGATCCGTAGGGGTGCCCACTGAGATTTTTGTCCCCACGGTGCCCAGTTTCTGGAGTTGCCTGCCCCCTTGGAGGTTGCCTGCCCCCAGTGTCTAGTTTGTTGTCCTTGCACTGCACCTCCGATTAGCACGGATGGCGACGTGCGCTGTGAAAGAGGTTCAACATACAGTGCCCCTGAGTCCTGGCTGAAGACCCCAGCACCGGTTTAACACGGCCTCCTAACTCTCGCTCTCTCTCTCTCTGGTCTCTTGTTTCTGGAGTCTCTCTCTCGCCGGTTCCTTCACTCATCCCTTCCACCTCTACACGCACGGCCCTCTGATATTCATTGTTTAAGGGCGACCTAAACATCTAATTATTGTTGTCACGCGAAGTTAATTCCAGGGGGGCAACGCAGTGGTAACACTCGCCGTGAGGTTTGTACATTCTCTCTCTCTCTGTTCTGTTTGGATATCCTCCAGTTTCCCCTCATAGCTAATAAAACGAAAATCAAATGGTGTAATTGGTGTTGGCCCAAAAACATCCCAGTACTGAAAAATGACCTTTCGAATGACTCCACTTGGGGACATCCCCGCTGCGTGGACGCCCTTGCAGGCCGACACGAAGCCGGCCGGCGCGCCGGAGCCTCCGGCGGAGTCGCCGGGACGCCGCCCGGGCGAGGGGGACGCCGAGCGGACGGGGACGCGGGGCTCCGCGGGACGAGGCTGGGGCCCTGACGCCTCGGGCCCATCGTGGGCCGGAGGCCCCGACGAAGTGCGCACGCTGGAGGAGTGCTACCGGCGCCTCGGCCGGCTGGAGCTCGCGCGGCTCGCGGCAGAGTCCGAGTGAGTCGCCCGGGGGGGGGGACTCGGGCAGTCGTCATCACCATCGTCGTCATCAGTCGTGGACTATCCACTGGATCACTTTCCCGATGCACGATATGAGCCGGCATAGGAGGCTTGGAGCTGCCCCGCTTCATGGAGACGGAGCGACGAGAGGCATCTGCGAGCTGCTCCCGACGCACGCACGGAATGAGTCGGCACATTATTGGGAAGTTTATCTCAACTTCATGATCACTGCAGAGTTGAATAATGAAGTTAAGTACCGCTTTGTGTAAAACAAACATTGGATGTTCTATGGATGAGCGTGCCCCCGGCCATAGAAATGTGGAACTCTCACCACTTGCCTGGAATGTCTGGTCAGTCGTTATGAAGTGGCTGCGTGTTGGAGAAACCCGGAGACCGCAGAAAGATCTCACACCTACCCAGAGAGAAAACACAAACCGATGGTGTAGACTCTTTAACAACCCACTTGCTGCACCGCCACCCTGTGGAATTTTCACCATTGGCTTGTGCGTGCACGTGCAGGAGCAGCGAGGACAGCAACAGCGACCCCGAGCCAGAGGTCAAGCCGGAACCGGCACGGAGGAGACGGAATCGCAAAAGGCACCGGGGTCCTCGCGCTCCAGGGCGGCTGCCCCCACTGGGGGGCCGGGTCCCCAAAGGCCCCCCCGACACGACAGACGCGCCCGCTGGCAGAGGACAGGTGCGATGGTGCCCCCCCCCCCTCTGTTGACCCCCCTCACCACCACCATCACCCCGTCACTGAAAATCTCAAATTTCACAACGTTTGTGCGGTGATCCACCAAACCCGCTTGGCTGCCGCCACCACAGGAGCAGCTCCCAGGATCGGCTCGCCCGGTGGTCGTCGGTGGCGGTGACGCCGGTGGCAGCGGTGCGATCTGCCGGCTGCCGTCGGGGTTGGCGCCGCGGTCGTACCCGGCGTTTGTGAACCGCTACCTGCACCGCACCAACCGTGGCATCCCCATGTACGCGCAGGAGCGCGTGGCCGAAAGGGCGGCGCGGGTGAGCTCACGGGTCGGCAGCGGGCCACCAGTGGGTCACGGGTCACTAGCGGGTCACAGGTCACCAGCGGGTCACCAGTTGGTCACCAGTGGGTCACGGGTCACTAGCGGGTCATGGGTCACCAGTGGGTCACCAGTGGGTCACGGGGTCACTAGCGGGTCACGGGTCACCAGCAGGTCACCAGCGGGTCACCAGTGGGTCACGGGATCACTAGCGGATCACTGGTCACCAGTTGGTCACCAGCGGGTCACCAGCAGTTCACCAGCAGGTGTATGTATGTGTCGTGTATAGTGTGTATGTATGTAATGTGTATATTGTGTATGTATGTGTCGTGTATATTGTGTATGTATGTAATGTGTATAGTGTGTATGTATGTGTCGTGTATATTGTGTATGTATGTAATGTGTATATTGTGTACGTATGTAATGTGTATATTGGTTATGTATGTAATGTGTATATTGTGTATGTATGTGTCGTGTATATTGTGTATGTATGTGTCGTGTATATTGTGTATGTATGTGTCGTGTATATTCGCGGAGCGTTTACACAATTGTACACGCGTGATTTCATCTGGCGTGCCAATCGAAGGCATCTAGGCAGGCTTGGAGTAGGGATCAATGGCGTAAGGCACTACCACTAGACTACAGAGTACGCCTATCCACAGCAATCTGATATTATTGTGTAGCCAGGTTTGTAAAATTGATGAGGATAAAATGAGGTGGGACGGATGCAGCGCAACAACCGCAAAATCCCCCCCCACCCCCCCCACCCCCCCACTGGAATTGCATTTCCGGACTGCTGCGGCTGAAATCAGTCGCCGGGGCATTTACGCAGCGCACGCGCTCACGTGCGACGTCGGCTCCGTCGCTGCCCGTGTGGTGAGCAGAGACAGGAGGAGCGCAGGAACTTCGAGAGGAAGGAGGAGCGCTGTGAGCCGACCGTGAGTGCCGCATCCTTCGTTCAGTCCAACCCAGAGCGAGCGAGCGTCGGTGTGGGTCTGTGTGGGTCTGTGTGTGTCTGTGTGTGTCTGTGTGAGTCTGTGTGGGTCTGTGTGTCTGTGTGGGTCTGTGTGTGTCTGTGTGGGTCTGTGTGTGTCTGTGTGTGTCTGTGTGGGTCTGTGTGTGTCTGTGTGGGTCTGTGTGTGTCTGTGTGGGTCTGTGTGTGTCTGTGTGGGTCTGTGTGAGTCTGTGTGTGTCTGTGTGAGTCTGTGTGTCTGCGTGTGTCTGTGTGTGTCTGTGTGAGTCTGTGTGTGCCTGCGTGTGTCTGTGTGAGTCTGTGTGTGTCTGTGTGAGTCTGTGTGAGTCTGTGTGGGTCTGTGTGTGTCTGTGTGGGTCTGTGTGTGTCTGTGTGGGTGTGTGTGTGTCTGTGTGGGTGTGTGAGTCTGTGTGAGTCTGTGTGTGTCTGTGTGAGTCTGTGTGAGTCTGTGTGTGTCTGCGTGTGTCTGTGTGAGTCTGTGTGTGTCTGCGTGTGTCTGTGTGAGTTTGTGTGTGTCTGTGTGAGTCTGTGTGAGTCTGTGTGTGTCTGTGTGAGTCTGTGTGAGTCTGAGTGTGTCTGTGTGAGTTTGTGTGTGTCTGTGTGAGTCTGTGTGTGTCTGTGTGGGTGTATGAGTCTCTATGTGTATGTGTGTGTCTGTGTGGGTGTGTGAGTCTGTGTGTATGGAGAGCAGTGGTGTAGCGGTTAGCGTTCTGCGCTACGAATCCGGCGACCCGGGTTCCATTCCCGCTCACTGCGAACTCCACTGACGATGATATGAACTGGTCATGGGCCTCTCTTAGATCTACTCAGCCTCAAATGAGCACCTGTGCGTGTAAACATCAGCACTGAGGAGACAAAGGCTGCCGGTTGTAGTGCTGACCACCCACCCCCTCGTGTGCTGTGCCGGCCTTCATAGGTGCTCGCTAACAGCACTTGCCCCGACAGTCTGTGAAGGCTACACGGGGGGCGGGAGGACCTTTGTCTTTGTGAGTGCGTGCTAGGGGCACGTGGTTTGTTTTTGTTCCCCTGCAGATTTGTTTTTAGAACGGCGGCGCTGCTCGGTGCTCTGACCTCTGACCCCGCACGCGGCCACTTCAAAGGCCACTCTCGCTATCTCTCCCTCTCCTTGCGCGCGGCATTAGAGGAGCGGTCGACGTCGCGCTGAGATTTGCGCCGCTGACAGCACCAGGGGTGGGGGGCAGGGAGGGGGGCGGTGGGGGAGGGGTGGTTAGGGAGGGGGGTTTGGTTCGGATCGCGGCGTCTGTGCCCCCCCCCCCCGCGGGAGGAGGGCCGCGCGTTCGGCCAAACAGATCGCCACGCTCACCTCCGATTAGCACGCTTCGCTCATCGCAGGTTGCGGCGTACGGTGCGAAGGAGGTTCGCCGTGCATGCACTCACAATCGGGCGGCAGTTCCACGCCAGGAGCGAGGATTGACGCGAGGTTTTAATTGACGCGAGGTTTCAATTGAAGCGAGGTTTCAATTGAAGCGAGGTTCTAATTGGGAAAGAGTTTAATTGTCAAACCGAGTCATTAATTATTGGCAGATGGGTATCGATGGGTCCGCGGGTGTTTGCTGTGGGGGGGGGGGGGGAGGTGGCGACGATTCCCGCAGAGCCCTCCCAGCCGAGCGACCAGCGGAAGGCGAAACGCAGTTCGGGCTCGGCACGAGCGAGGTGACCGCTCCTTTAAACTTTAAACCGTGGACTGGATTCACCCCCCCCCTCCCACCGGGTGAGAGTCGTCGGCGTGACGCAGCCGGCTCCGTCTCACGCGGCGCTTTGTCCTGCAGGCGCCGCTCCTGGGACGGGAGGTGCTGTCCGACTTGCGTTACTGCAGCCTCGTGTCCATCTGGCCGGCGAGAGACACTCCGGGGTGATTGTCTCCGGCTCTCACTCAGAGCCCTACAGCCACTCCATCATGGTCACTCTGTCACCTCCTTGTCGCTCTGCTACTATCTAAAAAGAGGAATTCTTTCATCATTGCCTCGTCACCTCCTTGTCTCTCTGTTGCTGCCACTGCCATGGGAGTTACGACACCCGTCACCACGTGTTGATGTACATCTGGGCATCAACACGTGCATGTGTCCATGCGTGTGGTTGTGGGCAACCGGGAGTGTAACGGTTAGCGCGCTCCACTACAAACCCGGTGGACAGAGTTCGATTCCCGCCACTAGTGACGATTATCTGAACCTGTACTGGGCCTCCCCTAGGTCGACTGAACATCAAATGAATACCTGGTGCGGTGTGTAAACATCGCCAGTGGGGAGACAAAGGCGGCCGGGCGTACTGCTGGCCACCCACCTCCTCGTGTGCCATGCCGGCTTTCGTAGGTGCTCGCAAACAGCACTCGCCCCAACGGTCTGTTAAGGCTACACGGGGGGATCTTTGCCTCTGTGGTTGTGTGTGTGAGTGTTTCTGTGCGTGTCTGGGCTTCGTAAGGGCTCGCTCACAGCACTTGCCCCAAAAGTAAATTATTAATCCGATACGGGGGATCTTAGTCTGTGTGTGTGTTTGTGTGTTCTCAGCCGTCGTCCCGGCCCCAGGAATTCCCTGTCCAGCCCCTCCTCGGTTCCATCCCGGCCCCAGCTCCCACGAGAGTCAGCGACAGGGGGAGGTCGAGCCTGAAGCTTGGCGAGCATCGGTTACGAGTGAAGCTGCCTAGGATGAATCCTCAACGTCGTCATCGTCAAACGTGATCAGTCCACTGCTGGATCAAGGTCTCCCCGAGACAGAGAGAGAAGAGTGGACTGGAGCTGCAGGGCAGAGATGTGAGCGATGATGTTCATGTAGTCAATGTGTGAATGGAGAAATGCGTCGACGATTAAGTTAATGTGTTTGTTTTAAGTGCGGTTTTTTTTTACATTTCTTAATCTGTTTTCTCAATGCATTACATTTTTTTTGCTGCCGTGAGACAAACGATCCACGCGTAAATGTCTCAGCAGCGTACCTCATGGGTCTGAGAAGTGGATATCGCAGAGCTACGTCTGAGAACCCTTCAGGTGACCTCTTACCCACACAGTGGAGCGCAGCACTCATCGACCCACACGCTCTGCGCACGGTGCTCAAACCAATACAAACAAAATAAAACATCCTTCAAGTGGCTTTGTTATTCTTTACACAACAGGACAAAGACAAATATCCCCCGCATAGCCTTCAACAGGCTGTTGGTGCAAGTGCTGTTAGCGAGCGCCTGTAAATGCCAGGACGGCACATGACGGGGTGAGTGGCCAACACCACGCCCGGTCACAATCGGACGCACACCACTGCGCTGTGAGATTGTGACATGTCAGTCGAACTGATATGGGGGTTTAAAAATAAAGACGTCAAAACATTCTCACAGCTGCGATGTAGCCAAATAAAGTGCAAATCCTAAGCGAACGCGACGGGTCGTGTTTTTCGTGCAGTCGTGTGATTGGTTGGTGGACCGGGCTGCGACATTCATCCACTCGCTCCGCCTGAGAACCCCGTTTCACCACATGCGGCTGAAACCTGGACTCTAACCCAGGCTGGTAGCAAGTTGCCAGCTCGGCAGCCTGACGTCTGCTCCAGCCGGCCTCCTCTGATCAACAACGGAACACCGCAACACATTCGTCAATAACAGTGTGTGGTCTTAACAAATAATACATAAAACGGGGCACGATTCTAGCAATGGTCCTCATAGCGCAACCTCGTGTGCTATGAGAAAAGGACCCATTTCTAGAAACGTCACGTGTCACGAAGAAGGGCCATTGCCCGGAACGTCGCCTTATATTGTTTTCCTTTTAATGAACAGTGTCGTCAAAAATGTTGAGTTCTATTTTGTTATGAGTGCTTTTGCACCACCACCACGGCTTGTAAACTCGCGGCTACATAATGTTTTTTTTTATATTTCACCAGGTAAGCGCTCACTGAGTTGTATAGCTCTTTTTCAGAAGCGACCTGACCACATATGATAGCTCAACAAAGTGGCTTACAGTGTGGACATTTTGTCGCAGCAGTCAAATACTCTAAACGCTTGATGTTGATTCTAAATGCGGAGGAAAAAAAAACCGGAGAACCCGGAGAAAAATCTGCGCGGCCAGGGAGAGAGAGAGACATGCAAACTCCAAATATACAGCAGCAGGCGTCAGGGTCGGGATCAAACCCACGACCTCCTGTATACCAGGCGAGGTAGTTAACATCTAGCCACCGTGGCGCCTCCACGCATCAGCAGCAGCAGCAACGACAGCAGCATCCCCAAATGATGCTCAATAAATACACAAATTAATAGCGGGGAAAAAACATGAGAATTTAAAAATAACCTTCTGTGAGGGTTGACACTCAGGGGGTGTGTGGCTCACGTGACTCGGGGTTGGTGCCCCCCACCCCCGGATCGCCTTGTACCAAAAATTGGAACGGTGTCATCTTTTCGCCAACGCGAGCACTTCGTGACGACAGCAGCATCAGCAGGTTAAGTAGCATCAAGTCGGGTCAGCATTACGAGGGGTATCGGAGGTACGAATGGTCGGATTTAGTAAGCGGCGGTAGCAGCAGCAGCAGCAGAGGCAGCGGTAACATTGGCGATAGCAGCAGCTTCAGCGTGAGCAGTAACAGCAGCAGCAGCAGCAGCTGCATCAGCTGTACCAGTTCCACGTTTATTTGTTTACCCAGCGGGGAAGTCAAAAGATCAGAGTGAGTCTCGTTGGCAAGAGCGATCGGAGGCATGAACAAAATGGCAAAAGGAAAACAAAAATCGCGTATAGCGATGGAGCAAATAGCAATCGCCAGTACGGTCGTGTGGCTTGTGCTCCAGCACTGTGGAGGCGAGGGTTGGTGGGTCACCGTGCGAATGCTGTGACGCTCCCTTGCCCGTGCGCCCCCAGTTACCATGACCCTGGCTGGCCAGGAGCGTGGCGGGTACGGCGAAGCGTGGACTAATCTTCATCTCTTTCCATCTGTATGGGGATACAGTGTTGCTCCTTCGCACACGTAGGGTTGCTCTGGATGCTCCGGTTTTCTCCCATATGTGTAATTGGCTGAAAACACCTTAAATATATATACAGAGGATCACAGAGCTTGGGCAATCCTCGCGCTTGGAGCCGTTCGCTCTCTTTGAGAGTGAGCGGCAACCGTGCACCGTGCAAGTTGTCCAGGACTACGTCGTGGGACCTCCTTTGCCAGGACCAAAATATGAGAATAGCTTTTCCCCTTTTTTCTGGCAACAAAACAGGTGTTGAGCTGTTAAAACACCAAACTGAATTATTTTACAAGGAATCATGTCTGCATTAACCTTTTGGCGTCCTCTGGTCTAACACCGTTTTGAGACTAGGCTAAAAAAAAAGCTGTCTCTGGTGTGGACCAATCAGATTCAAAGACAATGCATATATTATCAGAGTATGTTTTTTTGTTTGCATTCTGACCACAAGTATTGTGGTTAATGCAGACATGATTCCTTGTGAAAGGTTTCAGTTTGGTGTTTTAACATCTCAACACAGCTGTTTTGTTGCCAGAAAAAAGGGGAAACCTATTCTCACAAGTTGTAAAGAATATTGTTACAGTATCGGGAGCAAGCAATAGCAGCACCGACCATAGACCGAGCAGTAGCTGCACGTACCATCCGTGAAGACGAGGCGTGGGGATCTATGCCCTGACTCAAAGAGGCAGTGGTTGAAATTCCGCATTTCCATGGCGGGCGCCAGAAATTCCACGGAACAAAGCGCGAGGTACTTGCCGCAAGGTGGTACTAATTTTAGCGGCCCTGCAGAGATCTGCTTTGTTGCGTGGAACACAATTGCTTGGGTTAGTGAACTTAAACAAGTCGTGGGTAGTTTAAGAGCAGTGGCGCAATGGTTAGCGTGCCGCGCTGCGCTCTCAACGCGGTGCACCTAAGTTCGATTCCCGGTATCGGCTAAGACCCACAACCGCTGTCTCCACTCGTCTCCGTCGGTCTTTCGAGGTCTCCGTGGATCTCCTGGTCTCTCCCAGCACCGTGAAAGTTTCGCGTATCTCCCCGTGTTTCCATATAAGTCTTCCCCCGTCTCTCCCCATCTCTCCTCGCGTGCTCTGCCGCCGTCTCTCCCCATCCCTCTCCAGATCTTTCTATCTCGTCTCCCGGGTGTGCGCCGTGTGTCTGCCACCCCCGGCAGGACTCTCGCCGCGTGTAACCAATTCTCTCGCGGCAGCTGCCAAACCATCGTGTCAGCAGACACAACAGCAGCAGCAGCAAAGCCGCTTCATCCTGGTACAACTTTAGCAGCTCGTCAATGCGCAACCCCCAGTGGACTAGTCACTTCAGTGGCCACGCACTCACACACTCAGCCAGCCAGCATCGCCTGCCAACTCTGCTGCACTCTACCGCTCCATTGAGTTGCATTGATGTGAAGGTGCTGTTGGAGCTTGCCATGCCTCTGTACTCGGGTACGTATCCTTCATTGCCTATCCACACGTTGCACTCGCACGGCACTCGTCGCCGTCCATCCACTGCTGGACGAGGGCCACCTCACAGCCCAGGAAGCTTCGGGGGATTCACAAATCTGCACGTGATCCACCAACCCTCGCCTCCCAAGCACGCGACACGTGCTGTTTGTTGTTTAAATTTGTGAATTCAATGTAAGGTACGAACAGCCGAATTTACCAATCCACCGCTGGATGGCGGCCTCCTGCCAAGGCCGTGCGTGGGTCGTGCCGACTTAGTTGACCATACTTCACCACGCTGGTGAGTGCGGCTTGGTCGGAGCGGAGACGATGCACGGTCTCACCAGTTGCCTTCTCGCTGCCCACAGAGCCCATAACGCTTGTTATGGCACCGCTGGTGCATCCTGGTACGAGGCGATATAGAAACTAGTGCTGTAGGTTTATACACAGATGTACTTGTATCGGGTTTACTCTGCAGCGCCTTGCCTTAGGCTGACTAGATGTCGCTTAATAATGGCATCAATTCTTATAATGGTTATTTAATAATAGTAATCATAATGGCCATCCCTTTGGCAATCCACTGCTGGATGAAGATCTATCTGCACGCGATGTCAGACAACTGGGAGTTGTTTGACCATACTTCACCGCGTTGGTGGGCACGAATTGGTGAAGGGGGTGGGAGGCCAGGACCGGTTCAGGTAGCGCGCGCCACTGATGGAAGCCGTGGCCGAGAATCGAACTGAGGCGGCCGAGATCGCAGTGCAGTGCGCTAACCACTGCGCCACCGCTCCCCCCACCCCTTCCCCCTGACCCCCGTGATAATAAAAGGAATGCCAACGATGTACCCAGGAACAGCCTCGCGGAGTCTCAAGACCCTAGTGAGGGGGGTGCTGCTACATTCGGATGTTTGGCCAAATCCACGAATGAGACTTTGGCTTTCGTGCGTGTGTTTTTAGTAAGGCGTTTGATTAGCGCCGTGTATTGGGGTGTTTTGTGCTCGTAAGGCGATTTGCTTCATGTTGTGTGTGTGTGAGTGGGTGGGTGTGATTGCGTGTGTGTGTGAGTGGGTGGGTGCGATTGCGTGTGAGTGTGGGGAGCGGTAGTGTAGCGGTTAGTGCGCTGTGCTATGAACCTGGCGACCCGAGTTCGATTCCCGCTCACGGCCAACACCACCAGTGACGATTATCTTGAACCGGTCCTGGGCCTCCCCTAGGTCGACTCAGCATCAAATGAGTACCTGGTGCGATTTGTAAACATCGTCACTAGGAAGACAAAGACAGCCGGGCGTGATCCTGGCCACCCACCCCCTCGTGTGCCGTGCTGGCCTTCATAGGGGCTACTCGCGAACAGCACTCGCCCCGACAGTCTGTCACAGGCTACGCGGGGGATCTTTGTCTTTTTGTCGCCGCAACGTGGCGCTGACGTTTTTTTTTTCCACCTCGAAATGTCCCCTGCACGGTATTCGTGCCGCAGCCTGTGCCGCTCCACAATAGGGGTGGGGGAGGAGTTGGGTGGGGGGGTCGGCACGGGTTGCCTCCGCATGTCCCCTCCTCTGTTTACCAGCCTGACGTCTCCTTCTGACAGTTCAGAGGCCGGCGACAGCAGCGGGCCGTGGCTGCTGCATCTGTGGTTGTCAGTCGCTCTGAGAGCCACTCTGCGCATTCCTCCCCTAATGGAAGAGGCACGGGGATTGTGGGATTAAAATGGGGATTGGGAGAACGTTTTTAGTGGACGGGATTTATTTTATTTCCATGATATATGCCAAAGGGCCCGAGTGTTAAATCACACACGGATAATACATGATGATGATGATGGTGGTAATACTGTGCAGGTGCGCGCGGTTGTGCTACTGTTTGGATTTCGCCACTGTGTGATTTCGGGAGTGTGTCGCGGCGTGTGTTGTTCGGCTCGATGTCCGACGTTTCGCTCCGCGGGCTGCTGGGCGAGCTTCTTCAGGAAAAACTGAATGTCTGCAGACAAAAAAAATCTGACATAGCTAATGCCCGCTTCGGTAGAAGATGCGTGAACTAATTAACGTATGTCAGACTTAGGCACAAATTACAAAGCGCGCATTTGAGGTGGGCTGATGTCACGGCGGAGGCGTTAGCACGTGGGTGAGATGGAGCAGCCTCACTCGATTCCCGAGGTCACGACCTCATGGAGCTCAACGTCCGCAGAACGTCGATGTCGATTGAATTCGGTCGTGAAAAGCCTTTCAGTCACCGGTGAGCCGGAGAAGCTTTGTGGGTCAGAATGTGGTTAATACATCAGCCACGTATATATGATAACGTATTGTATTTGTAAACGTGACAATCTCGTCGGGTGGTGGAGGGGTAATGACACGAATTGTGGCACAAAACTACCATCACGTAGCCTAACCCAAAAATAAACGTGGATCAGAGTAATAACAAAGATGATCGTGTCGGTCATGGTAATCACGCTGATAGCGGTCGTGATGATAATTCCGATGTCGACACTGCTGATTATTATACATCTACTTCTGCTGATGATAACGATGCTGCTTATGATTATGATGCTGCTGATGATGCTGCTGCTGTCGATGCTTTTACTGATGATGCTGCTGTTTGGCCCCTGGGCCCCGTGGCGTCCACTCAGTGCGGGTGAAGTGGGGTCGCCAACTCCACTGCGTCACGGAGCTCGATACGAGCCGCCCGCCGCTGGCGTTCAAGTCTCGCCTCTTCTCCCTCACCGGGGTGCGCCCCGAGCGACAGAGAGTGGTGCTGCTGGGCACACAGCTCAAGGTGTGGTGAGGGGTGGGGGGTGACCTTGGCAGTAGATGCGGATGATACCTGATGCACAAATTTAAATTGAATAAATAAACTCTCCGGTGGGAGTGGTGCGACTGCGGCCATCCAGAACAGACGGTAGTACAACTCAGAACGACGCAAAGTCCCGCTCCACAAACACGATGAAGACATCGCAGCGATTCACTCTGCTGCTCCCTACGCGGTTATCCGGGCTTGACCACGTGAATGTGAAATCAGCCATGCGAAAGAAGAAGAATAATTATTTTTCAGTGTTATGTTTCTTGTGTTTTATTTTTTTCTTAGAATTATATATACAGCATATTGTATTTTTTTACTCGGGCAGAAATATGACTGGGTAGCTCAGATTGAATCCGGGATTTTTAGCCACCCAGCTGTGATGAGACCGGGACCTCAAACTGTGTGTCGAGTCGATCGTCTCCACGCTTTATCCTCGGTCGCCTGTGACTTCCATGTAGACTCGTAGACCTACAGATGAAGCTGTGGTGGAACCGAGTTTGGATGGGGAAGATCTTTGCCGATGTTCGCCGACAAAGCTGATCCTTGCACCAATCTTGGTTCTCGAAACGGAATTACGAAGGATTGTTCCATAAATTACTCGGAGTATGAAAATGATATTCCAATTATATCACCAGCTGAGATGAAAAACCATGTTTTAGCAAGAAGTAACCCTTGTTTGTAAGTGCAACCTGAGCATAAGTTTGAAAAGATAATATCGAAGAGCATTCATGGATTATTCGATGGATTATTGCTTTGCAGGGCCATGAGAGATGGGGATACCTTCATCCAGCAGTGGATTAATGATGACTGCTGGTGATGATAACATTCGTGTTCGTACCCCCTCCTGACTGTGGCTGATGTTGTCTTCCTTTAGGACCACAGCTGGGGGATATTGAAGCTCAGAGATGTGAGTCAACGTGGGCCCATCACAGCCCTCGCACGTCACCATCACGCACGTTCTCTCACTTGGAGTCTCGATCGAGTCTCAACGATTAAAACAAAACCAACTGTTTTGATTTTACCAGGTAAGGCCCGCTGAGCTATGCAGCTCCTCTTCACAAGTGACTTGGCCACAAACAATAGCCCAACGAAGTGGCTGGTCGTGTGAAAATATATAGCAGCCAAATACTCTAAACGCGTTGCTTTGTAGACGTAGAGGGAACAGCCGGAGAGAAAATTACACGCGACCACAGAGAGAGAGAGACGCGCAAACTCCAAATATAAAGCAGCAGGCGTCAGGGTTGGGATCGAACTACCTCGCCTGCATACCAGGCGAGGTAGTTAACATCTCGGGAAGACTCGGTTCTCAGGATCAACTCGCTCTTTCTTAGCCAATGACCTCCCACTACTGGGCCAAAGGCCTCCCCCCCTGTGGGAACATGGAATCACCATATCTTGCCACCACCATCCAGTGTCAAAGCCATTTCCTGTTGAAATGATTATTGAGGCATTGGTACTTATCTCCCGTTTATAGTGGTGGAGATTTCATGTTCCCATGATGGGGACAATGATATCCATACTATAACCACTGTTGACTTCCCTACTAAGTGGTACTATTTTATCGACCCAATAGATATGATGGGCTGAGTCACCTCCCCCCCCACCACCCAAACCAGGAGTTGATCTCGCTGGCTTCTGATTGCGAGCCTTTCGCTGTTCTAAACACACACACACGCGCAGATCTGTGCGTGTTCCCAGGGTGTGTGGGGAGTGGTGGTGGAACGGTTAGCGCACTGCGCTACGAACCCGGCGTTCCGAGTTCGATTCCCTCTCACAGCCAACACCAGTGACGGATTATCTGAACCGGTCCTGGACCTCAGCCCGAGGTGCGGTGTGTAAACATCAGCATTGGGGACGACAAAGGCGGTCGGGCGTGGTGCTGGCCACCCACTCCCTCGTGTGCCGTGGCGGCCTTCATGGACGCCACTGGCTAGCAGCACTTGCCCCAACAGTCCGTGAAGGCTTTACGGGCGATCTTTGTCGCTGTGCTCAGGGTGTGACGGTGCTGCTCGTCGGCACGACGGACGAGCTGCCCCTGGTGCCACCGGATCGGCCCCTGTTTGCGGAGGACATGTCCCGAGGAGGGCACCTCCCTTCTGCGGTGAGACCAGGCAGTGACCCCGACACCAACGCGCCTCTGTCGCCCCATAGACGGGCAGACAATGCACCAGGTGAGCGCACCGCCGCTCACCAGGTGAGCACACCGCAGCTCACCCGGCGACTGCGCCGCTCACGGAGTGCGCGCACCTCCGATTGGCACCGCTGGCTACGTACGGTGCGAACGAAGTTCAACGTACGTGCACAAGTGAGACAAAACAACTCCTGCACACATCTGCTCCCTTAACGGTGGAGAAACTATGTGAGCCTTGTGTGATTACGTCACCTTCCCCGCGAGATTCCCCCACCGTCCCCCTCCCCCCGATCCCAAAGTGGAACGCAATCCGAGAGAGGATCTCCACCGCGGAGATGGAGCGACGAACTCGTCTCGCGCGCAAGGCGCTGGGTGGGATTTTGCGTCGCAGGATTCGCGAGGGACGGCGGCGGCGGTGGCAGCGGAGCATTGGCGAGGCTCTTCATCCATCCAGCAGTGGCTGCTTGGGGTGGTGGTGGTGGTGGTGATGGTGGGGGTGGTGGTGATAGTAGTGGTGATGGTGAATGTGTGCTTCCGTCAGCTGGCGCCACCCGTGGGGCTGCTGAACCTGGGCAGGAGCTGCTACCTGAGCGCCGTCGTGCAGTGCCTGGGCAGCATCCCCGAGCTCCGAGCGGCACTCGCCGGGTGAGCGACGGGTACTCACCGGGTGGGGTACTCACCTGGTGAGCCACGGGTACTCACCTGGTGAGCCACGGGTACTCACCTGGTGAGCCACGGGTACTCACCGGGTGGGGTACTCACCTGGTGAGCAACGGGTACTCACCTGGTGAGCCACGGGTACTCACCGGGTGAGCAACGGGTACTCACCTGGTGAGCCACGGGTACTCACCGGGTGGGGTACTCACCTGGTGAGCAACGGGTACTCACCTGGTGAGCCACGGGTACTCACCGGGTGAGCAACGGGTACTCACCTGGTGAGCAACGGGTACTCACCGGGTGAGCAACGGGTACTCACCTGGTGAGCCACGGGTTCTCACCTGGTGAGCGGCAGTATTCGCCGGGTGAGTGGTAGTCCTCACCTGGTGAGCGGCGGCACTCACCTAGGCAGCCGTGAGATGCGCGTACAAGAACAAACAGCCACTAAGTGGCGGTGACGTTACCGCAGCGTTCGTGCCAGGCTAGGTGCACTCCGAGGCGACGTGGGAGCCTCTCCGGTATCAGCACCACCACACGCAGTGGCGATGCGCTCGCTAGGAGCACGTGGGACCGGATATCCCCACTGCGGTGTGAAACATCGTCACGGTACAATCACTCCCCTGCATCGTTCATGGTCATCATCATCATTATTATCATTACACTTGTCTATCCACGAACGCCTCACTGAGTCGAATTATTATTTTGCAGGAGGGCCCTGCCAGATTTAGTTTGCAGCAGGGGGCAATGTTTGCTTTCATGTATCATCCCCTTTGAATACTTTGCGGTGTAAAATTTCTAACTTTTTGGAACCAAATTTGGAACTACGATCCCGGTACACAATTGCCTACGGGTAACGCACACCGCGGTATTAACCAGGGCGGCCTGCTTGCTTCGAACCGTGAACCATCTGCAGCAACAAGATTGGCCGTGAGATGTTATAATCGTGAATATATTCCCGCGGCTTTTGCAGGTTCACGGAACGTCGGACAAAGCGAGGGGGAACAGAGGCTGCCGGGGCCTTCACTGCAGGTCAGAGGGTGGTGAACTCCACTCGGTCAGCGGGGAGCGGTGGCGCAGTGGTTAGCTCACTGCGCTCCAAAACCGACAGCATCGGTGGCGAATATCTGAGCCGGTCCTGGGCGTGCACGAGGTCGACTCAGCCTCAAATGAGTACCTGGTGCGGAGTGTAAACAAAGGTGGTCGGGCGTGGTGCTGGCCACTCACCCCCTCTGTTCCGTGGCATCCTTCATAGGTGCTCGCGAACAGCACTTGCCCCAAACAGTATGCTAAAGCTATACGGGGGACCTTTGTCTTTGTGTGTCTTCTAAGTGCTCCTCTCTCTCCATGACGCATTCGAGCAGCGCTACGCGACCTCTTCGACTCGATGGTCCGCGCCGCCGTCTCGGTCGACTCCTCCTCCTCGTCGACCCCGTCTCGCCTGGCCCAGGAGCTGCACCGCATGATGACGCGGGGAGGCTCCCGGGGGCCCTACGCCGCCCTCGCCGACTCCGACGATCCGGCCGATGCGGTCCATCCCCGCTCCCCCGCCGAGGGGCGACCCACGCCGGCCCTGCCGCCCGTCGCGCTCTGGAAGGCCCTGCACCGCGCCGCGCCCGACCTCGCGCGCACGGGGCACGACGGCCTTCACCTGCAGCAGGTGAAGGCCGTGGGACTGTGCGCATCGGTGCGGGTGACAGTGTGGGTGGGTGAGCCTCAAGTGAGTACCTGCTGCGGTGTGTATATGTCGCCACTCGGGAGGCAGAGGCGGCCGGCCGGCCGACCGGCCGGCCGGGCGTGCGTTGCTAGCCACCCACCACATCGTGTGCCGTGCCGGGCTTCATTGGGACACGCTTACAGCACTTGCCCCAACAGTCTGATGAAGCTAGACGGGGGATCTTTGTCTTTTTGGATGGATGCATTAATGATGATAAATGCATCTCTCCCAAGCCCTCCCAAATTTAACATTTCTCCAACCCTTCCATCGCTCCAAACGTTCCAATCCCTCCCACCTCTCTCGTCCTTCCACTCCCTCGCATCCCTCCAATCATTCCCATCCCTCCCATCCCTGCCACCCCCTCTCTCAGGACGTTGCCGAGTGCTGGACACGAGTGCTGCGGCTGCTGCGGGAGACGCTGCAGGTCGAAGATCCGGCCTGGGCGGACCCGGTGAGTAATCCAACCTGACCTCTGTCACCTTCTCGGCGGTCGCTGCCAGAAGAAGTCGGAGAAGCTGAAGGCGGGAGATGGGGGGAGATGGTTGAGGCTCACTTCTCAGATTCGGATTCTCGAGATGTGATGACACGCCCAGTAGCGATGTTGTACTGCTGCTCCTTCTTGAATGCGCAACCATCGATTCTCTATATTCGCCTGTCTCTCTGTTTACTCTCCACGTCTTTGTGTATCTCCTTGTGTCTCTCTGTCTGTCTCTCTGCCTCTTTCCCGCATCTATTTTGTATTGTCTGTCTCCATCGTGTGTGTCTCTCTCTCTGTATGTGTGTCTGTGTTGTCCCTCTTTCTCTATTTTTCCATTATCTCTCTGTGTCACTCTCTGCCTATCTCTCTAACTGTATCTCTCTCTGTATCTCGCTATCTCAATAAACGTGCGCGCGTCGAGTGCTGACTTGGGGGCACGCGATCTTTCACTGCGCGCAGGAAGTGTGGGTGGACGGAGATGGAAAGTTGAACTTCGTCGAACAGTTCTTCGGGGTGAAGGTGGACAAGAAGAAATATCCTTTCGTCACCCGCATCGCGATCACCACCATTTGCCGTGGGCGGTAGTCGTGTGGCATCCCACTCACTGATGGGACAGTCGGTGCCGTTCACAACCCTTGACCGTGACGTCGGTAGGACGCAGCATTCGCTGGAGAATGGAAAGAGCAGAGAGAGTGGAGAGACCCGGTACAATGGAAGTACCCAGAACAATGGAGAGACCCGGGACAATGGAGAGACCCGGAAAAATGGAGAAACCCAGAACAATGGAGAGACCCAGAACAATGGAGAGACCCAAAACAATGGAGAGACCCGGGACAATGGAGTGACCCAGAACAACGGAGATACCGCGGAGAGAGGGGAGACCCAGAGAAAGAGAGAAACTCAGGGAAATAATGAAGTCCCAGAGAATGGAAAGACACAAGAAGTCAAAGGGACCGAGAGAAACGGAGAGAGCCGGCACAATGGAGAGACCCAGGAGACGGGGGAGACCCGGGTGTCTCTCATCGAGCTCCGCCGTGCGACAAGCGACTCGGGCTCCGCGCTGGGCTTCTCGGCTTGCTTGGCACTGGTGGGTGAGCGGCAGGGTTGCCACCTGGCGGGTGAGCGGCAGGGTTGCCACCTGGTAGGTGAGCGGCATGGTTGCCACCTGGTGGGTGAGCGGCAGGGTTGCCACCTGGTAGGTGAGCGGCAGGGTTACCACCTGGTGGGTGAGCGGCAGGGTTACCACCTAGTGGGTGAGCGGCAGGGTTGCCACCTGGTGGGTGAGCGGCAGGGTTACCACCTGGTAGGTGAGCGGCAGGGTTACCACCTGGTGGGTGAGCGGCAGGGTTGTCACCTGGTGGGTGAGCGGCAGGGTTGTCACCTGTCCTGGTTTCCCAGGGATCGATCCTCTTGTTGTGGCAGGAAGCCGTCCTGGCACGTCTATAAAAGTCTTCCCTCAACACTGAAGGTCCTGGTTTTGTCAGCCGTGTAATAATTGTTTAATCTCTCACTCGATATTTTCCAAAACACTGCCATGCCGGCTTGGAGTAGGGATTGTCAGCGTAAGGCACTACCACTAGAAAGTAAGCCTATGCATAATAATCCTATATCATCGTACGCCATATTCTGCCGCGATATCCCTAAAATGTATAGTTTATTGATATCAGAGAAATACATTGCATGTTTTAGTTATATAAATGTAGGAGCCCTCTATTAAAAGCTTGACATTTTGGTACCACCACCCCCTTGGGAGGTTTCTAGATCCACCTCCGTCTGACCACCGTGCCCTCTGACCCACAGGCCGGGGTGGTCCGCCTCCCCGCGTACTTGGGCGTCCACGTGTCTCGCTCCCCTGGCGACGACGCTCACCTCCAGGTGTGTCCCAGACATCTTTGGCCGTGCCGGCCCCGCCCTGGGATGTGCAGCAAGTGTTAAGAGTTTTCTTGTTGCTCTGTCCACCCCACCCCTAACGTTATGATCCCGACCGTGCTCTCGGTGTCTCGCCGTCGCCACGTAGAATCCGTTCGGGTCCAGCTGAGGTTTCGCAGTCTGGGGCGGGGGCGAGGGGGGGATGATCGCAAATTCATGCCATCTCAAATTTAGTGATTTAGCGGTGTCGTTTTTCGAAATTGGCAGTGGTTGGACCGTGACTCCGGCACACGATGACCGGGTCAATTCGACTGACGTCACGGGATCTTTAATGTCGTCTGTGAAGCGGACGATGAGCAGTAGGGGTTGTTTTTGTTGTTGTTTATAATCAACCAGGGCGGCCTGCCAGAATGGAAGCGTGAACCTCTGCGAGGGTGGTCCAACATCGCCGCCCTGAAATAATTTGCTTGTCTCGACCTCCCGGGGTGCGGGTTGCGGGGGGTTTCTGTTTTTCAGGAGGCGGCCTTCCCACTGAGGGTGGACGCGCTGCAGCTGTGCAGCCCGGCGTTACGCGAGCGGCTGAAGCCCGGCAGGAGGCGCCTCCAGGAGATGGAACGCAGACGCCGCAAGCACGGCGAGCAGGTGCCAGCGGCCGCCGCCGTAACTATCGCCACGTGACAATGTCATTTGTTGGCCTAGGTCAGGTGGTGGAGGGGTCTTACGACAGAAATTTGGCCGGATCGTGATGTGGGCTCGCCCAAAAGTGAACCGATTATGATTCGGAAAGGAGAGCATACGACATCAAGGCGACCAGAATAGTTGTATGAATCTGGATATAGACATGAGAGGTACAAAGTGGGGCGCCATGGAAAGTGATTGAATCTAAAACGCGTGTCCTTGCTTTTAACTTAATTCTCGTTCCGCTCCGTGGATTCCTTCAGGACAGATCCTGGGGCAGCACGGCCTCGAATGACGACGATGATGAGGGTCACGATGGATCCGAGTGCTCCTTTGATGACGGTAAGTGACGCGCTGTATATCTAATCGCCACATGTTGTTGTTGTGATAATTGCTCTTCAACTCACCAAGTGAGCGAGCTGAAACAATACCACCTGGCTATGTCGGGTGGTGGACGGTCTTACCACACAAATTTGGCCAAATCATTAATGTGCATAGCCTGGCACAAAAAAAAAATCATCAATCGTAATATTTGTATGCGGAAACGACCTACTTCGTGTTATTATTATTATAACAGTGAATGTTTTCTGTAACCAATTGTCAGACGTGGGCTCCAACAACAGCGGCTACTACGACCTCCGCGCGGTCGTATCGTGGACGAGGCCCCGTTGGGAGGAGGATGGGGATGGCCATTATGTGTCCTGGCTGCACTGGGATGCAGGTGAACGGGGGGTGGGGGTAAGGAAAGTAGGGGGGGGGGAAGTGGGGGGATGGGGAGTGGGGGGGGGAGACTCTCTTCTGTGCAGGTGAGGAAGCCTGGGTATGAATCCTTGTTTCAGCCACTTCTTCCCACTGCTAAACTGGTTCATCAAGGTTGGCGAGTCTAAGCTAAACTATTTTAGTTTTACCATGTAAGGTCCACTGAGCTATATGGCTCTTTTTTAGAAGCGGCCAAATACTCTAAATGCATGTTGATTATAAATGTGGAGGGAAACCCCGGAGAAAGATTCACAACACGCAAACTCCAGATATACAGCAGGCGTCAGGGTCGGGATCAAACCCACGACCTCCTGTATACCCCAACGTGTTTCCCCGTCTGCCGCCAGGCCACTGGTGGAAATGCGACGACGAGATTGTGACGAGGGTGACCTCCGAAGAGGTCCTGTCGCTGCGCGCCGGGCGAGGAGGAGGTAGTGGCGGTGCGGCGTGCTTGCTGCTGTACGGCCCGCCAGGGTCCGCCTCGCCGGGGTCCGCCTCGCCGGGGTCCGCCTCGCCGGGGTCCGCCTCGCCGGGGTCCGCCTCGCCGGGGTCCGCCTCGCCGGGGTCCGCCTCGCCGGGGTCCGCCTCGCCGGGGTCCGCCTCGCCGGGGTCCGCCTCGCCGGGGTCCGCCTCGCCGGGGTCCGCCTCGCCGGGGTCCGCCTCGCCGGGGTCCGCCTCGCCGGGGTCCGCCTCGCCGGGGTCCGCCTCGCCGGGGTCCGCCTCGCCGGGGTCCGCCTCGCCGGGGTCCGCCTCGCCGGGGTCCGCCTCGCCGGGGTCCGCCTCGCCGGGGTCCGCCTCGCCGGGGTCCGCCTCGCCGGGGTCCGCCTCGCCGGGGTCCGCCTCGCCGGGGTCCGCCTCGCCGGGGTCCGCCTCGCCGGGGTCCGCCTCGCCGGGGTCCGCCTCGCCGGGGTCCGCCTCGCCGGGGTCCGCCTCGCCGGGGTCCGCCTCGCCGGGGTCCGCCTCGCCGGGGTCCGCCTCGCCGGGGTCCGCCTCGCCGGAGTCCGCCTCGCCGGGGTCCGCCTCGTGGCTCACGTAGCCCCCTCGAGCCACGTGGGTTAAGCCGCTCGGGCGAAGCTTCCCCCCTAGTCACCCCTAACCCCCATTTCACTGCTCGTGGACTGCGCTGGAGTGGTTGGTTGGTGTAAGTTGGGGATGGGCGACGCGTGTTACACGTCCACCACGTGTTACACGTCCACCACGTGTTACACGTCCACCACGTGTTACACGTCCACCACGTGTTACACGTCCACCACGTGTTACACGTCCACCACGTGTTACACGTCCACCACGTGTTACACGTCCACCACGTGTTGTGGGGGAGCGGTGGTGCAGCGCTTAGCACAGCGCGCCGACGAACCTGGCCACCAACAACAGTGATGGTTATCTGAAACTGTCCTGGCCTCCCCTAAGGCGACTCAGCCTCAAATGAGTACCTGGTACAGTGTGTAAACATCGCCACTCGGGAGACAAACACGGCTTGGTGTTGCCCCCCCCCTCTCGTAGCGCATCAGCCTTCATAGGTGCTCGCTAACAGCACTTGCCCCAAAAGTCTGCTAACAGCTATACGGGGGATCTTTGTCCTCGTCTTGTGTGTACCTGGGTTGGAGTGCGCGAGTGTGCGAGCGCGTGTGGTTGGATCGTGTGGGATGTCAATGAGCACGAAGCACCCTCCCACCAGCTGACGCGGCCACACGCGAAACCGATCCGCTGCCTGCACAAATATGCCAATGAGTGTTTTTGATTTGTATTTGAGCACCGCTATTTATTATCCTGTTTACAGCGAGTTGTAGTGTGGGTTTCATGTTAGTTTGCACATTCCCTCTACCCTGCGATGTTCTGTAACCACCACCACTGCCGACGTTTCTTGGGCTATCTGCAACTTTGGGTCTCAGTGTAACTGTATGGATCTCTCTGTAACTCTATGGATTTATAGCCAACTCTATGTAACTCCGACGTCCTCTAACCTGCCGACGCCCTTGGACAGTGGCTCTCCCTGGGAAAAAAAAGAGCTTAGCTCAGTGGTGAACTTCTTTTGCACCGTACATTGCCAACCGTGGTGATCGGGAGGTGCCAACCGTACAATGGGGCCTAACCCAGCTGAAAAGATTAAAGTCTGAGTGTATATCACTGCTAGGGGCCTCTTGTAGCGGCAGAACTGTGCGTGTCTTTGTTAATAGGTGGCCCGCTACCACAGGTATTGAGAAGCCCTATTTGGTCCCTGGGAAGGCAAATGTGCCCCACCCCTGACGTAGACAATGGGCACACGACTCACGAACATGCTTTACACGATGGCTTTTATTCCGGAAATCAAAATCACGAAGACCTGCAATTCACGTTTGATTTTATTAACTTCAAGTTTGTGCACACTGACCAACGATCCGGCAATTAAGGCATGTTCCTCTCTTTGACAAGTGTTCGTCCAAATCCCAAGCCGACAGGTAAAAATTATCTCTGATAGCGTCGAACATAAACATGCACGCGAGAAGACCAAACAGAAAGCAGCCAAGTAAGTCACCAACTTGAAAATCTCAACGTGTACAAAAAAATACCCAAAACGATGTAACGATTGTACATTACCGTATGTACGTCGATTTAAATACATCTCATTTAAACACGGGGAAATATTTCCAAAAAGCACATTTGGCATCTGACGGCCGGTTTCCTGTGGTCTGAGTATAAAATGGGACCCACTTGATTATGCCCTTATTTTGGCTATATACCAGCTGTGAGATTCAAAATATCAGTTTGAGTGCCATGCAAAGAACATTTGTCTGCAGCTGGGCAGGCGGGACGATGCTGTCTCCTAGTGTGTGCACGACAGGCCACTTGAAGGATTCTCCGAGGTAGCTCTGCCGTATCCGCTTCCGCGGGCTGTTGACTAAACACTCCGGGTTGTACCACTCTACGAGAGTTCCACGTGGAGTATTTATCTCATTACATGATGCCGCAACAGGGTGGGCAACATGACAAAATAGGAAATGTAAAAAAAAAGACCCCATAGGCTTGCCAAAGCAGTGCAGACATCATGCGAGCAGCTTCGGGAATTCGATGGACACGTTTGGCGAAGTTCTACGAGCACGCCTCTCACAACTTTTCCGGGTCACTGGTAGACCGGCTGGCCCCGTTGACTAGCCTTAGCCACACGTACACTGGGCGTGCCGTGCCAAGTGCAGAATTATTTTCCACCTCGCCAACCTGGACAGACCCGGAATGAAATATCTGCCCTAGGTACGACAGCACTAACCATGTTTGGCACATCAATGGAAGTGTCAAGAATGTGTTTCTGTCATGCTGATACACGTACAAAACAAGGGGGTAAATGGTTTAATGCTAGGAAGGGGGTAAATGGTTCAATGCTAGGAAGGTCGTGAATGAAAATGCAATCCCAAAAACAAATGGCTCGTGTATATTCCTAGGCAGGGTGTCCAAGGGAGTTATGACTCAACGTTGAGGCTTTAATAACAAGCAAAAATGCTTTACAGTTATTGTCAAGAACATCATTATGGTAATCCAGCGACATCACTGGCATATGCTGTTAGATCAACGGATGCAAAACGTCACCGACAGCAAGGGTTTAAATTATCACTTGACATTTTCCAGCTCGCTGGTAAACTAGAGTAGGCACGTGACGAGTAGCAGCCACAGCCGTAGTGCGAGGTACCCTGGATGTGGCGTGCTGGGTCAGGAGATATTTTCAAGCCATTTACCTGGACGGAGCCGGCTTAAGCCCTGCTTGACATCCCGATGCTGGTGTGCTGGACCATAATTTTATTTAGCGAATGCTTTTACGCGTGACTTTTAAACACTTAAATATTTCTTTTTGGGAAGTACACCTGCGTAGGTTTTCTTTGTCGCTGTGCTGTACAGCTCTCACGACGAGGTTTCAGATTGCGCCGCGCATCATTCGGCAAAGGCATCCCGACGTTTCGCTCCGCTTTTCGGGAGCTTCTGCAGGAGCCAAAGCAATTTCCGAACTCTGAAGAAGCTCCCGGGCACATGCGGCGGAAACGTCGGGCATCGAGCCGAACACGCGGCACAACCCGGCAACACGTCGAGGAAGAGCTAAAACTTTTAAGTGTTTCTCATTATTAATGAACGAACCTTCACACTAGCGTGTGACGCACAGAGGCAAGGGGTGTGTAGTCAGTAGATATCGGCTGCTTGGTTATTTGGGTCGAGGTGTCTTTTGAGTTCAGATGAAACTATTAATAAACAAAAAATACCAGGTAAGGCCCACCGAGTTATATAGCTCATTTCAAACCTGACCTAGCGGAAAATGTTTGCCCAAGTGGCTTATCGTGTGGAAATTTGTGAAAGCCAAATACTCTAAAATGCATGTTTCTAAAAGTGGAGGGAAAAACCGGAGGACCAGGAGAAAAACCACGCGATCATGGGGAGTACATGCAAACTCCAAATATCCAGGTGTCAGGGTCGGAACTGAACCCAAAACTTCCTGCATACATGGCGAGGTAGTGAACATTTCACCCCCCACGGGTGCCCCAGATGCTGAGCCCTTTCCACCACACGAGTAAACCGCACCGTGAGGTAGGCAAGCGCGTGCGCTAACCACTGCCGCTCCCTCCTTGCCCATAACGTCCCACGCTCCCGGTTGCAGCACTCCTGGAAGTCACATGAACTCGTCGGAGTCGTTTCCATCCTGGACAGAAGGAGAAACAAAAACGTCAACCCTGCCTCTCGCTCACACAGCACCAGTGCTCAAACTCCAGCCCCCATGCTTCAATGCTGTCCACCTCGTCATGCCCACTAACCAGCCACGATCCACCTGGCACCAGCGAACAAGACGATTTCATCGCTCCATCTCTGCGGTGGACGTCCCGTCTCGCATGTTTGCTCCTCTGGTTAGTCTCGACCACTGGCCTATCATCCCTTCTCACGATGTGGCCTAGCCAAGGTCGCTCTTTTGACGGCCGATATGATGCGTCTAAAAATGCGTCATGTTCCTCAAATCCTTTGCGTTCCACCTCTCCATGCTGCTTTGCAAAATATTCAGCTTTTTTAGGGTAAATAATGGTACAATATATTCATCTCCCCGGCAATACCATTCACAAATGCACTCTTTTTCAAAGCGTTCCAACTCGGGTTGAAAGCATGACGCATTGGCGGTTGTCCTCACGTTTATCTGTGTCAGAGAGCGGTCACAATAGCTCTTGTAAAGATGCCCAAATATAAATAAAAAATGTTTAAAGTAAAAATTTGTGTTACTATGACAAAAATACTCGATAGAAAAATCAAGAAAACTGCTGAAAGCGATACCTAAAACTAAGCGATAATAAACCAGTGAAATCGGAGTGAGAATTTCGGCCAAAAAGATATCGCACACCATGCTCGCGTCTTCAAGACCTGCATTCCAGGTGATTTAGATAATAGGCGTATGGCTCATCTTGCAATACAATAGCACGACTGGTGTCCCAGTTGACGCCTGCACTTGCTCTCATCACAAAACGGTTCGTTACCTGGTTTGAGGTCATGTTCTCTTCTTTCATGAGTGCCGAATAGCTCCTGAAAAAAAATAATCAGCGGCGTGTCAACAACAGGTGCTCTACAGCAATAACCACAAATATTACTTCCCCCATCAAACCATGCTGTTGACTCCCTGTCACGTTCAAGTCTGGGCTCAAGTATTTTCTCCCCTGCCTATGACTGCCCCTCTCTCTACACAACATGCCCAGTTTCTGTACAGCGCCTCGAGATGCGGCGGCATATAGAAGCTTCCCAAGTTCACATTGTGGTACAAATGTTGGGTGGAGTGGCGGCACAGTGGTTCGCACACTGCACTGCGAGTGAATTGGCGACCTTTCATTCCCTGCCACGGATAAACTTAAGTAGCTCGTGATATCCTAACTGGTCCTGGGTCGCCCCCTTTCATCAACCTGCACTGACTGGCATGGTCAAGTATGATCAAACAACCCCAATGATTGTTACGGTTGGAGGCGTCTGCATCCAACAGTGGATTGACAGCTGTACGTTATTGACGTTTTCCAACGAATGATGAAAGTATTTTTGCGTTAGCTATGTCCGTCTGCCTGTAGATGAGGCATGATAAGTGTCATAAAGAGAATCCAATATGAACTATAATTTAGTCAAAAGCTGTGTCGATATTAGGGACTCTGACCAAATTGATAAAAACAGTTGCCTAAAATTTAGTTATAAATATTAGGGTTAAAGGAATAATCCATGGGAGCAAATGGCTATGACGTAATTGGGTGCGACACCATCGCCCTACGCCATGTCGTGTGATGCCACCTTGCTGTGTGGCTCGGAAAATACCGTCATCCGTCACCATCATTACCAATTGAAAACTTGCGACGAGGTCAATCGGACAATCTGAAAGGGTTTACGGAATCCATGCATGTGCGCGATTATTATTCCTTGCAAATCGTATCGGGAGGGTGTCAGCTGCGGTACCGCAGCTCCTCCTGCTCCCTCTTCCTCCTCGTCTCCTCCTTCTCGTTGCGCTTCTGCTCCTGGAGCTGGGCCTTCTTCTCGCCGCGCTCCTCGCGGTCCCTATCCTCGCGCTCGCTCGCCAGGTCCGGGAGCCGTTCATCCCGCGTGCGGTTCAGCCGGTTCATGATCTCGTTCACGCGCTTCTCCACGGTCACCGTCCTCACCTGCCACACATCATCGTGAGTGTCATTAGCCTCGTCGTTATTGTCCTGTACATGGGCACCAGATATCCATATTGTCTTGGATCGGGCACAACAGAATCGGTGCGTAGCTATGGGAGTGAAGGCACGTTGACGTGGCGCCGTGTTGGCACGTGCGCCACCCCTACCGCATGTGACAGCCGTGCACATTGATGATGAGTGTCCCTTACGACGGCCTGAAGGTGCGGTGAGAAGGCTGGGTGAACTAGACGAAGTTAGGGATGATCAAGTACCGTAGTTGAGCGACTTGGGTAGTGACCTTTTACATCAACAGCAAGAAGACCATCACTGTCATTATCACCATCACTATCTAGACCATTGTGCATTGTGGGTAACAATGGGGCATTGGCACGGGTGTTGGTGGCTGTTGCCAATAACGATGATATTGATGACTTATGACAATAATGCTGATTATCATGACACCGAAAACCCGATAAGGGCTAATGAGTATCATAATGATGAGTCTTGATCAGTGTTTCTCAACTTCCGTTCAAGCGATCACCCATGATACAGCTTGCAGATAGCACCAAAGACAAAGTTCACCCATATAGCCTTAAACTACTTTTGGGGCGAGTGCTGTTAGCGAGCACTGATGAAGGCCGCCATGGCACACTAGGGCATCGGTGGCCAGCACCATGCCCGACCGCCTTCGTCTCTCCAGTGGCGATGTTTACTACACACCGCACAAGGTACTCATTTGAGGCCGAGTCGAACTAGGGGAGACCCAGGACTCATTCAGATAATCGCCACTGGTGTTGGCTGTGAGCGGGAATCGAACTGGAGTTGCCGGGTTCGTAGTGCAGTGCGCTAACCGCTACACTACTGCTACCTGTAGATAGCACCACAAAGACCAATATCCCCCGTATAGCCTTAGCAGACTATAGATAGCGCCACGTACTCACACACGCACTCACCTCCTTCTGCTTATGGAAGCCAACTTGCCCCACGTCCATGTCTGCCGTCTTCTTCAAGTTGCCCCAGGGCGTGTAGACCACGGCGATGTTGTTCATTTTATTCCCTGCAACCACGGAGTGCCTGGGTTCGTTAATTACATTTTTCATCATCCCCAGATCCGTGATCAGTTGTCCTTCTCCACACTTCCAATTAGCACGGTTGCTACGTACGGTGCGAAAGAAGTTCAACATACATACGTACATATATCCACTGCTGCTCCATCCCCCGTGCAGTGTTAGGGTGCCTTAAAATATCTCTCTTTCTTGATTGGCCACTCACCCTGGATGCTGTTGGCCTTCACGAGCTGAGCACAATCGATGAGCACCTCCGTGGGGATGTCATCCATGGTCTGACCCTGCGAGGGAGCAAGGGACAAAGCAATGTTTACAAAGTGCAGTGGCGCCTTGATGCACGAGCGTGGATTTATATCCCACCTCAGTTACGGACTCGGTCTAAAATACTGTTTCGTCTCACCCACAATGGGTGCTCAACAACCACAAACCACACTGCAGGTCACATTCTCACTAATACACTCACCCACTCACCACACTGCAGGTCACAACACTTCTCTTTCTGCTGCTTCTCTAACACTGCTCCACTTTGGAATTCCCATCGGCGTCTCTTTTCCCCAAGCTCTTATAATAATAACCAAGTTAAATTCAAGCAACGTGAATTTAACTTTCTGGCCACATGATGTTTAGAGCATTTTTAAGCCTTCGGGCCTGTGGTTAGAAAATGTACTTTTAAAAAATATGGCAAATAGGTTCCCACTTTGTAAGATAGGATTTTGTACATCCGGCCGATCAGCGCGATGGTGCATCTTGGTTTTAATATCTTATTTTAACCCTAGTTTTCGTTATGTTTTACCGTTGTGTGCTCGGTCACTGCGGCTCATCTCTAACCTCTGCAGGCAACGTTGCCCCGCAGCACATCAAATGCCCTTCTGCTATATATTCTCTTTACTTTTAAGAGGGAAACCATTTCAAATTAAATTTCGTATTAAAGCTTTCGTGACTGATTCATTGGAGCGCTGTCTTTCCGGCAGTTCTGTTTCTTCACCTGAGGACGGCTACTTGCGTTGTGGCCTGAAACGTCGTGAGAAGTTTTTATTTTTTATTTTTATTATTTTATTATTTCCTTTCTACGTGACTTTACCAAAAGAACCAAGAAGACATTTCAAATTAGTTTTTGAAAAAGAGCTCACCTTCTGCAGGCGTAGATACACGTGTGCTGAAGACAGCTTGTCCACGTGAAACCTGTGGTGTGGAAAGTCAAGTGAAAAAGGGGAACCCCGAATCAATGTAGTGTTACCATAATCGCGTGTGCATTTGTTGTTGCATCCAAAAGCCACTTTCAAGTACGGCACTGTGATATGTTTGGTAGAATTTGATTTTTTTATGACTTTACAAAAATAAAGTTACGATGAAAATGGGAGCGTTAAACACCTTCATGTGTTCTTACCAAACATCTTCAGGCCAGCCGTATTTAATAAGCTCCTCATCTGTGGCATAAAAGGATTTGAAGCTGTAAATGAACCTGTATAAGATGTGAAAATACAATACGTGAAATAATACAATTGCAGTCCCTTGTCAGTACAAGTATAATAATGTAAACTTGTAACACGCACACTATTCACTCAGTCTCGAAGAGGGAGAACGACTCAAGAGGAGCGAGCCGGACGGCAGCAATGCGGCGAGCCAGAGCCAACAATTGTCCAAGCTCTACAGTCCTCTATATACGAGGTGTTATCGATCAATTAATGAGTGTTTACTTGATGGCTGAAGGCTTCCCCGCGTTGGTCATGGGGGTTGACTAAACTTTACCATGCTGGTCAGTGCGGGTTCGTGTAAGGGAGAGCCCAGGAACGTTTCAGACTCCACTCACGACCAATGTTGGCCGTGGGTAGGAATTGAACTAAGGTTGCTGAGTTCATAAAAGGGGTCCCACTCTCTGGATTGTTGAGTCATTGTCTTGAGTAGAGGAATCTTGCCTTTGGTAGTTATTACACCTTTGGAATTTTTCGGGCGTTCCAATGCTCTTGCTGGGACACAACTGGCGATACCAACTGAATGATGGTGGGTGGCACACAAAAAAGAAACGAGCTTAACATCCCCGGGAGGACAACGCACTCCTTGGACACCGCACTCCTTGGACACCCAGCTCTCAGGATGGACAGGGATGGCCACAAACAGATACTCACTCTCGTACTTGTCCTTGCCCACGTATATCGTGTATGGTGTTGAACCAACTGTGAAAAAAGGTAAGTTATGGTCATTAATGTACGTATTACTTTTCTTGTTTAGTTATTTTTCGACCAGTTTTATTGTGATTGTGCTGTGGATGTAATGTGATGAGAAGAAGCAACAATTTGGAACTAGCAGAGCAGTGCATCCTATCCTACTACTAGAAAATGGCATGCAAAAGCGGAACTACTTCTGAGATGCCTTCAAATTACCTCCAGCCCATAAATTAGCGGGCAGCACTTTCTCTACCTGCCCTGCTGCGGAGGGTAATACTTCAAACAACACACAGAAACGTGTAAAAAACACAGCCTCTGTGCATATGCTAACCCAACGATTGGCATGGGCTTAAGAAGTGCATTGTGGTCCTCTTGACTTAGGTCACCATCACAATAAATGTGAGCAAATGTCATCGACTGTCAGCAGACGCGATGCAGACACAATTGTGGACCAGTTTTGTCCGTATGAGGACTCATCAGCACGGTTGAGTCACCAATGCTCGCTGCCGTAGACCCCTCCCTCTGTTAAACCATACAGGGAAATGTTAAAAGGGTGAGTGCGAGTGGGTGCTGTGGCTTGCAGTGTTGGTAGCTTAGCACTGTATGGACGAGACGCAAATGTTGGTGATTGTAAGAGCGAGTCGCTCACCCCCCCAAATCTATGTAAATAAAAACGGCCGAATGGACGCTAGTGTCCTCGATTAGGACTATTTCTGCATCGTCTGCCTTCAATCTTACACAACACAGTAATGGTGAAATTACAGTACCGTATGTAGTACAGTATATACTGTATATACTGTACTACAGTACGAGTATTTACAGCACCGTTACAGCGCATTGTCTTTTAAAAAACTATCCCTGCGTGATCGCCGTATCATTATCCTCAGTGTCACTGCTGTTACAAGACGTGTATTAGTCATTTAGCTTCGTATTGATTCGGACACCAATAAGCGTGACACAGCCTAATCGAATAGGCCGCACGTACCGTTACTCACGAAATAAAACACCATCGCGGCGCTCCTCGGCCCCGTTACCCTCGACACCAGATCCCAATGTTGAACTCCCACGGAGATATTAAATATTCACGCTGTCCCGACGACGAATGTTTATTCACAGCTCTCAACTAAATTACGTCCCCTCATTCACAAGCCCCGGCCGTGACACCCGAACTGAAATTCCCACTGCGGACCGGCGACCCTCGATGCCGAATCGCGCAGGGGAGGGGGGGTGTGGCTGCGGCTAGTCACGTGATGGGCAAATAACGCCCGGTGAGTGGTCAGAGCCCCCCCCCCACTACCGCATTGACCAATGATGGCAACAACATTGGCCAATGGTCCCTATCCGTGTTGTAAAATCTAATTATATTATCGGCTCCGTCTGAAACTCTCAGAATAATTTAGTTCATAGTTAGTTCATTTAGCCTGCAGGAGGAATCCGATGAGCTATAAAGCTCTTTTTCATAGCTGGCCAGTAGCCGGGAGAGGGGGGGGGGGGGTCAGAACGTTATAAGAACAAACAATACAAAGCCACGATAGGAGTGGAAAGGTAACCAAATCACCCAATAATATACAAATACAGCGAAACTATGTTTTTGGTACTCTTTGGTTCTATTCGATAAAGTCAAGTAGGTAAAAAATGAAACAACATTTTTTTTTACCTACGTGATTTTACCGAATAGAACCAAAGAGTATGGATCCTTGCAGTCACGAAAGCTTCAAATCTATGTTTTTGGTATCCTTAACAGGTAGAGAGGCCACTTGAGGTATTGACTTGTGTTTCAGAAGCGACCTGGTCCACAAATAATAGCTCCTGCAAAGTAAAACCAAAAAATATATATATTCTGGTGGGGGGTTCGTCGGAATAGGGCCGATCAAAAACCTGACACGGAACCTGCTAATTGTTTAATTCTAGATTTAATGCTTTCGTGACTGCTAGGATCCATACTCTTTGGTTCTATTGGGTAAAGTCACGTAGGTGAAAATAAAATAACAAAAAATCACGACGTTTTGGCCACAACACAAGCGGCCTTCATCAGGTGAAGGGACGAGACTGTCTGGAGGACAGCGCTGCGATAGGAGTGGAAAGGTAACCAAACCACCACTCCAGCGCTGTCCTCCAGACAGTCTCGTCCGTTCACCTGATGAAGGCCGCTTGTGTTGTGGCCGAAACGTCGTGATTTTTTGTTATTTTTGTTATTTTATTTTCACCTACGTGACTGCTAATTGTTGTATTCGTGTGCAGGGTCTGGTCTCAACGAGTCAGAGGGCTTCGGCTGAGAGGCAGAGATTTCGTGTCGTGTCGCTGTTCCTGCGGGCGAAGGAGCGCAGACTACAGTGGGTTTTATAACTCTATAAAAGCGAAAGAGATATACGGCAAATTGTCCGATTTTTTTTATAGTGTTACAAAATAAAATAAGTAAAATTCGCCCTCATTTCCATACCTGTCAACCCCGTATCAGTGCCCTACCTTATTACAGACTAATTCAGACCTTATTGGTCACCCCGTGCCCTTATGAATCTCAAAGTTCATCCTACAAAGTCCCATCACAAGAGAGAAACACAAATAGACACATTATGGGGGGGTGGGGGGTTGCCCATATTGAAACAGCTGTACGCCGTATGGACCTGCAAACTCAATTTCCCTGTACCAGAATCCGTGGTAAACCGTATGGGTTGCCAGCTATGTATTTATGTCTCCACATACAAAGCGAAAGTTAGTTTTGCTCATCCCATCAGCCGTACGGAACTTCATACTGGGAGCGTGCATCATTTCAGCCGCATTGGTTCAACACAACGCAAGACTCTGAACGGGTTTCGGAATGCAGTGTCTCATCAGCAGTCAGGCTTTGCTTGAAGCAATGCTGCTGAACTGCCCAGCTGTTTGTAGGCAACATGCCTCTCTCTTAGATGTGGGACCTAGACCAATGCTGCTGGAAGCGCACACTCCAACAAGGTCGTGTGGCTGACAGGATGTGTACAAAATACTTATTTTGTTTGTGTAAAGGGATAGTTTCGTGAAATCAAACACTATCTGCCTGTGCATTCTGTTTGTTATATTGCCCACAAGATGATTGTGTTGTGATGATTTCCTTCGTGGATTAATCACGGTACACATTTGGAAAATAACTCCCCTGTTAATTGGCATTGCAGGGCCTGGTTTGAGTCTACCTTGTGCCGCAAAGAGACAGCTGCCACCTCGGGGTGCCCTAGGCGAATGAATCATGACCCCCTACTGACAGATTCACGTCTGTGCAGGTCGGGTGCTGTCACCTTGTGCCGGGCGCAGGGACGTGTGCCATTGGGTGCGCCCTATAAGAGTGTGTTGAGATGAGATGCAAGCTGCGTATCGTGTGTGAAGGAATACAGACTCTGCACTGCCGTGAAGTATGGCCACGCTATCAAAAACAGTAAAGTATGTACGAATCGAAAGTCAACGATTCATCAGAAACAAGTCAGAAGTAGCAAATATGAATCAATAATAATCGATCAATCCATGTACGATTCGATACATCAATCGTGAGAACAAAAATCGATTAATCGTTACATACCGGCTTCAAAGATCAGTGCATGTAATGTATAAATAGGTGAATTAGTTATATATAAATAAGTGATTGATAGGTGAGTGAATTCATGAATTGATGGTTGAATGAATGAGTAGATTTATATTTGGTGTGCAAATAAATAAGGCCGTTCATGAAATAATTAGTGATTTACTCATTCATAAATTGAACGGGAATGTGGGTGAATGAGTGTATTAATTGGTAAACAGGTTTGTAAATTAATACATTGATTGATTGTGAACGCATAAGTACATTTAATAATTTAATGAGCCGTTAATGGAATAATCATTTAATGAGTGACTCAATCAGTTGATTGACTATTAAATATGTGTGTAATTGATTACATCAATTGATAACATCAATCACATTCGTAGACGGACGAGGGAATCAATTGAATTAATAGATGGTGTGACCAGATGGTGTGAATAGATGGTAAGAATGGATGGTAATTAATAGATGGTGTAAATGTATGGTATGAATGGATGGTAAGAATGGATGGTAATTAATAGATGGTGTAAATGTATGGTATGAATGGATGGAATGAATCGATGGTATGAGCGCCCTAACCCTTCAGCAAACCTTTTTTGACTCGGCACCACCCAGCCAGTGAAGAGGCTTACGACTCGCCGTTTGATTGCAACTATGACACCATCCCCACCCACAGCCCCATTCAGCCGCCGACCCCCCCCCCCCCCAGAGGAGATGGCCAAGAGCGGCAGGGAGGTTTTAATTGAGTCACCACTCCGTGAGATCCACACCCGACCGCTCCGCGCAGGGCACGTTCAAGGTGTGTCCGATCAATTAATCAATGGCTTAATTTATGGGATCAGGTGTGTCGCTGCCGAGATTGCGTGTCTCTTTAAAGTGTGGTCGTCTGGGTCACTGTTAAGTTGCGGGGGTGGGGTGAGAGGGGTGGGTGGGGGGTGGATTGTATTATTGTTTATTTGTTAATTTAATATTTGAAGCGTGAGTTTAATTGCCATTGTTTTTATTGACTTGTTCTCTCACACAGGGTGGTGGTGCACAGTTGGCGCCGTGAGTTCCCAATGAAAATTCGCTGGGCTCACGACATGGGAGGCCCATAGCACATTCGCGAGTTAACCGATGTCTGAATTACAATATTGTTCAAAGCATCATCATAATGATTAATTGAAACGTGATGTTCCTATTGCTATTATTATCATGATCACGATCACACTGCTATATATGCTTTGAAATATGCTTCCAATTCGCGAATCAAGCGTGATACTAAGGATAGCCCCTCCTTCTGTCCACGGTCGTCGTGCCGGCCTTTGTTGCTTGCGAGAACCATCCCACTCATTATTTGCGCGCAACCCACGAGCACGGCCCTGACACAGCACGCGGCAGTGGCAACGTCAAGTTCACTTGCACATGTGGCACTCGTACAATGTGTGTCAGTGTGCCAGGGAGCCTCCGCTTACATTTACTCTCGCACGCATTTAGACGACGCACGATGTTCATCTTTTCCGACAATCGCCCCGCCAGCTCACAAGCATCCTTTGTGCCCATATCGTGTATAGTGAGTGCTGCCTGTAAGTGAGATCACGAGCCTGAATGTGTTATCGTGGGTGGGGGGTGGGGTGAGTTGGATGTGGGTGTGGTGAGCGGGGGTGGGATTTGGTATGACAGATTTGAATGTGTTTTATTAGATTGGTGGATGGGGCGATGGTTGGATTGGTGAATTGGTGGTTGGATAGGTGGGTGGGGAGAAGTGTGGTTGAGTGAGTAGATAATTGGGTGAGTGGTTGGGTGAGTGGTTGGCTTGGGTGATTGATTGGATGGGTGAGCTGGTCGTAACAGATTTTACAGGTCTTAATGTATAATCGTGGCTGGGTGGATGGTTGCTTGGCTTGTTGGGTGGAAGGGTGGTTTCGCTGGGTTGATGACTGAGTGGTTGGGTGGTTAGCTGGGTAGATGAGTGTCTCGCTTTGCGGTGGAAGGTAGCTGGGTGGGTGGAGGAGCGGCGGTGTCAGGGAGGGTTGGGGCGGCCGCTGGTTGGCTGTTGACGCATGATACAGCAGCAGCAGGAGCAGCAGCAGCATTAGCAGCGGGCAGCCCTCTGTAGAGCACGTCTCCATGCACGCAGCTGCTGCAGACAACGAGAGGCAACAGCAGCAGCAGACAGATTTCATTTGTAGCGAAATGGGCCCCTTCACGGATATCAAGGTAAGATCCACCCACACATTCTGTCTGCCACAAATAATCCCGTACGCTCATTGATGCAGGCTGTGTCTATCTGCGGCTTTGTCTCTCTGTTATTCTCCGTCTCTGTGTCTTTACTGTCTGGATATCTCTCTCTGTGCCTGCTCTCTCCGGGTATTTCTGCTTCTACGTCTGCACGTGTCCTTTTTCTCTCAGTCATTGTGTGTAGTCTGTCTGTGTGCGTGTGTGTCTCTGTCTCGTTGGCTGTCACCGCCTCTGTCCATCTCTGACCGTGTCTCTGTGTCCTTGTCTGTTTCTCTGTCCACCGCCGCGCGATCTATCCGTGCGCATCACGGAGGCCTGCGGCGGGGGATGATGGTGCAAAGCTGGAACGACGATTCGTGCGGTGCTGTAATGATGTCATGCGCACGCGCGTGTGTGTGTGTGATTTTATGTCGGTGTGACACTCAATATCGCGATGATTTCACGATTGCCTATCGTCATCATCGTTAGCCATGATCGATCCGCTGCTGGATGAAGGCCTCCCCAAGCCGTCGCCATCCATCACGATCCTGCGATGCGACGATCCAACCGGCATCTGCACGCGAACCGATCCCGTCGCTCCATCTCCGCGGAGGACGATATCTTGGGCACGTTCCCTCCTTTGGCTGCCAGTGCTTTGCGTCGTGTTGCTTGTAATCATAACCACAATCGGACAGGTTCAATCCACTGCTGAATTAGCCTCCACCACCACCGAGCCGTAGGCGTCGCTCACGATCTTGCGATGTAACAATCCACCCGGCACCTGGTCACGAGATGATGTCATAGCTCCATCTCCTATGCAAAGGCACGTTCATACATACTGTACACATATGTTTGAAATAAATGATGAGGCTAATTTACAGCCCTCTGTCGATTCACAGAGGACTGTAAAAACCTAACGTGTAGAGAGATTAAAATAAACGTACGTGGTAGAGCGGTGGCGCAGTGGCTAGCACACTTCGCTATCAACCCAGTGACCTGAGATTGATTCCCGGCCACGGCTAACATCAGTGGCGCACGATATCTGAACCGGTCCTTGATCCCCTCGCTTCATCGACTCGCACTGACCACCGTGGTGAAGTATGGTCACACATCTCCTATGGCGGAATAGGGCATTCATCCAGCAATTGATGAGAACAGTTCTTAACATTATTATTAAAGAAACAGACAAACATGACGTTAATTGGTTATTTCGGTAAAGTCACGTAGAAGGGATACAATAAAATAATAAAAAATTAAAACAATAATTATTTTATTGTTTCCCTTCTACGTGACTTTACCGAAAGAGCCAATAATATGAATCCCTGCAGTCACGAAAGCTTTAAATCAAAATGACGTTAATGATCAAGAATACATCATTAACATTTTAGTGCATTTGCATGTGTTGGTGATGTTGTTTGCTGACGATCCTTGGACCGGTTTCGACTTATCTGAGTCATCAGCAGGGTTGGTGCCTTGAAACCAACGCCGCTGGCTTACCAGGCGATATGGGCTTGCTGGTTGTTGCGGGACCCGGTCGGTCTCTGTACTGCGTGCATATTAACAATGACCTACATTAACATTTAAATAATTTGGTGATATTGCGTTGGCAGAGGCGCAAGAAGCACAAACCACAACGACACAAACTCAACCCATCCGTCAATGGTCCTTTCTCAAAAGGGAAAATATGAGGCGACGCTTCGGGCAATGGCCCTTGTTCATGAGACATTATTGAGATGCATGACTTCAATATAAACACTCGTAAATAATTGTCAGGCTCATCATAGCTAGCAGGAACAGGAGTACATCCACCAGCATGTCAATAAACATAAACTCAGGGAATTTTCATAATTTATATAATCATATATAATAATCGTCAACCCATCATCATCACCATGGTCATCAGTAATAGATCATCAGCAGTCGTGCGAGGGCCACTGAAATATTCCTGGAGGCTCGATGCAAAATACCAGAATGAGACCCCGAGTGAGGAGGATTCCTCGGATCTGATGCTCGAGCCAATTGGCTCCACCTGTTCCCCACTCTCCCCCTCCCTCCCCCTTTAACCGTGTGTGTCTGTGTCTGTGATCTCGTGTGTGTCTATGTGATCTCGTGTGTGTCTATGTGATCTCGTGTGTGTGTGTGTGATCTCGTGTGTGTCTGTGTGATCTCGTGTGTGTCTGTGTGATCTCGTGTGTGTCTGTGTGATCTCGTGTGTGTCTGTGTGATCTCGTGTGTGTCTGTGTGATCTCGTGTGTGTCTGTGTGATCTCGTGTGAGCTCGTGTCTGTGTGATCTCGTGTGAGCTCGTGTCTGTGTGATCTCGTGTGAGCTCGTGTCTGTGTGATCTCGTGTGAGCTCGTGTCTGTGTCTGTGTGATTTCGTGTGTGTGTCTGTGTGAGCTCGTGTGTGTGTGTGTGATCTCGTGTGTCTATTTTTGTGTGAGTGTGTGTGTATGTGTACTAAAAGGTCTCTAAGGTGCAGGTTAGAGTACACGGCAGATAGACAGCGAGTGATGGCTGTTCAGCAGTCTGATGGCCTGATGGTAGAAGCTGTTTCGTAATCTGTTGGTCCGAGTACCGTCTACCAGACGGTAGCAGAGTGAACAGTCCGTGACTTTGAATGGGGGCATCGCGAATACAGCAACTAAGGCGTCATGAGCGGCAGCAAGATCATCATCAGCAGAAGCAGCGGTGTCAATCTTAATCATCATATCATATAATCCTCATCGACGGCAGAAACTAAATTATCGTAATCGGCTGAGTAAATGATCATCACTTATGGAATGAATGTCGGTAACTCACCACGGGCCTCGTTAGTGAGGCGCGGAGACTCTGATAGGGATGGGAGATAGTGCCAGGGCTGGGTGGCAGTGGGGGTTGAGGGGGACGGGGGGCGCAGCGTTGGGTCTTGTTTATATGGGAGGGAGAGGGGACCCAGGGCTCACGTGTTGACACCGCCCCAGGCACGCGCTTCAGGCTGGAGGCGGCCTATTGGACGTCCAGGATAAGTGTCGATTCTTGCGACCGATATCAGCCAGAGAGAACGACAGAGACGCACAGACATGACCCCTCATGGAAGTCTTCGATCCGTGACGCCTACCCCACTAGCCCAACCCCCCCCCCCTCCGCTCTCCTTTGCCCCCCCTCCCCCGCCCCCCACCCCCCCACCTAACTACGCCCAGGGCCAGAAGCCCCAGTCGCGATCTTGTGCTGGGTCATCGCGGAGCCGCATACCCCGCCTGGTTTCCCGGCACAGCCCCGACGGTCCTGATGAGGGAGGGGGCACCACCACACCGTCCTCCACCCCGTCCACCCCGGCCACCCCGGCCCAGGTCCCGGGTCTCGCCGGCCCACCCGAGCGCTCGCGGCGCCGAGAGCAACGCAGCGGCTCCTCCCAGTCCGGTGAGCGCCTGAGGCTTCAGCGGTGGCGTAGCTAGTGAGTGTGCAGGCTGTGCAACTGCGCCGATTTCCACGGACTGGAGAGGGTGGGGTGGGGGGGCGGGTGCTGGGCTACAAAGAGGAGGAAGGCCCTCCCCCCCCCCCTCGTCCTCCCTTCCGTGGGCTCCGGTGACGAATGGGATAGGGGACCACCTTTCATTCCGAGCCCCGAGGGCTCATGCAAACAACCACACCCCTACGTGCACCACCAGGAGGCGTGTAAACTCATCGACACGCATCGCCCGTGCAGAAGGACCGAGTGCCGCCTCGGGAGCGCCGATTAAGAGCCGCCGGAGAGCAGCGGCAGCCTGTCGCCTCCGACGAGACGGAGCAGACCGCGGCACGAGCATGGCGAGGGCAGAGGGCGCCGCGCGCTTCAGCTGGGACTGAGCAGCGCCATGGTCCGAGCCAGCCTCGCTCTGGCTCGCTCACGCTGCTCCCGTGACCGTCGCCTGCCCTCCACGTGGGTGGCGGTCGCTGCAGGGCCACTGCCTGCGCAATGGTTACGCGACTGTCATTTATTTTTTTTGTTTTAAGCTGACGGAAACGAATGCTGGTCCAGGTTCAACGTTGGTACCGCCACCTCAAGGGGGAGAACAGAGGGGGGGGGGGGGGATGGGGGAAGAGAACGGGGGGGGGGGGGGGTGGAGGGAACAGGAGGAGGGGGGAGAACAGGAGGAGGAGGGGGGAGAACAGAGGGGGGGGTGAACAGAGGGGGGGGAGAACAGAGGGGGGGGGGGAGAACAGAGGGGGGGGGAGAACAGAGGGGGGGGGGGAGAACAGAGGGGGGGGGAGAACAGGGGGGGGAGAACAGGGGGGGAGAACAGGGGGGGGGAGAACAGGGGGGGGGGGGAGAACAGAGGTGGGGTGGGGGGGAGAACAGAGGGGGTGAAGAAATAAACTCCACAGAGGGATGCAGGCGAGTCGGGAATCGAACCCGGGCGCTTCTTGCCGAATGTTTCCAACTGCGCCAATCTGTCGCCCTTCTAGAAGGGGGAGAGAGCGCCCTCGTTGAGCTGGGTGGAGCCGTTTGTTGTGAGAAGCCGCAGTGACTCACCGAGTCAGAGGGGGAATTGGTTTCACGCGAGGCGGAGGCAGCAGGATGCGCGAGGAGGAGGATCCTGTGTTGTGCTCTGCGCGAGCTCTCCGGGGAGTGGCGCTCAGGGCATCCGAGTTCTTTAACTTTCCACTCTGTCTGAAGCTCCCGTGACAATTTACGTTCAGGGTAAAGGCGCGGCCCCTGCAATTGCTCGCTCGCGCCACTGCTGGCGGAAGGGCCTCCAACGAGAGGGAGCTCTGGAGAGCCCCATCTAGATGGTGTTTTTGGCCTGCTCTTCCACACAGGTCAGACGTCTTGGAAGAGGTGGGAGTACGCACAATTCGCCTCGCTCTAGTCCACCACCGCCAGTAGCAGCAGCAGCAGAAAACGCGACCCTGCCGATCGATTAATTGTGGTGGATCGATTTATACTGCTGAGTAGACCGAGGCGGTGGTGCGGGGCGATTCAATAAACTTGTCCCATTGTTTCAGCTGCCGCCCCGAGAGATCTGATCGAGCCGGCTACCTCTGGATTGCAATTCGAGTGTGCTCATCATTATACCTGGACAGCTGCCAGGTTTTTTACGTGACCTTTTACTATACGCAGAAAAGCCTCCCTGAGTTCCGAGACTATTTTTAAGGAAGGTCCCGCTACATTAGAATGACATTTTTACATTTAAATTATTTTCAAGCCCCACGGCATAAGGTGAAGTCTCCAACTCCTATCCACTATCTCTCCAGCCTCTCTGCTCGTGTGCTATGAAGGCCGTTGCCCGAAACGTCGCCTATAATATATGTTATTGATGGACGTGTTGAGTTGGTTATTTGTGCACCGCTGCAAACGCACGGAACTTATTACAAGCACTGAATGTGTGGTTGTTAAAATTGCAGTATGATTTCTAACACGGTAGCAGTCTTCCTGCTGATCGTGGTGTCATGGGCATGGAGCGGTCCCGAGGTGCCAAGCAAGCGACACTATGGACAGGCGACCTGAGTTCCATCCCAGGCCACCTCTAATATCAGTAGCGGATGCTACGTGAACAAGGTCCCAGCCTTCAGCAAGCAAGCCGCATGAGGATTGAAGTGCCGTAGGGGTTGCTTGACCATACTTCACCACGCTGGTCAGTGCGTGTTGGCGTGGAGCGTAGACACGGGAGCATAGAAGTACAAACATATTTTACTCCGCTGCCCTCTGCTGTCCACAACGTAGCCCTTGTCAGCACGTGCGCGGTGGTCGTCCATTCCAAGCGCTACTGTCCAGGCTGAGCGCCACTTAGCTTCCGAGATGTGATGATCTGCTCATGGGACTAAAGGGACTGAATGAATAGAGACGCTAATATTAACCCGTCCCTGTGAGGCAGCTGCCAGGCAGTGTTTGTGGAGACGCTGAATCCATATCATTAATATTTCATCGTCGTTAAATATTAAAGGCTCTCGAAATCAGTGCTGTTTGAAAGTTGATATCCACGCCTGCTGTAATTCATTATTAACCACGGCAACCAATTCCTGATTATTTTGAATTATGATTTATATTTATCCAAGCAGTGCGAAAGTATAGGGTTGCTGGCATTTGATCTCAAGTGGGTGGGAAGGATGAATATTCGCGGCAAGACATAATTAGTCAAGGCATACAGAGATCCGGAAGGGCACGTGGCAGCTCCGTGCTGTAGATGTGAGTATTCTAAAAAAATATATATTGCGCTGGATTGGACACGTGCACATGGTGGAGGGGAACAGAGTAAGCAATTATACATGTTGTGGGTTTACTCTCCAACACACCGGTGTGCTGAACTCGTAACTAATTGGCACGCTTTGTTTACGTGACAAACCTTACCAATTGGCTGGCTGTGTCCGGTGGTGGCGAGTTTGATGACACGTTTATATTTACGCGATCTAAACCACCCCCCCCCCCCCCACAAAAAAACAACCCTCGATTATATGGTAAGCAACTTGGAGGTTGGGAAGAGAACGTCGTATGCGAGTGTTGTATATCTGATTGGACAGAAACGGTTGCACTGTGAGGGACACATGGGTGCAGATTTGGGGTTGAGGGCCGGTGACCGAGACCCGACGTTGCAGCGGTGTTTTAACATCTGAACACAACTGTATTGTTGCCAGAAAAAAGGGGAAAACCTCTCCCATGATGTAGCTACTCACCCCGAGCTCTCATTGTCCTGATCGTGGCATTGTCTTTGTGCTGTTCGCCTTTTGGCGTCCTCTGGTCTAACGCTGTTTAAGACGAGGCTGTAAAGAAAGCTGTCTCTGGTGTGGACCAATCAGTTTCAAAGACAATGCATATACTGTCAGAGCATGTTTTTTTGTTTGCATGTTCACCACAAGTATATGTGCTTAATGCAGACATGATTCCTTGCAAAAGGTTTCAGTTTGGTGTTTTAACATCTGAACACAGCTGTTTTGTTGCCAAAAAAGGGAAAAATCGATTCTTATATTTTGACACTGGCAAAGGAGGTCCCATGGGGAGGAGAAGACCTCGGGGCAGATGGTGGGAGACGGTCAGGGCAGGTCTTGGAGGTCGCCGCTTGCCTCTTGTGCAACATCCAGTACCGGATTATCCCAGTAGCACAAGTAGCTACATATGCTACGGGCCCCGCACTTTCAAGGGCCCCGCGCTAATACTTTCAACCTATCAATTCCGGTTCGGTGATTTTGCACTTGCTCTATTACTATAGTACTATGCCGCCTTCAACTTTTATGAACGACTGGGTGTTTAAGGTTAGCGATCTGTCGTATTATCTGGCTGTATAGCACAAGGCCGTAATTATAATGTATATTGGGGGGGACACATTCCCCCCCAATATTCAAATATGCTTAAAATGTCCCTCCTAATATATTGCTATCAAATAGATTTCTGTATATATGATTGTGGTTATGGTTGTACTTTATTAATCCCTAATCTCTGCCATTACATACAATGAAACAAGGACAGGTAAAAAAGAAAAAAACAGCCATGTAATACAATACACTATTAGACATTATTGTAAAAATTAAAAAGTCCATCCTATGTGTTAGTGATTTTTTTATATTTTAGGCAGGAAATGGTAGGAAATTCGTTTTCAAATTTATATTTTTTTCTGGGGGGAGACCCCCAGACCCCCTGGAACATTTGGTCCCCCCCCAATGTTGACTCCATGGCTACGGCCTTGGTATAGCAAATGAAACAATACAATAAATTTGACTATGCAAAGAAAACATTTGTGTTTTTATATTTACGTGTTTTTTATTTTTTATTTAGGGCCCCTTTATAACATATGCTACAGGCCCCGCACTAGCTTCATCCGGCACTGGCAGCAGCTGCGGGAATGTGTCGAGAGTAGAAGCGCTGACAATAAAGTCTGGTGGTGGCATCAACGGCTTTAGCTTTGATGGCGCGTGCATCTTGACGATGTTATATTGTGCTCATTGTCACCCCGGGTGGCCCGCTCTCACCAGACAGAGCCTTGGACTCGCAGTTGGGGATATGTCCGGCTTCAAATCCCGGTCTGGGTTACACTCAGTTAAACATTCCAACATGGGGTCATTAAAGTGAGTTGGCCTTTAAACAAACAAAACTAATTAAAATATTGTAAACTCAAACTCATCCTTCGCTATCCGTTGGATTTTCACGATTCTGCGTCACTATTTCAAAAACATGAATCGATTACTTACACCAACAACAACAAAAATATTCAAATGTATAACGCCTCTTCTAGTTGCAGGAATCGGGCGAAACAATTGCATGCGACATGCGAATCAATCGATCGTCACAGACAATTGCTTCAACGCGGTCGTAACTTCAGCACCATGGACAGTGCCGCCGCTCCACGCAGTCCACACGGGGTATACACGCCTAACATATTCAGGCGTTATCAACCCGGCTGGATATTGAGTTCGATTCCCGGCCACGGCTAACATCAGTGGTGAGTGATATCTGAACCGCCCCTGGCGCACCCCAACAATAACAGCCATTCGCCACTAAGTGTCGGTGACGTCACCACGGCGCTTGTGCCAGGCTAGGTGCACTTTGAGGTCACATGCAGTGGCTCGCTGGCAGCACGTCATTGGAAATAACCAGGTGCCATGGGTTGACTGCTGTGCCAGGCTAAGTGTAGGAGGAGGTCACGGGACAGACCCAGGTGCCAAGCTTTGACTGACTGAAATGACCGACAGATGCACCGCCTGTGCTCCCTACTCTGCCAACTTGCTACATTTTATCCGCCCGGCACCCTGCCCGTTGTTGTGAGCGTCGCTCCTCTGCCTTCCGCTGTTGTTGGAGGGCGACTGCCTCCAACTACCCTGTAGCGTAATTCACCCCCTTCGTGATCCATACTGTCCAGCGTTGGTGAAGTATGTTAAAAGGACCCCCACTGCCGTAGACACGTGCGTGAGGAGTAGGCCTTCATCCAGCAGTGGATTGGCAATTCACTCGGTAAGCGGCCGATGTCGTCATGCCACCGAAGCTACGCTGAGGTTGAGCCTGGATAGCGCTTGGATGAGCGAATACCGTGCACACCAGATTGCGATAAGTTGTGTGGCTACGTGGTGGACAGCAGCGGGCAATGGAGAAAACATTTATTGTTGCATTTTCTATGTTTCTGGCCTTCGCTTACCCGCACTTTTCATCTTGGTGAAGTATGCTCAAATATCCCAGCACAACCCGTGCGGCGTGGAGAGTTCCTCATCCAGCAGTAGACTGGCAACAGGGCTGTACATCCAATAGGGCTGCAGATCCACATGGGTATCTACATACACATGGGTATCTACATTCAATAGGGCTGTACATTCAATAGGGCTGTACATCCAATAGGGCTGTACATTTAAAAGGGCTGTACAATCAGTAGGGCTGCACATTCAACAGGGCTGCACATTCAACAGGGCTGTACATCAACAGGGCTGTACATCAACAGGGCTGTACATCAACACAGTGGCCAGAGTTAAACCCAACACCAACTGACGAATAACAGCCCCCGGGAGAGCAAAGAACAGCCGCCTTAAACGCAAAGCCACATAAGACAGCTTACAGCCACGATTTAAATGAACTAATTAATTTAAAATCAATTAAAACTACGTCTCAACTTATAACCCAGACATGTGATTTATTGTGTATTGATTGTTATTAAAAACGTGAGAGACGGTGACGGCGTGGGTAGACAGTGGCTGGTAATTATAATAATAATAAAACAAGTGTGTTGAGGTAATGTGTAAGTACACGCCGTCGCTTCGAAGACGTCTTGGCCAGTGTGGATGAACAGGCCAAAGTACCCTCCTGTGCTAGAGGGCTCTTCGTGGCTCCCTCTCGGGTAGTCACGCGATCGATCAATGTACCTGCTACTAAATCACCAGCGCAAATAGAAAACGGTTCCGATTACGATGGTTGTCGTCGGTAACACGAGCGAATGAAAGGCGCCGCGCACCTTCGCCTTTGTTTACCAAGCCTCGTTCGCCAATGAAGCCAGCAATCCAGACCGGATTTTCCAGCCACCCCAGTTGTGCGCCAGCGCGCTAGCGCGCATGTGGTTTCCTTTTGGCCGGGCAGCGTGGCTCATCCTGTTTGTGTTCATCACATCCCCGCCCGTGCGCGGTGTCGCCTTTTGTTTTCCCGGAGTGTTACTGGGAAAACTCGCGATCGCCTTGGCTAGAATCGGCCGCGATGAGACGTCGCGACGGGCGCAGTGATCGCCGCGGCTCGTTCGCGACGCGACGTGACGTCGTCGTCATCGGCAGCAGCAGCAGCAGCAGCGTGCGTGCCCGACCGATGCGCGCAGGTGGCGGCGGCGGCGGTGGTGATGAGGATGACGAGGGCGATGACACCGACTGCAGCAGCAGCCACATTTGGTCGCCCGCGCAGTCCAATTCCAGCAGCCTCCTGACGCTGCATGGAGACCGTAGTGGTGGTGGTGGTGGTTGTGGAGGAGGTGGTGGTGCAGCAGCAGCAACAGCAGTGGAACCATCAGCCCAGCAGAAACGACCCCGAGACTTGTCCGGGCAGATCACGAGTGGAGGAGTCCGGAGATTCGGCTCGGGGAGAGACCCCGTGTCACGACCACAGCCCACAGGTCGGTGAATAATGCAGCGTGGTTCACTCATTCGGTATATGAACAGGTTTCAGCATTCGACTTTATATCCTATTCCTCTCACATTGATTGACTCGCGGCCCCATCATCCTCTACGCGGCCGCTAAAGTGAGCGCCACCTTGCGGGGAAGTCAGCAGCGGTTGTCTTATGCATGGACTCGCCTCTCGGCAAGCGAATGTGGAATTTCCATCACTGGCTCTGCAGGGCTGTAGACGCGAGAGGAACACCGATGCCTCGAATGGCTCATTTGAGAAATAACTCTCATTGATCTACTGGCCTACAATGGATCGATAATGTAACGCTCTCCCCGTGTAAGATATGGGAGCCATCGATTTCACAATATTAGAAATCGAAGGGACATTTATAAGTCGATCACCGTGTGTTGTATTGTTACGGGTAACTGGTGGATGGATTTTACCGAATTCTATTGGATTGGGGTGGAGGAGGAGGGGGTGGGGGGAAGTGATTAAGGGGACGGGTGTGGGGGGGGGGAAATGGGGGGTTAGATTTAAGTGAACTCCTATGGTGTAATATATATTTAGAATCTTGGAGTGATGATAAAATGTTATTTATGTTCCACTTGTGTTGCTATTGGCCTAATGATGGCATGAGATGAAGCCGTTCACATTCGCAGTTCTCACGGTAAGCAGTGCATCACAGTGTGCCGGAGAACGGCTCCGCTGGACTAAATCACGGAACGGTGGCTGAGGTTGCTTGCGTCTCACCTCGCACCACAGGTGTTGGTTCGGCCATTCTCAGGCGCCCTGCTAAGTCAAACCGAATTGTATTATCCTCCGAGTAAGAATAGAGCACATGTAAACGGAAAACGAAATGCATCACGATGCTTTGTGTGTCGTAGACATTAGAGATGGGACAGGTACCAGGTTCATTTACGGGCGGCTGTGACCCGGATTTGAACCCCTGGATATCGGCGTTTCCCAACCGACTGGGCACTCCGGAATGGCCATTGTGAGACCCCCCCCCTTTCCCCGAGGTACTGGAGAACCCCCCCTGTGAGACACTGAGCCGCACATTTCCCCTCCATCCCCCCCACGCCGCCGTCTCCTGCTCGAGCTCTAGAATTGATGCCCAATTAAGTGGCGCAGCCCCTGTCCCGTGGGTGCAGTGAACGCCAAATCGAGGAGGAGGAGGGTGGTGAGCAGGGGCGGCACGAGCTGGGCGTGGGCCCGCGCCCGTGTCACTGTCTAACCATGCCCCTGTGTGTTGTCCGTGTGTCTCAATGTCCTTGTGTCTCCGTGTGTCTCAATGTCCACGTGTCCTTGTGTCTCCGTGTGTCTCAATGTCCACGCGTCCATGTGTTTCCGTGTCACTGTACCTAATCCTATTCTCCTGTGTCCCCCCTACCCCCGTGTGTTCCTGTGTCTCCACATTTCGTTTGTTCCATCCATTTGTGCCCTCGCGCGTCCATCTTCCCACGACTGTGTCCACGTCCCCGCGTCTCCGCGTCTCAGGCTGCGAGGCGGACATCAGCTCGTCGGGCAGCACCAACAGCGCGTCGTGCATGTCCCTGTCGGAGCACGGGGCTCGAGGGGCTCGCATCACAGGGGCCCAGTCACTGAGAACCCCGTCCCCTTGTCGGGGTCTTGCGGAGACCCCTGCGCTAACCCGGCCCAGCCCTGGCCGTGTTCCCCCTCCTCTTCCTTCTCCTTCTGGCCTCATCGCGAGTTCAGTCGCCGGCTCCGCGAGCGCCCGGCCCAGCGCGCTGCCTCTGCTCCTCCCCTTGCGCTGCGCGGCGCCTCACAGCCTCGCGCTCGGTCCACGGTGAGGACGGGGAGAGGGACCCCGGGGGGGGGAGAGGGACTCCGGGGGGGGGGGTGGAGGATGGTGTCGTGGTCCAGGTTGAGTTTGAGCGCCTGACATATGCTCCATGAGAAATTAAACCCTTGATAATTTACATTTATGGATTCTTCTTCTTTCGTATGACCGATGTAGATGCAGAGTAAAGACTACAATTTCACATTCAGGTGGTCAAGCCAGATAACCGAGTCAGGAGCAGTGGCGTGTATAGTTTCTGCACTGAGACGGCCAGAGAGAGAGTCAGACGGATGGGCAGATGCAGACTCCTCTGTTTCGAGGTCTCTGGCCCGAAGACCAGGACCCAGTAACCGGCAAATGTTCGGGATCCACCCTCGATTCCGAGTCAGTTTTGCAACGAACTGAAAGCAGTGTTGTTATGATCACACGCAGAGCTCGCTGTGCGTGATAAGCGCGGCGCATTCGTGATGGATTTAATTCATAAGAGTGACTGATAACAAATGTTCAGACTTGCTAAAAGAGGCAGATTGTAGCTGTATGTAAAATAAATTAACACGAGTCAGAAAGAGCGAGACGGGGAGATAGGAAGAGATCTAGACACTGAAGGCGACACGATCATGAATTAATTCAGACAGCAAACCCCACCCACATCGCGCCACCCACACTCACCGTGCCCCCCACACCGTGCCTCCCACACTCACCGTGCCCCCCATCCCCCATGGTCCCCCCGCAGTTCTCCGGCCAAGCCCCTGCCCAGTCCCACCACGGGCTCCCCCCGGGACGGTCCCATACCTCTGCTGACCCTGCTGACGGAGACAACGGTGGGGTCTGCGGACCCCCAAACGGGGGGTCTGGTTTCACCCCCTGGGCCCCCTACAAGGGGCTCTGGTCTCTTGGCGTTGTCTCCGGCCAGCAGCAGCAGCAGCAGCAGCTCCAGCCTGAACCGCGTGGGCGACGCGTCCAGCCCGCCGGCCAGGTGTGTGGGTTACGGGTGGGGAACTCGGCCAATCATCATAATGGAGTCGGTAAAATAGAGAACTGTTTTGTCGGTGGCGTTACCCCCCTTGCGTAACCCGCTGTGCGCGTGCAGGAGGTGGCGGTACCCCTCGTCCTCCGAGGGCCACGGGGCCCGCTCCACCATCCCGGAGCAGCACCTCACCCCGCTGCAGCAGCAGCGCGACGTCACCATCCGCCACCTTCGGGCCCGGCTCCGTGACAGCGAGGGCCTCCTGGGGCACAGGTGGCTGGGGGGGGGGGGCATGTGGCACAGGTGGGGTACATCTGGGGCATGGGATATTCAACTGATTGAAAAATGTTCTCAAGTATGATCAGAGAGTTGTGAGTTGTGGGACATGGGGGCGTGCATTACTACAGATCGATGCTTTCCTTCACGTGTGAGAAAACGGGAATTCCCAGAGAAATCTCTGCACACATTACACCGGGGGATGGTAACACCCGGCGCTCCAGGTGGTGCTGCTTCTGATGTTCCCGCTTCTACTGTTGGTTGTGCTGCTGCTGCTGCCGTTGCTGCTGCTGCTTGCCCTGTTCTACCGCCGCTACTGCGCCTGCTGTATATTCTGCCGCGAGTGTTCTACCGCTGCTCGAACCATCATCTCCTCCTCCCCCCATCACCACCCACCCACCCACCTGGCACAGGGAGCGGGAGGTGCAGGAGCTCAAGTCCCAGCTGGAGCGCATGCGCGAGGACTGGGTGGAGGAGGAGTGCCACCGCGTGGAGGCGCAGCTGGCGCTCAAAGAGGCGCGCCGCGAGATCCGGCAGCTGCGGGAGGCGGTGGACGTCATGGAGGTGAGCCTGCACGAGAAGGACCAGGGCCTCCAGAAGTACTTCGCCGACATCGGTCTCCAGAACCGCAAGCTGGAGGCGCTGCTGCACAGCATGGAGGTGGCGCAGGGCGGCGCCCGCCAGGACGGGGCCGACGGCGGCGATCACGATGCGGCGCACAGCCCGGTCTCCCGCGGCGACGACCTGGGCTTCGCCGACGAATCGCTCACCGCCGAGACGACCGAGTCGCTCGGCCGAGCGGGAGGGGCGGGAGTGGGAGCAGACGGCGGAGACGGAGGAGGAACACGGGGGGCGGCGGCGGCGATGGACATCGCAGCTCCGCGGATCGCCGTGGCCGCAGCCGCCGGTGTCCTGCGGCGGGGAGTGGCGCGCGGCTCTCTCGGCCTGGAGGTGTCGCTGCTGGAGGAGAAGATCGGCCGGAGCGATCGGCAGCAGGAGGAGGAGGAGGACGTGGGGTTGGGCGTCCTCTCCATCCGGAGCCGTTGCCGCCCGTACAGGAAGTCGCCCACGTCGGCCGAACTCGGCGTCCAGGCCGACATCGTCATCTGCGACACGGGGCCTCCCAGCTCCTCGTCGTCGTCATCATCGTCCGCCGCCACCACCGGCGGCGGCGGCGTCTCCTCTACGAGCGACGGCAAACTCGTCGACCTCTCGCAGTCTGACCCGACCACCATCCTCCTGGTCTCGCCCTCGTCGGGCACGGGCCGGCGCCGCTGCCGCTGCGTGCCGCCCCGGAGACGTCTTCTCCTCGGCACAGCGGCCGCCGGCGGCGGCGGCGGCGGCGGCGGCGTGTCGCCGAACAACGACGACGTCGGTGTTCACTTCTGGAGCCGCCACGCCGTGCTGGACTGGGCGGCCGTGGCGGTGCCGCTCGTGCCGACGGTGGCCTGGCTCGTGAGCCGGCACCGCGCCGGCGAGCTCGCTCGCCAGGAGCCGCTCTACAACATCGCGACGGCGCTGCGCGGCTGCTGCCTGCTGGCGCTCTCCCGGCTGAGGGTGGCGCCCCAACAGCTCTAGGCTGCCGGAGTCGGCGGTGTGGCCGCTTGTTGAGGAGGTTCGTGGTGCGAGCCCCCCCTCCCCCCCTCCCCGCTGGCCCCCACTTGCCCACGCCGGTCGCCCCGGTTAACACCGCGGTGTTAACACCGCAGTGTAATACCGCGGTGTATATACCGCGGTGTTAACACTACGGTGTAAATACAGCGGTGTTAATACCGCGGTGTGAACCACGCAATACCACGACCCGCCGTCCGCTTTGCAGCGGAAGTGAAAGATCCCGTGACGTCACGGTCCATATTTGCCAACTGTTAAGAGACAAAAACGAATAAATAACTTTATTGGACTCGACAATGTAACAAACTTAGCCCCCTACTGGCAGACAGCGCCCACGTGCAGGCCGGAGCTGCGTTCACCTCGTGCCGCACAGGGACAGCTATCAGCAGGGGGGTCCCCGACGTTACTGTCTGACGATTCGCTCCACGTGCTGGGAGCTTCTTCGGAACTGGGAGCGAAACGTCGGACATCGAAAGCTGTACGTGGTTTAACCCAAAAGAAGATACTTAAACCCCTCCCCCCACCCTCCTCCTATCCCCCTGCCCCGCACCGTCCCCATCGCCACAACTAAATATCCGTATAGACAGAGGGGACGTGTCTCTCCTGGTGCTCCCGAGCATCTCCAGCATCTCAGAATCGTGACGAAGTGGGACAGTGGTGGCACAGTGGTGAGTGCACTGCACTGGGAACCTGGCCTCCTCCCGACTTTGCCACCTGGCCATGACTAAACTCGTCAAACTAAATCACGTAAATCGTGTCTGTCACATGGCGGTCAAGGGCCCCCTCGGCTACAACGCTTCTATTTAAGATATCCCAGATTTAGGTGCACTTGGAAACGTGTCGTGATTTCATTCGCCCCAACCCCCCCCCCCCCCCCCCCCTTGAAGCCAGTTTTATAGCTCCACTCCCAACGAGGTATCTTGGTGGCAGGCCTCTAGTGTGGTGGCCTGCGAGGTCCCTGCGTGTCCCCGGTGTGTGACTGTCTTTGTTGTGGGTTGCAGCCTGAAAATGTACGACGGCCCTTGTAATAAGTAACAGGCATAGGTTGAAGCGATCCATGCAGGGCAACCAAACGTCCTGGTTCGACCGGCACAGTCCCGGTGGTCTCGGGGATGCTGTGGTCCCGGAATCCTCGAAGGTTTTCGTGAAAATCGGGATTTTGTCGCTGGCTTTTAAATGTTACCTGAGCAAGTGGGCTGAGCTGCCAGAGCAGTGGGCGGGGCTACCTGAGTCGTGGGCGGGACTACCTAAGTCGTGGGCGGAACTATCTGAGTCGTGGGCGGAGGCTCCTGAACAGTGGGCAAAACGTCGGAGAGATGGAGGAAGCCCCCACTCCGTGTTGGCGGTACTGGTGAATATGTGGGCGTGGTTATGTAAAAGTAGGCGGGGCTGAAGTATAGGGAGGCTGGGGCTGCCAGTTTGCCGTCATTTCTGGTTGAGCTTCCCATAGACTTGGAAGCTTTTCCTCAACCCCATACACTCCACTCATCCCCTTCCCCTCCTCACCCCTCCCATCACACCCTGACCCCCCAACTTTTTCCACACCACCCCCTTTGGCCAGCGATTCGATGAAGTGTCACGATTCAGGCTCGTGGTTCGAAACCAGAATTAATTATTTTTCTAATTTCTGTATTTTCTCAAATCGTGCAGTACTGCTTGCCGTTTCGTTCAATCTATCGGTCTCATTGTAACAGCATATCATTTGCATATCGTTTGTTCACTTCGTGAGTAATCATTTCTGATGGTCACGACTTGAAGGCATGTTACCATAAGCATCAGAATCGAAGTTGATGCACAATGCAATGCCTAAAATGAAATAATATTTCAGCCCATCAGCCAGTTGGCCTGCTCGGTCAATATTTTCCAGCTACATTCATTAAAGCGGGCAAACTTTGAACCGGGTTTCACTTTCCAAGCCTCACGAGCAGCGATTTGCCACCAACACGCCGTGTCACAATGTTGCTGTACTGCACTGCACGGGACCCCACTGCGTTCGTGGATGGCTCTTGCCTACAACGCAGGATAGCCCAGAGACAAGTTCTGAACGGGCCCCACCCCCTGCTGACGATGCTTGCACAACTTGCAAACCCGTACACAATCCCATGATGCATTTGACAACTTAAACTAACGCCTGTTGGAAAACCTCTGGTGCGTTTGTCTCGTGGGCTTGACGAACAAAAAAATGTGTTCGAGGGTGAATGAAATAATCCGTGTCTATTAAAATTGTAACCCCTCCCCCCCCTCTGTCAATCCACTGCTGGATGACGGCCTTACCGTGTCGGTCACGGGGCTTGGGCGTGAAGTCTGCTCCTTTGCGCTGTTGGCTTTTGGTCCGATATCCCCAAGCGCACATCCTCTCCCTCCTCCTCTTCATCATCTCAGCCGTCTCCTATCGAGTGTTCATCTACACCAGGGCTTGAGCACGGTGTCCCGAATGACGGCCCACACGTGAAATGACACCAAACTTTAGCTGTTGTTCTCAGCTACTTAGAAGGCGACAAGAGGTGATCCGAGTGCGCAAAAACAATAAGAAACACGGCTTTTGCCGGGTCAAAATTACCCCCCTCTAGTACCCGATGAGTGCGACCAAGACGCCTGCGATAACCGATGCGTTTCGTTTATGTTGGTCAGCTGTCCTGGATTTTGTTCGCCGGCAGTTGATGTCCCGGTAAATCTGTAACTCTTGCCAAGACGTTTAAAGTCCAGGTGTTTGCCAATTGCACAATGATGTTCATCGCACAGCACTCTAGACAAATGTGTTCACGTGCGAGTCCTCCCCTCTCATCGAGAGCTGCTCCTCCTCTTCCCGTGATGTGTCGCGGTTTTGTTTGCACCTCCTCGGAGGAGGCGGCGGCAACTATAATTGGTGAGGCCTCGTGCCGTTCAAGATGAAGTCGTGGGTCGTATCTGGCTTACGGGGCTTTGCGTTCCCCATCCATGATCTACATCTTGGCCAACCCATCCTCTCCTATCCCCCTCTGCCTTGCAAACTCCCGTACCACCTTCCAAAATAATTCGTAAAATAACAAAAATCCATCCTCTCTTCCAAGCCCCATCGGTGTGCATGCCTACCCCCACCCCCTTTATTCGTACGGCTGTCTTGAAATGCGGTCGTGTCAAGACGCTGTATAGACTGTAACCTGTAAGTGTGAGACCTCGTCTGTGTCGGTGTGAATATTTACGGTTGCTTGCTAACACAATTTGATGAGCCAAATGTATCGTGTGGATGGCGCGAGACCATTATGAAACCTGGGTCTCCGTGCATGTGGAGGGTGATCGAAACTGTGTGGAAGGAGGGGGTATCAGCAACGTGGTGATTCAAAATAGATGTAATCATTGAAGAGAAGGTTGTGGATTGGTTGGACACGTGTGTGCAGGATGTGGAATGGCCGGTTACAGAGACGGACGTTCGATTGGCACCTGAAGGTCTGTGCCCAAGGGAAGAGGACATGGCCCAGTGGTGGTGGTGGTGATGATGAGACTGTTAATAGTGGCCCTTGAATTATGCGTCAACTGCGCAACAAAGGGGAAAGACCTGAAGCCCAGACGGAGACAACAACGGTTATAGCAGCCCCTGTAAGGACGTGTCGACTCTGCAACGAGGTGGAGGAGACCGAAACTCGGCTGCAGAAGATGACCTCGATGAGTAGACTGTTGAGTGGACCTTGAAGGTCTGGGTGTCTGCTGTGCAATAGCTGTGGGAACTGGCACAATGAAGGAAGCTATGGCGGGGTGTGGTGGCACAAGACGGTATTGCTTGCTACGACTTCTCGGTCTTCATTTAAACTGCATGCCTGAACTCGCCAGGACTGCAACTGCGATCTATGACGATGCACTAAGGTATTTGATACATTTACTGCATGGTTAATGGTGGGAGGGGGGCGCTTTACGTAATCATTTGGGGAAGGGGGGGGATAGGGGGGAGGTTCGGGGACCTTAATAACCACATGGGCCCTCCTGCTCATGCCCGGTTTTGTCTTTCTCCCAATTATACAATTATATTCCGATTGTAGACCGCTGTGTCCGCTGTATCATGATCGCTGTATCATGAAGCATTGCGTCAACCGGTGTTGGAGAACGACCTTGGAAGATGACATTGCAGAGCTACTTCCGAGGTCCTTTCAAATTGCCTGTTCTGTTCTATTCTTGCGTATGATGGCAATATGTTCTCGAGCTAGATGCCAATGTCGAGGTCGGTCTGATAGCTACGGCGAGAGGGCTTCAGGGGGAGAGTTCGTGTCGTTTTGATGTTCCTCCGTTAAAGAAGCACACATTGGAGTGGCTTACTGTGGTCCATAGTGCAACAGTGGTTTGCTGTGGTGCCCCATGGTACTATTATGGGCCAGAGTACAACAATGCTTTACTGTGGTCCATAGTAAACCACTGTCGTCTGTACTTCTCCAAAGGAGGAATTTCCCGTTATCCACACGAGGTGGTGGTTCACTCTCTCGCACGCCGTGCTGTCGAGGCGTTCCTTGATGGTAGTCAAGACTAATATTTTATATTCATTCATCCAAGCTGGAATTTTGCCAAATGTAAGTGATGAATCAAATTTAATTAGTTTTTTTTGTGTATGTGTGTGTGCTTGGTCAATGGTGAGCAGGTTGAGACCATTAACAAAGGTAACTAGCTAAAAACCACAAACTCGGTATGCGAGTCTACGGGTCTTTCTGTGAGTCTACGGGTCTCTCTGTGAGTCATTGAGTCCACAGGCGACTGAAATCTGGATTTGAAGCCAGCTTCTCAGCAGGGCCGGCCCAATGTCTCTGACACGGCCATTCTGAACCCGCCCCGAGCCACTGGGCCACCTCTGATCGTGACCCGTGGACGACCTCAGTCACGGAGGTCGTCGCCCAGGCTGTGACATCCTCGTTCACATCGCCCTTACCTGGAAAACAACCGGAACGCCCTTGGCGTTGGGAATCTTTGTTTCATTATCATGAATGCGTTCAAAGTTACATTCGTGTCACGGAATGTGTTTACAAAAAGGCACAGCCTTTAAAAATTATGTATTTGGTGTATTTTTTATATTTATTTAATTTATTTGAGTTGTGACCAGAAATTGTCGTCTGGGTCTTTAATTTGTGACCCCGTGGGGTCAAGTGAAGTGGAATGGAGCTGGGTCTCCCGAGACCGTCATGAGCCATCAACCATAGTCAGATCACCACCATCTCAAATAATTGGAAAATATCAGCATCATCATATCATTACCAACTATCATCACATTTCAAGCTTCACCTGTCCACCATTCATAACTACCAATCACAACTGTCACCATCACTGATAATTATATACAAATCACCACAAATCATTATTAAATATCAGCATCATCATATCATTACCAACTATCATCACATTTCAAGCTTCACCTGTCCACCATTCATAACTACCAATCACAACTGTAACCATCACTGATAATTATATACAAATCACCACAAATCATTATTAAATATCAGCATCATCATATCATTACCAACTATCATCACATTTCAAGCTTCACCTGTCCACCATTCATAACTACCAATCACAACTGTCACCATCACTGATAATTATATACAAATCACCACAAATCATTATTAAATATCAGCATCATCAGTGGCATAATCACAAATTACCAAATGTCTGCATAATCATCAACATTGGCATCACCAACGATCATCGGCATAGAATCGTCGTCACCCACAAATCCTGATCACCCACTCTTCATTCTGATGAACACATCACCAAATGTCATCATCACCAGCACCACCACCATCTTTGTGGGTCAATAAAACAAGTAGGGCCCCTCCGCTTTGCAGAAAGTTGACCAACTTTGCGGTTGTACTGTGGATATATTGACCCCCGTCCATGGGAACGTGGAATTGCACCACGGAGCTCGGAGCCTGCCACCTCGTTTGACGGTGTGGGGGCTGGCTGTAGGTGTTCACGCCGTGTCGTGCCGTGGCATTTTGTCTGTGTTCAGTAGCATCTGGTCTTGACTGTGTGGGCCCTTGCGATATAACCCTGAGCTCATTGATGCCTGCCAGTCGCTCATTCATTTGCTCGCGCCTCGATGATTTACTTTGTAACGATAGCAACAAAAACGGACGATACAATACGCAGCACATCGTGGCATACCCGACTGGCTGGGCACGGATTTGCTGCTTTTGTACGTGTACGTATGTTGAACTTCTTTCACGCACCGCACGTTCGGCGAAATTAGGCGAAAACAATGGAACACGCGAGCACCTGTAGGACATGTGATGTTCGCACGAAAAAAGGGTGACGGACATGAGAACTCCTTCGAACACACAGGGCGATGCTTCGCCGTTGCTTTAACGAGTGCGCGAATGCACGCGAGGTGTAAGGGCGCAAGTCCGCGTGTGAACGAACACCGAAGGCACGCGACTGCTGTAGACCGCGTGCGGCACTGCACCAACGGCCGGTTAAGTGGTGCGGTCGGATATGCGACGTGCCCCTTTAACAAAAAGCGTACACGGTTAACTCTCGATTATTTACCCAGGTTTGCGGATCTAAGCGTGCCTCGCGGGTAGAAAACAAATGAACGAGTGGAATATCCTCACGCTACTCTCCCACCCCCCCACCCACCCAACGACGGTCAGGGAGTCGGTGCCCACGTCGAGTGGCAACACGTGGGCAGGTAAAAAACAAAATCTCCCGATTTACGTTTAAGAAACACGACGGTGGGACTCTCGTCCCGGTCTCTCGAGTCCCCACCAGGTTCAACAACATTAAACTTGAACTATAGGTGGCGGATCTTATTACGCAATTATGTTCTTGTAGGCTAATTTTACACACGTGGTGTTATTATTACACGTGCGTCTTGTTTCAAACTGCCCAACCCCCTATCCCCCCCCACCCTCCTCCTCACCTGACCCCAAATAATCGAGAGTTTACTCGTTTATTTTGCTCGTGTCTGCATTATTTTGTGACCGGAAAATAAAAAAGCAACAAAATATAAAACAATCGATGTGGACCGATTAAAAAAAAAGATTCAAACACCAATCAGAACGCGCAACGATCAAGAATAAAAATCATGTACGGCCTTCTGTGATGCATCTCGAGACGCCTTTGTATTCCGGATACCTGTCAACCCCTTATCAGTGCCCTACATGATTACAGACCAATTAAGATCTTATTGGTCACCCCGTGCCCTTATAAATCTCAACGTTCATCCTGCAAAGTCCCATCACAAGGGAGAAACACAAACAAATGGGCTAAACAAATTTGTGCCCGCATTGAATCGGCAGCACGTCCGTACGGACCGGGTAAACCCCGTACGGGTTGACAGGTATGCAGTCGTGAAGGTATTTCTTGGTGGTGTATTCAGTCCGCAGACCGCTCCGAGGTACGGTTCTCTCCCCCCCCTCCCACCCTTGCTCTGTCCGGACGTCGCCCTTCCTCGTTGAACGTCGACCAGCATCGCCCGTCTTCCTGTCCGTCTTTCCCCAGATCATATTCCCTCGATCACCTCCTTCAGCTCATTCTCTCTCACTACCACCACCTGCCCACTCGCCTCCTTCAGCTCATTCCCTCTCACTACCACTTGCCCACTCACCTCCTTCAACTCATTCCCTCTCACTACCACTTGCCCACTCGCCTCCTTCAACTAATTCCCTCTCACTACCACCTTCCCACTCACCTCCTTCAACTCATTCCCTCTCACTACCACTTGCCCACTCACTTCCTTCAACTCATTCCCTTTCACTACCATCACCTGCCCACTCACCTCCTTCAACTCATTCCTTCTCACTACCACTTGCCCACTCGCCTCCTTCAACTAATTCCCTCTCACTACCACCTTCCCACTCACCTCCTTCAACTCATTCCCTCTCACTACCACTTGCCCACTCACTTCCTTCAACTCATTCCCTTTCACTACCATCACCTGCCCACTCACCTCCTTCAGCTCATTCCTTCTCACTACCACCACTTGCCCACTCGCCTCCTTCAACTCATTCCCTCTACCACCTGCCCACTCACCTCCTTCAACTCATTCCCTCTCACTACCACCACCTGCCCACTCACCTCCTTCAACCCATTCCCTCACTACCACCTACCCACTCGCCTCCTTCAACTCATTCCCTCTCACTACCACCTGCCCACTCACCTCCTTCAACTCATTCTCTCTCACCACCACCTGCCCACTCACCTCCTTCAGCTCATTCTCTCTCGCCAGTCTTTTCTTTAATTCGCCATCAAAGCGTTTGGCAGTATAAATTATGAGTACACCTTGCCTGCTGATGCCACGTGGATCAGAAGCATCCACATTCAGCTAAGAAAACACAAATTGTACAACACTGGAAGTTTTGATTTAAAGCTTTCGTGACTGCAGTAATTCATATTCTTAGCTCTTTTAATGTTTCCCTTCAACGTGACTTTACCGAAAGAGCTAAGAATATGAAACACTGGAAGTGTTCGATGAGCCGTGGAGGTGCGATGGAGAGACAAAACGCATGGATCGGAGAACTACGCAAGGGGCATAATTGTGATGTCCATGCAGCAGTGGATCGAGCATGGTAGCAATTATTCAAATTGGCCAAACATCCCAATGTAGCGGGTTTCCTGGACTAGGCGTGCCATCCTTACGTGGTCGGTACGGCGAGAAGGCTATGGGACGTTAACAGAGTGCATCCTATGGATGGACTGGCCCCCGGTATCGGACTGTGGAATTTCCACCACGGGATATGAGAAGCTCGTTGGAAAGAGGAACACTTCCTGTACAGAGACGGTAAAGTGCTAACTTAAACTAAACCTTTTATTTGACCAGGTAAGGCCCACTGAGCGATGCAGCTCTTTTTAAGATCCGACCTGGCCACATGATAGCACAGCGAAGTGGCTCTTCGTCATCACGGGGAAATGTATTGCAGCCAAATACTCGAAACGCGTGATGTGGAATTGAAATGTGGAGGGAAAAACCGGAGGAAACCTGGAGAAAAATCCACGTGACCACGGGGAGAGAGACGCGCAAATTCCAAATATACAGCAGCAGGCGTCAGGGTCGGAATATTACCCACGTACTCATGTATAACAGGCGAGGTACTTAACATCTCCTAGCCACTGTGAAGATGATGAGAGAGACACGCAAACTCCAAATATACAGGTTTCAGGGTCGGGATCGAACCCACGACCTCATGCATACCAGGCGAGGTAGTTAACATATCCTAGCCACCTTGACGGTCAAGTTGTGGGCAGTGATGGTAACTCATACCGTGTCAACATATACAGTTTACCCCGTATTCTTATACAGGGAAATTGACTTCAGGTCCATACGGTGTACAGCCGTTTCAATACGGGCAACATTATCTAGATTTATAAGGGGCACGGAGTGACCAATAAGATCTGAATTGGTCTGTAATAAGGTAAGGCACTGATACGGGGTTGACAGATATGGTAACTGATGGTGATGATGATTTATTATTGTAAGGGCTGCTGGGTTGGGGTTGAATTCCACGCGCGAGACGATCACGTGAGAGTCGACCACGAGGCGCGTGACGGGCACGTGCCCACCGCATCCCACGTCAGATCTGGGGGTGTGGGGGGGGAATCATCCAGACAAAGGCTGACCGAAAACTGTGCAAAACAAAGACGATTCTGAGTGGAATTGCTATTGGTGCTGATGCACGGGGGAGACCGGCAAATTCAAGTCGCGTCATTCCCCGTGCGTACAAACAGTGATCGGGGCTAATACAATCGATCTATCTGGTTTAAAATCATAGTCTCGCGCTCACGATCCGTCGGATTTGCTCAGGAGTTTTAATCGACGCGTCTCGATTCGCATGGAACGCCGCAAGCCACGAATTCACGAGACGCCCGCTAGAGGCCGCTAGAGATCCCTTCGCGTCTCCGCTGCGAGGCGAATGCCTCTCACGCCCATAGGCGCGGGACGCGGGGAGTGATTTCATTTGACCACACTTCAACCACGCTGGTCAAGTGCCGGTTGGTGAACCTTAGATGTGGGAGCATAGAAGTGCAGTACTACAGTGACAACGACGGATTTGGCTGCACTGCCCACAGTGTGACCCCCCCCCCCCCCATTCATTCGAGTCGAGGACTCGGTCTAGGAGTCACTGTGGCCTCTCATCCACACTTCAGCTGGCACTATGCAGGTGCAGATCACGCCAACACTCACCAACTCACTCATTCTCTCACCCACTCATCTCGTCACTCACCCCGTCACTCCCCAATATACTCAGTAGCCCACTCACTCACCCACCCACACTTGGACCAAATGATCATCCAATGACTCACCCACTCACCTACTCAATCACTCAGTCACTCACACCCACTCATCCAGACGCACTCGCCATATCGTTCACAGACCTACTCAACAGCCGACTCAAACTCCCACCCACTGATTGTCTCACTCACACTCACCCACTCGCCACACTGCAAGTCACAATACACCCACTCACTCACCCAATCACTCACCCACTTACTCACCCAATCACTCACCCACCTACTCACCCAATCACTCACCCACCTACTCACCCAATCACTCACCCAATCACTCACCCACCTACTCACCCGATCACTCACCCACCTACTCACCCAATCACTTACCCACCTCCCAATCACTCACCCACCTACTCATCCAATCACCCACCTACTCACCCAATCACCCACCTACTCACCCAATCACTCACCCACCTACTTACCCAATCACTCACCCAATCACTCACCCAATCACTCACCCACCTACTCACCCAATCACTCACCCAATCACTCACCCACCCACTCACCCAATCACTCACCCACCTACTCACCCAATCACTCACCCACCCACTCACCCAATCACTCACCCACCCACTCACCCAATCACTCACCCACCTACTCACCCAATCACTCACCCGCCCACTCACCCAATCACTCACCCACCCACTCACCCAATCACTCACCCACCTACTCACCCAATCACTCACCCACCCACTCACCCAATCACTCACCCACCTACTCACCACACCGCATATCACTTCACTTCACTCCTCTCTCTCTCTCTGCGTATTCCCTTGCACTGATCCCATCAGCACCATCGTCGTCTCTTTCCCCCCAACCTCTAACCACGACAATAACGTCGGCATCCCTCGTCAGCATTGCGACTACGTTGGTGCTGCTCGTTGCTGGCCGCTCGCCCGCTGCCTTGGGATTGCCTGCGCCCAGCCTCCTGCTTGTTAACAAGAATCGATTCGGGAATCGAAACCTTTCGAGGGAGCGAGCGACGAACAGGAATCGAATCGCCACACGGGGGGGGAGGAAGCAACTGGCGTCGCCCTCCAGTCGCCAGCAGCAGCGACAAGCCGGGCCCGACAGTCGCAAGCAACAACTTGAAGACAACAGTAGATCAAAGCCCTTCAGCCACCATTGCAGCGTCTCGTCGCGTGTCTCTCGTCTGTGTTGGCCGTCAGGGATGGTTTGGCCATACTTCACCGCGCTGGTCATCGCGGGTTCGGCGTAAAGAGTGGAAGCAGACTCCAAGAAAACCGGTTCGGATATCGCTCTCGCGCTCTCTCTCTCTCTCTGTGTTGTCATCCGGGACGCGCGCGGCCCCCGGGATTCGATCTCGACTCGCCCAGGTCCCGCAGGAATGGGCGAGCGGCGCATCGTGGAGCTGCTGGGCCGGGCGGTCACTGCCACGACCACCACGACCACTACCCGGGTGATCGCGCTCACCCTGTGTCTCGCCTCCGTGGTTGCGGGGGGCACGGCCCCCTACAGCCCGGACTGGGAGTCTCTGGACGCCAGGCCGCTGCCGGCGTGGTTCGACGAGTCCAAGGTGGGAGTCTTCCTCCACTGGGGAGTCTTCTCCGTCCCCAGCTTCGGCAGCGAGTGGTTCTGGTGGCACTGGAAGGTGAGCGGACGTGCGGTGCGCGCGCGTGCGCGCGTGGCTTGGGATGAACATACGCGCGTGTTGGGAGACACTTGGGAAGACAAAGGCGGACGGGCGTGGTGCTGGTCATCACCATCCCCCCCCCCCATCGTGACAGCCTTTATAGGCGCTCCCTATCAGCACTTGCCCCAACAGTCTGTTGAGGCTATACGGGCAGTCTTTGTATGTATGGTGTGTGTGTTGTGTGAGCCAGGGTAAGAGCTGCATCCAGATGGAAGCAATCTGATGAATAAACTACACAATCTATTTAACACGTACTCTTTCGCGACCAATATTCATAATAGAGGTTTTTTTTGTGGTTAGATCGCGTAAATTGTTAAATGTGTCGTTAAACCCGCCACCACCCGACACAGCCAACTAGTAAGGGTTGTCACGTAAACAGAACGTGCCAATTCGTTACGCACACGAATCTGGCTGTTGCCTGATGAAGCTAGTTGCAGTTACTGGCGAAACGTCGTACTCAGATTATAAATGTTGTGACTTTGCTCTGAAACACACAGGTGTGCTGTACTAGTATACTACACTATACACTACACACCGGTGTGCTGTACTAGTAACGAATTGGCCACGTTCTGTTTACGTGACAATCCTTACTAGTTGGCTGTGTTGGGTGGTGGCGGGTTTAACGACACATTTATATATTAACGTGAACTAACAAAAAAACCTGTATTATAAAATATAAATTTATAATCGACTAAATGTTGTTCATTTAATTCATCAATCACTTGCTGGTTAAAGTTACCACGCAGTGCAAACGAGATCCCAGTGTCCGAGCCAAAAAATATCGTAAAATTGTCCTTTCAAAAACAATTATCTCCGAAAAATGAAACGCTTGAACAACCCGAGACCTCCCCATGCGCATCTCCGTGTCGCCAGGGGGATCGAACTCCCGAGTATGTGGACTTCATGAAGAGGAACTACCCCCCCGACTTCCAGTACGCAGACTTCGCCCCGCAGTTCCACGCCGAGTTCTTTGATGCTGGCGAGTGGGCCGACCTCTTCCTGGCCGCCGGGGTCAAGTATGGGCGCACACTCAACTCCCGACACTCTCCTACCTCTCTCATCTCATGCCACTGCCCTCCACGCACTCTCCTACCTCTGCCCTCTGACCTCACTCCACTCCCCTCCACGCACTCTTGTACCTCTCCAATCTCATCTCACTCCCCTCCCCTCCAGACACTCTCCTACCTCTGCCCTCTGACCTCACTCCACTCTCCTCCACGCACTCTCGTACCTCTCCAATCTCATCTCACTCTACTCCCCTCCACGTACTCTCCTACCTCTCTCATCTCATCTCACTCCCTTCCACGGACTCCCCTACCTCACCTCTCTCTAAATTCTACTACAGCACCCAAGGGTTTCAGTCGAAGCCCTCATTCAACCTTCACTCTGTAGGTCACCCATTCTTCCCTGCTGTCCCCATAGTTTGGATCCCCCAGCCATCTGTGCTGTAGACTTCCTGCTCCTGTTCAGATCCAGGCTCCAGACCTGTCTTCTTTCCTCTGCCTGTGACTGACTGCCTCTCTCAATATGCTGACTATCCCCTCTGAGTCTGTACAGCATATCTAAGCTATGCAACCGCATTTAGATGCCATATAAATCCATATTGCATTGTGAAATGTTTTAAACACAATGGACTCTTACATAAAATAAATAATTTAATGTAACTTTACGTCTGTTTTAGCTGATTGTGCGACTGGCGTCATGTGAGAGATAAATCATCTATCGAAAATGTCACGCAGAGCAGTGCGACCCTTTGTGGTTAGAGCGGCCCCACAGAAGCGGATACCGCAGAACTACCCCTCGAGAGCCCTGCAAGTAACCTTTGGTCCACAGTCAGTATGGGGCAGCACTTTCCCACCGGCTCTACCCGTGGGAGTGATGTTGGTCGCGTGGCAGTCAAGCCCTTACATTTAATTTTCAGAGCTGGAATTTAGCCAAATTAAGCGCGGAACCGAATTTAATGCGACGATGCTCTTTTTTACGTGCAGTCATTAGCGGCTGGGCTTAAACCGTCATCTCACTACAATTGAGAATGCAATTTCATTAATAGGCAGCTACCTGGAGTCGAACTCAGGTCCACCGAGCGACCCGGCCCCCACCTCCGTGTTCCCGTCTCGCCGTGAGCACGGAGTTGACACGTGCCCCGTCCGTGACCTGCATTCTGTACGAACCCTCCACGTGTAAATGATTACTCACGGGCAGTCGTCACACGTGGACCGTTCTCCCGACACGGCTTGCCGTGAAGTCTGTGCGCACACGTGATCTTTCGTTTTTACGTGACCCTAAAAAAAACGATTCCACCTTCCTTCCAAGTCTCGCTTACCCATCGCATTTATGAGGTATTTGTTTAAATGCCTGTGCACGCCACAATGCAATTTGTTAAATCTTGACTTAAAGCTTTCGTGACTGCAGGAATTAATATTCTTTGGGTCTTTCGGTAAAGTCACGTAGATAGGTTCAAATTAATAAAAATAAACCAATCTAAAATTTAACCTATCTACGTGACTTTACCGAAAGACCCAAAGAATATGCAATTTGTTCAGCTGGGTTGGTTGGTGGCGGCTCTTCACAACACAAACTTAGCCTAACCCAAAAAATAAATTACGAGCCGCAAATAATAATATCACGGTCAAAAGTGAACTTCTGGGATGAACTCACCCCCTGGTTTTTTGCTCTTCCTCCTGCCCCCCTCCATCCCATGCACCCCCCCCCCACTTCCCCCTCCCCCACCCACCCACCAGGTACGTGGTGCTCACGGCCAAACACCACGAGGGCTTCACCAACTGGCCGTCTAACTTCTCGTGGAACTGGAACTCGATGGACGTGGGGCCCCGCCGTGACCTGGTCGGAGAGCTGGCCGCCGCTGTGCGGAAACGGTGCGTGGGGCGCGGCGGCCCCTGTGGCCCTCGTGGAGGGGCTGCCCTGAGGGTGCCTCTCCTGCCTCACGCGCGTCCGTGTCTGTGGCTGGGTCCGTGTCTGTGGCTGGGTCCGTGTCTGTGGCTGGGTCCGTGTCTGTGGCTGGGTCCGTGTCTGTGGCTGGGTCCGTGTCTGTGGCTGGGTCCGTGTCTGTGGCTGGGTCCGTGTCTGTGGCTGGGTCCGTGTCTGTGGCTGGGTCCGTGTCTGTGGCTGGGTCCGTGTCTGTGGCTGGGTCCGTGTCTGTGGCTGGGTCCGTGTCTGTGGCTGGGTCCGTGTCTGTGGCTGGGTCCGTGTCTGTGGCTGGGTCCGTGTCTGTGGCTGGGTCCGTGTCTGTGGCTGGGTCCGTGTCTGTGGCTGGGTCCGTGTCTGTGGCTGGGTCCGTGTCTGTGGCTGGGTCCGTGTCCGTGGCTGGGTCCGTGTCCGTGGCTGGGTCCGTGTCCGTGGCTGGGTCCGTGTCCGTGGCTGGGTCCGTGTCCGTGGCTGGGTCCGTGTCCGTGGCTGGGTCCGTGTCTGTGGCTGGGTCCGTGTCTGTGGCTGGGTCCGTGTCTGTGGCTGGGTCCGTGTCTGTGGCTGGGTCCGTGTCTGTGGCTGGGTCCGTGTCTGTGGCTGGGTCCGTGTCTGTGGCTGGGTCCGTGTCTGTGGCTGGGTCCGTGTCTGTGGCTGGGTCCGTGTCTGTGGCTGGGTCCGTGTCTGTGGCTGGGTCCGTGTCTGTGGCTGGGTCCGTGTCTGTGGCTGGGTCCGTGTCTGTGGCTGGGTCCGTGTCTGTGGCTGGGTCCGTGTCTGTGGCTGGGTCCGTGTCTGTGGCTGGGTCCGTGTCTGTGGCTGGGTCCGTGTCTGTGGCTGGGTCCGTGTCCGTGGCTGGGTCCGTGTCTGTGGCTGGGTCCGTGTCTGTGGCTGGGTCCGTGTCTGTGGCTGGGTCCGTGTCTGTGGCTGGGTCCGTGTCTGTGGCTGGGTCCGTGTCCGTGGCTGGTCTGTGGCTGGGTCTGTGTCCGTGTCCGTGGCTGGGTCCGTGTCTGTGGCTGGGTCCGTGTCTGTGGCTGGGTCCGTGTCTGTGGCTGGGTCCGTGTCTGTGGCTGGGTCCGTGTCCGTGGTTGGGTCCGTGTCCGTGGCTGGGTCCGTGTCTGTGGCTGTGGCTGGGTCCGTGTCTGTGGCTGGGTCCGTGGCTGGGTCCGTGTCTGTGGCTGGGTCCGTGTCTGTGGCTGGGTCCGTGTCTGTGGCTGGGTCCGTGTCTGTGGCTGGGTCCGTGTCTGTGGCTGGGTCCGTGTCTGTGGCTGGGTCCGTGTCTGTGGCTGGGTCTGTGTCTGTGGCTGGGTCCGTGTCTGTGGCTGGGTCCGTGTCTGTGGCTGGGTCTGTGGCTGGGTCTGTGTCTGTGGCTGGGTCCGTGTCTGTGGCTGGGTCCGTTTCTGTGGCTGGGTCCATGTCTGTGGCTGGGTCCGTGTCTGTGGCTGGGTCCGTGTCTGTGGCTGGGTCCGTGTCTGTGGCTGGGTCCGTGTCTGGGTCCGTGTCTGTGGCTGGGTCCGTGTCTGTGGCTGGGTCCGTGTCTGTGGCTGGGTCCGTGTCTGTGGCTGGGTCCGTGTCTGTGGCTGGGTCCGTGTCTGTGGCTGGGTCCGTGTCCGTGGCTGGGTCCGTGTCTGTGGCTGGGTCCGTGTCTGTGGCTGGGTCCGTGTCTGTGTCTGGGTCCGTGTCTGTGGCTGGGTCCGTGTCTGTGGCTGGGTCCGTGTCTGTGGCTGGGTCCGTGTCCGTGGCTGGTCTGTGGCTGGGTCTGTGTCCGTGTCCGTGGCTGGGTCCGTGTCTGTGGCTGGGTCCGTGTCTGTGGCTGGGTCCGTGTCTGTGGCTGGGTCCGTGTCTGTGGCTGGGTCCGTGTCCGTGGTTGGGTCCGTGTCCGTGGCTGGGTCCGTGTCTGTGGCTGTGGCTGGGTCCGTGTCTGTGGCTGGGTCCGTGGCTGGGTCCGTGTCTGTGGCTGGGTCCGTGTCTGTGGCTGGGTCCGTGTCTGTGGCTGGGTCCGTGTCTGTGGCTGGGTCCGTGTCTGTGGCTGGGTCCGTGTCTGTGGCTGGGTCTGTGTCTGTGGCTGGGTCCGTGTCTGTGGCTGGGTCCGTGTCTGTGGCTGGGTCTGTGGCTGGGTCTGTGTCTGTGGCTGGGTCCGTGTCTGTGGCTGGGTCCGTTTCTGTGGCTGGGTCCGTGTCTGTGGCTGGGTCCGTGTCTGTGGCTGGGTCCGTGTCTGTGGCTGGGTCCGTGTCTGGGTCCGTGTCTGTGGCTGGGTCCGTGTCTGTGGCTGGGTCCGTGTCTGTGGCTGGGTCCGTGTCTGTGGCTGGGTCCGTGTCTGTGGCTGGGTCCGTGTCTGTGGCTGGGTCCGTGTCTGTGGCTGGGTCCGTGTCTGTGGCTGGGTCCGTGTCTGTGGCTGGGTCCGTGTCTGTGGCTGGGTCCGTGTCTGTGGCTGGGTCCGTGTCCGTGGCTGGGTCCGTGTCCGTGGCTGGGTCCGTGTCCGTGGCTGGGTCCGTGTCCGTGGCTTGGTCCGTGTCCGTGGCTGGGTCCGTGTCCGTGGCTGGGTCCGTGTCTGTGGCTGGGTCCGTGTTTGTCGCATTCGTCGCTCCGTACGCGTGCCAATTGCGACGTGATGCCAAACCCATTGTTGCTTGCAACGGAAGCGAGATGCAAACCGCGACGGGTAAAACGACGCGAATGCGGCACAATCGTCAGCCGTTCGCCAAAGTCTCTGCCGATCACGGGCCGAGGCGTCGGGCATCGTGCCGAACGACGCGCGGCACGACCAGAACACCGCCGACGAACTGCATGCGGTGGATATTCGTGGGATTGGCCCGGTGGTGGCGGTGACGGTGGTGCTGATGAGTGGTGCCCGACCTCGCTGTGTCTCTCCCACTGTGCAGAGGCATCCACTTTGGGCTGTACCACTCGCTCTACGAGTGGTTCCATCCGCTCTATCTCAAGGACAAGGAGAGTGGCTTCAAGACGCAGTCCTTCGTGATGCAGAAGACGATGCCGGAGCTGTACGAGATCGTGAACAAGTACGGCTCGCTCGCTCGCTCCCTTCCTCGCTCGCTCGCTTGCTCTCCCTCCGTCGCTTGCTCACACAGAGAGGGTGGGAAAGTTCCTCCCCACGACCTCGTGGAGCAGATGTCACTTGCAAGGGTCTCGGAGGTAGCTCCGCGGTGTCCGCTTCTGTGGGCCGTTCTCTAACACGGTGACTGGCACTGCCGTGCTTGATAAGCGACTGAGGTTGCAAAGGCCCAGCACAGTCAGTAGCCTCACCCCCTCTTGCTGTGCGACGTCCGACAGGGAGATGGTTCGTGATCCCCCCCGACCCCCCTGCCTTGAGACCTCAAAATCTATTTATCGGTATTGACCAGAGAAAATGCATGGAATATTTTTATGTTGATGTAGGGTCCTGCTGAAGCTAAATAATCCTGAGAGTTTTGGGGACCTTGAGAGACCTCGAGAGAGACCTCGAGAGAGACCTCGAGAGCGACCTCGAGAGAGACCTCGAGAGAGACCTCGAGAGAGAGAGACCTCGAGAGAGAGAGACCTCGAGAGAGAGAGACCTCGAGAGAGAGAGACCTCGAGAGAGAGAGACCTCGAGAGAGAGAGACCTCGAGAGAGAGAGACCTCGAGAGAGAGAGACCTCGAGAGAGAGAGACCTCGAGAGAGAGAGACCTCGAGAGAGAGAGACCTCGAGAGAGAGAGACCTCGAGAGAGAGAGACCTCGAGAGAGAGAGACCTCGAGAGAGAGAGACCTCGAGAGAGAGAGACCTCGAGAGAGAGAGACCTCGAGAGAGAGAGACCTCGAGAGAGAAAGACCTCGAGAGAGAGAGACCTCGAGAGAGAGAGACCTCGAGAGAGAGAGACCTCGAGAGAGAGAGACCTCGAGAGAGAGAGACCTCGAGAGAGAGAGACCTCGAGAGAGAGAGACCTCGAGAGAGAGAGACCTCGAGAGAGAGAGACCTCGAGAGAGAGAGACCTCGAGAGAGAGAGACCTCGAGAGAGACCTCGAGAGAGACCTCGAGAGAGACCTCGAGAGAGACCTCGAGAGAGACCTCGAGAGAGACCTCGAGAGAGACCTTGTGTTTCCCCTCGCTGCTGCTGCTGCTGCTGCAGGTACGAGCCGGAGGTGATCTGGTCGGACGGGGACTGGGAGGCCCCTGACACGTACTGGAACTCAACCGGGTTCCTCGCGTGGCTCTACAACGCCAGCCCCGTCAAGGTGCCCACCGGCCCCAGCATCACTGCCACCACCACCATCACCACCACCATCACCAATACTACCACCACTGCCACCACCGTCACCACCACCAATAGCACCACCATCACCACCACTATCACCACCACTGCCACCACTGCCACCACCATCACCACGACCAATACCACCACCGTCACCACCACCGTCACCACCACTACCACCACTACCATCACCACCACTGCCACCACCATCACCACCACCATCACCACCACTGCCACCACCAATACCACCACCGCCGTGGATAAACGATGGCTGCTGCTAATGGTTGATGATGATGATGGATGATGATTATGGGTGATGATCTTCGTTCACAATCTTTTCTGTCTCTCACTCTGTCCCTCCTCCCTGTGCCCAATCCAAGTTTTCGATCCCACGCCCTCCTTGGGCCCCTATCACTGGAATAAACTTGCCCTGTGCATTGAGCAACACTGCCCATAGACTCTTCAGTACTGCACCATAGACTCCTCAACACTGCACCGTAGACTCAACACTGCACCATAGACTCAACACTGCCCATAGACTCCTCACTACTGCCCATAGACTCCTCAACACTGCACCATAGACTCCTCAACACTGTCCATAGACTCCTAAACACTGCACCATAGACTCCTCAACACTGCACCATAGACTCCTCAACACTGCCCATAGACTCCTCAATACTGCACCATAGACTCCTCAACACTGTACCATAGACTCCTCAACACTGTACCATAGACTCAACACTGCACCATAGACTCCTCAACACTGCCCATAGACTCCTCAACACTGCACCGTAGACTCAACACTGCACCATAGACTCAACACTACTGCCCATAGACTCCTCAACACTGCACCATAGACTCCTCAACACTGTCCATAGACTCCTAAACACTGCACCATAGACTCCTCAACACTGCACCATAGACTCCTCAACACTGCACCATAGACTCCTCAACACTGTACCATAGACTCCTCAACACTGTACCATAGACTCAACACTGCACCATAGACTCCTCAACACTGCCCATAGACTCCTCATCACTGCACCATAGACTCAACACTGCACCATAGACTCCTCAACACTGTACCATAGACTCAACACTGCACCATAGACTCCTCAACACTGCCCATAGACTCCTCAACACTGCACCATAGACTCAACACTGCACCATAGACTCCTCAACACTGCACCATAGACTCAACACTGCACCATAGACTCAACACTGCACCATAGGCTCAACACTGCCCATACTCTTCAACACTGCACCATAGACTCCTCAACACTGCCCATAGACTCCTCAACACTGTACCATAGACTCAACACTGTACCATAGACTCAACACTGCCCATAGACTCCTCAACACTGCACCATAGACTCAACACTGCACCATAGACTCTTCAACACTGCACCATAGACTCAACACTGCCCAGACTCTTCAACACTGTACCATAGACTCCTCAACACTGCCCATAGACTCCTCAACACTGCCCATAGACTCCTCAACACTGCCCATAGACTCCTCAACACTGCCCATAGACTCCTCAACACTGCCCATAGACTCCTCAACACTGGACCATAGACTCCTCAACACTGCACCATAGACTCAACACTGCACCATAGACTCCTCAACACTGCATCATAGACTCCTCAACACTTTACCATAGACTCCTCAACACTGCACCATAGACTCCTCAACACTGCACCATAGACTCCTCAACACTGCACCATAGACTCCTCAACACTGTACCATAGACTCCTCAACACTGCACCATAGACTCAACACTGCACCATAGACTCCTCAACACTGCACCATAGACTCCTCAACACTGTACCATAGACTCCTCAACACTGTACCATAGACTCCTCAACACTGCACCATAGACTCCTCAACACTGCACCATAGACTCCTCAACACTGCACCATAGACTCCTCAACACTGTACCATAGACTCCTCAACACTGCACCATAGACTCAACACTGCACCATAGACTCCTCAACACTGCACCATAGACTCCTCAACACTGTACCATAGACTCCTCAACACTGCACCATAGACTCCTCAACACTGCACCATAGACTCCTCAACACTGCACCATAGACTCCTCAACACTGTCCATAGACTCCTCAACACTGCCCAGACTCTTCAACACTGCACCATAGACTCCTCAACACTGCACCATAGACTCCTCAACACTGTCCATAGACTCCTCAACACTGTACCATAGACTCCTCAACACTGCACCATAGACTCCTCAACACTGCACCATAGACTCCTCAACACTGTCCATAGACTCCTCAACACTGCCCAGACTCTTCAACACTGCACCATAGACTCCTCAACACTGCACCATAGACTCCTCAACACTGTCCATAGACTCCTCAACACTGTACCATAGACTCCTCAACACTGCCCATAGACTCCTCAACACTGCACCATAGACTCCTCAACACTGCACCATAGACTCCTCAACACTGCCCATAGACTCCTCAACACTGCACCATAGACTCCTCAACACTGCACAATAGACTCCTCAACACTGCACCATAGACTCCTCAACACTGCACCATAGACTCAACACTGCCCATAGACTCCTCAACACTGCACCATAGACTCAACACTGCACCATAGACTCCTCAACACTGTACCATAGACTCCTCAACACTGCCCATAGACTCCTCAACACTGCACCATAGACTCAACACTGCACCATAGACTCTTCAACACTCCACCATAGACTCAACACTGCCCAGACTCTTCAACACTGTACCATAGACTCCTCAACACTGCCCATAGACTCCTCAACACTGCCCATAGACTCCTCAACACTGCCCATAGACTCCTCAACACTGGACCATAGACTCCTCAACACTGCCCATAGACTCCTCAACACTGCACGTATAGACTCCTCAACACTGCACCATAGACTCAACACTGCACCATAGACTCCTCAACACTGCCCATAGACTCCTGAACACTGCCCATAGACTCCTCAACACTGGACCATAGACTCCTCAACACTGCCCATAGACTCCTCAACACTGCACGTATAGACTCCTCAACACTGCACCATAGACTCAACACTGCACCATAGACTCCTCAACACTGTACCATAGACTCCTCAACACTGCACCATAGACTCAACACTGCACCATAGACTCCTCAACACTGCACCATAGACTCCTCAACACTGTCCATAGACTCCTCAACACTGCCCAGACTCTTCAACACTGCACCATAGACTCCTCAACACTGCACCATAGACTCCTCAACACTGTCCATAGACTCCTCAACACTGTACCATAGACTCCTCAACACTGCCCATAGACTCCTCAACACTGCACCATAGACTCCTCAACACTGCCCATAGACTCCTCAACACTGCACCATAGACTCCTCAACACTGCACAATAGACTCCTCAACACTGCCCATAGACTCCTCAACACTGCACCATAGACTCCTCAACACTGTCCATAGACTCCTCAACACTGTACCATAGACTCCTCAACACTGCACCATAGACTCCTCAACACTGCACCATAGACTCCTCAACACTGCCCATAGACTCCTCAACACTGCACCATGGACTCCTCAACACTGCCCAGACTCCTCAACACTGCACCATAGACTCAACACTGCCCATAGACTCCTCAACACTGCACCATAGACTCAACACTGCACCATAGACTCCTCAACACTGTACCATAGACTCCTCAACACTGCCCATAGACTCCTCAACACTGCACCATAGACTCAACACTGCACCATAGACTCTTCAACACTGCACCATAGACTCAACACTGCACCATAGACTCAACACTGCCCATAGACTCAACACTGTCCATAGACTCCTCAACACTGCCCATAGACTCCTCAACACTGCACCATAGACTCCTCAACACTGCCCATAGACTCCTCAACACTGCACCATAGACTCAACACTGCACCATAGACTCCTCAACACTGTACCATAGACTCCTCAACACTGCCCATAGACTCCTCAACACTGCACCATAGACTCAACACTGCACCATAGACTCCTCAACACTGCACCATAGACTCAACACTGCACCATAGACTCTTCAACACTGCACCATAGACTCAACACTGCCCATCGACTCCTCAACACTGCACCATAGACTCAACGCTGCTCATAGACTCAACACTGCACCATAGACTCAACGCTGCCCATAGACTCAACACTCTATAGAATCAACACTGCCCAGACTCAACACTTCCTCTGTACATTAAGCAGTCCCTCTTATGGACCTCCCCTCATTCCTCTCTTAAAGCCTCACCCCGCTTTCTCCCCGTCGCCCATTCCCTTCCGCTTCCCTCGCCCCTCCACTCCGTCCCTCCCCTGTAGCCCTCTCGTGACCCCCACGTGACCTCTGTCAGGGTCACTCATTCCTCGGCCCTTGCACTGCCCCTGCCATCTAAATCACTCGAATATTTTTTTGTTCCCGCTCTTAAACTCTGTTCGAGACAGCGCCTTGAGCTAAGAGGCGTGCTCTATAAATATGAAGTAAGATGAGGACTGACACGTGCGTGCGTGCGTGCGTGCGCACGGCGCCATTTAGGACACGGTGGTGGTGAACGACCGCTGGGGTGCCGGCACCTCGTGCCGGCACGGCGGCTTCTACAACTGTGCCGATAAGTTTGCGCCGGGCACGCTGCAGCGGCACAAATGGGAGATGTGCACCTCGGTGGACACGCACTCCTGGGGCTACCGCCGGAACATTCGCGCCGCCGACCTCCTCACCGGCCGTGACATCGTCGCGGTGAGCCGTCGTCGTCATCGTTGTCGTCGTCGTCGTCGTCACTGTCATCATCGTTCGCCGTCGTGTTCCACGTACACCATCGTAGTCGTCGTCGTCGTCGCTGTGTTATCCTCGTCATCTTTGTCATCGTTATCATCATTGTTGTCGTCGGGTCGTCTTCGTTATCGCCGTCGTCATCTTCAGTGTCATCATCTTTATCAACATCATCATCGCCATCGGTTTCATTGTCATCATCATAATCATCATTGTCATCGTCATTATCGTCAGCCATCATCCATCCGAGTCTCCCCGGCATAACGGAGGGCGGCTCTCCCCCCCCCCCCCCCCCCCCCCCCCCCCACCGTCGCTCGCCACAGGGCCTGCTGGAGACGGTGAGCTGCGGAGGCAACTACCTCCTGAACGTGGGCCCGTCGCGCGAGGGCTGGGTGGCGCCCGTGTTCCAGCGCTCGCTGCTGGCGCTGGGCGAGTGGCTGCGCGTCAACGGGGAAGCCGTCTACGGCTCGCGGCCCTGGCGAGCGCAGAACGACAGCTCCACGCCGGGGGTTTGGTGAGCGCCGTCGCCTCGCCGCCGCCGCCGCCGCCGCTCACCGCCTCGACTCTGGCCGCTCAGCCCCCCTCGCCTCCGGCAAGACGCTGTGGCCGTGGCCTCTGCTCCTCTCGCTCACCGCTCACGCTCGCTCATCATCCCTTTCTCACCACTCGCTCACCCCTTGGGTAGCATTCAGAGCCGGTCTTCTCTCCCCTCACTGGTCGGTGGGCTATGGACCCGGCGACCCGAGTTCATTTCTCGCTCGCCATGTGTCATGCCGGCGTTCTTAATAGGCGCTACTCACTAACAGCGCTTGCCCCAACGGCCCGTCATACGGGGAGATCTTTTGTCTTTGTGCGCTGGGTACCTGGTTGCAGGTACACGCAGAAGGGCGGCGTCGTGTACGCCGGCGTGCTCACCTGGCCCAAGGACAACATGCTGGTCCTCACGTCCGTGAAGGCCACGCCCTACACACAGGTAACGACCTCCGCAGGGTCATGGTCGGGTCGCGGTCGGGTCGGGGTCAAGGTCTGGGGTCACAATCAGGTCGCGGCCAGGTCACGGTCAGGTCGCCACGAATCAGTCTTGGGTGACATTCAGAGCATTTAATCAAATCAGTCGGTTATTGGACAAATATTGTAATGGACTGTGTGGTCCATGATTCGCTCTGCTTTAAAAATGTGGACCTTCCCTGACCTCCTGCCTCCTGACACCTGAAGGCAGGAAACCCCTGACAAGCCACGCCCAGAGGGACAGTTTACTTTGTTTGGCTGTGTCGGGTGGTGGGAAGGCATAACGACACAAATCTGGCCGAAGTATTAGTCGGGCCTAACCAACAAAATATCCATTATGAATTGCGTGTCTGCGCGTCTGTGTGTCTGCGCATCCGTGTGTCTGCACGTCCGTGTGTCTGCGTGCGTGTGGGGGAGCGGTGGCACGATGATTAGCGCACCACGCTACAAACCCTCCGACCGCTCGAGTTCGATACCCGCTTACCGGCCACCAACACACAGGTGACAATTATCTGAACCAGTCCTGGGCCTGGTCGCTTCAAACATCGGCGCCTAGGGGGGAGACAAAGGCGGCCGGGCACGGTGCCGGCCATCCTCCCCGTTCGTGTGCCGTGCCTTCGTAGGCGCTACTCGCTACTAACAGCACTTGCCCCAACAGTTCGTGAAGGCTATACGGTGGGGGGTGATCTTTGTCTTTGTGCGTGCGGTCACAAGGTGTCGCTGCTGGGGTACCCGGATGGCCTGAGGTGGCGCTCGGAGGGTGCCCTCGAGGTTTGGCTGCCCCCTGTCGCTCCGTCCGCCGGGCCCTCGGCCCTCGCCTGGGTGCTGCGCCTGCTGAACGTCGAATAGATCTTCGCACCGGCGGAATCGGCGAGATTCCGCGTGAGAATGAATTAAACGCACACCTGATTTGTCACCATCTGTGGTGGTCGTCACAGTCGTCTCTGCTCCCCGATGTTTCTCCCAAATCGGCTGCTGCTCTTGGGCGGTGCTGATGCCAGCGCCGGATTATTCCAGTAGCACAAGTAGCTACATATGTCGCTACACAAGTAGCTACACATGTAGTAGCTATGGGACCCGCACTTTCAAGGGCCCCGTGCTAAATGCTTTCAAGCTATCAATTCCGATTCAGTGATTCTGCACTTCCTCTATTACTATAGCACTATACCACCTTCAACTTTTATGAACGACTGGTTGTTTAAGGTTAGCGATTTGTCGTATTATCTGGCTGTATAGCAAATGAAAAAATACAATTACTTTACTATGCAAGTTAAACATTTATGTTTCAATATTTCTTTCTTTTTTATTTAGGGCCCCTTTATAACATCAAGCTAAGGGCCCCCCACACTAGCTGAATCCGGCACTGGCTGATGCCCGGTGAGAATCTCAGGAGACGTCTGTCGTGTTCGTGATGAGTGTCGAGCGTTCCGCATGAAGACGGAAGCACGTGCGATTCTGAAGCCAATAAAGAATTTACACTTTTCACGCGTGTGCACGAGAGTACACACGAGTGTGCGCGAGTACGCACGTGTGCGCGTGTGTGTTGGCGATCGGTGCTCGCTAACAGCGCTTGCCCCGACGGTCTGTCAAGGCTACGTGGAGGATCCTTGTCTATTGTTTCGTGGGGGAGCATTGGTAGGCAGCTGAGGGACAGTGGTTCGCACACGACGATACGAATCTCGCTCGCGGCCAACGCCAGTGACGTGGTCCTGAAGCGGTCCTCGCCCGACTCGGACTCAAATGAGCACCAAGCACAGTGTGCAAGCATCACCACTGGGGAGACAAAGGCGGCCGGGCGGGGTGTTGGCCACCCACCCTCTCGGTGCCGGCCTTAATAACAGCACTTACCCCTGCAGTCTGGTAAAGACATTGGGGGGGGGGAGAGGAGGGGGTTGATCTTTGTGAGGCTGCATTGGGTAGTTGCTTCTGTGGGAGTGGTGGTGTCCTGGCGAGCGAACGGCGCTTACAAACCCAGCGACCCGAGTTGAACACCCGGCCATGAGTAACTTCAGCAGAGGTGGGCAATCTTGCGCAGGCCCTTCTGCAAGCAATTGCAGGGCTGCGCATTTATATATTTATTTTTTACGACCTCATTCGTGACCCAAACATCGCAACCTCCTGGCTTTGACATTCCTACTCCTTGAAGACACCGGTGGTGGTGCAACCGCCAACCGCGTCAGAACATCGGCAGGCCTTCCCCTTCCTGAATGCAAACTTTAAGACGCGAGCCACCCAAACCGTGGATCGCACGGCAAACCCACTGAGGGCCGAGCCCCTTCGACGACGGCCGAGGAGGATGAGGGAATGGCAAAGCGACGCGAACGAACTGTGCCCAAGTCGTCTGCTCGTGGCGAGCGGCGGAGCCCTGGTCGCGTGGTCACTCGGCTCGGGAGGGCAACGGCGCGGCCGCCACGCGCAAGGAGCAGATGCGGCCACGAGGTGGCGCCAGGCTTCGACTTTTACCAAAGTGGGCGGGGGGGGATTCATGACACGGTGGCGGCTGTTAACCGTCGTATATTTTAAACTAAATATTAAATAATGACTTGTTTATCCGGGAAAGCCACACTGAGTTCGTATGAGCCTTCGTCAGGAGGGTTCTCCTGCTACACTTGAGTTTTTTTTTGTTTCGTTAAGATGTTCTCAGACAATTCATGCGGAGTTGTTTGTTATAGTGGGGGAGGAAACGGGAATACCTGGAGAAACCCCACGCCTTGCGCGAGGGAGGAACGTTCTATCCCCGTGCAGATGTCAACAGATGGCGATGAGTCCACTCGCTGTACCGCCTTCTCCTGGCGAGCCAGGGTACGGCACCTCGACGCTCACGGGAAGGGAGTTTCGCACCATCTGTGTGTGTGTGTGGTGATCCACCACTCCCTCGCTGCTCCCTCGACAGTGCTGGATCACAGGCGGTAGCCACGTGCAGCAGCAGCACAGCCACCACCGCCCGGCTAAATAAAGTGTGCCGCGTAGCCGAATGGACTCATGAGAGGCGAGTGATGTTGGCGAGCGCCTGTTATATAGGCACGGTGGATTGTGGGATTGAGTGCAGTGATTGGTGACGGGCGGTTGAAAAACCGGGATCTGAACCGAGGTTCTCAGCGGTGTCGGCTCGGCGTGCCACTAGGGACCACCCCAATGCGCCACCGCGCGCTACCTTCATCCCGCGTCAGGATCATGGCCAGAGCCGTCGACGGCACCACCGCCACCGCCGCACGAAACTCCCCAATCTCCTGCTCCCCTCCGCCAGATCTTGACATCTGCTGCGCGGTTGACCAACTCGACCTGCGTTCCCAACACGGTCTCCCACCATCTGCTCCGAGAGTCCCTTTAAATAGTCCCCACAGCACCCTTCGCCTCGATCCGGGCTGGCCTCGTGAGGACCATCGCACCCAGCTGATCGTGTGGATCATGCCGTGGCCGATCGTGGGTGCCGTGATGGCACGCACGATCTGCGTTGATCGCGAGCGGCCAGATGAGTGGAGTGCAGGAGGAGGATCGGTGAGTGACAGACGGGGGCCCTGCTCGCGCTGGAGATTGCGGCGCTCGCCTGCCTGGGGTTTAATGAGCGCGCGTGTTGGGGGAGCGGCGGCGCAGTGGTTAGCGCGACGCGCTACGAACTCGCTGGCCCGAGTTCGATTCCCCAGCCCACGATCAACACGAGTGATGAATGTCTGAACCGGTGCGGGGCCTCCCCCTAGGCCGACTCAGCCTCGAATGAGCACCTGTACGGTGTGTAAACTAGGAAGACGGAGGCGGCCGCGCGTGGTGGAGGCCACCCATCTCCTCGTGTGCCCCCGTAGGTGTTCGTTAACGGCCAGAAGAGCCTGTTAAGGATACACGGGGGATCTTTGTCTTGTGTGGGGAGCGGTGGCCGTAGTGGCCAGCGCAATGAGCCACGATCCCGGCGTCTCGACTTCCCGCTCACGGTGAACGCCATCGATGGATACTTACACCGGGTTGGGGCCTCCCCCAGGTCGACTCAACCTCAAACGAGTACCTGGTGCGGTGCGTCAAAACATCGCCACTAGGGAAGACAAAGGCGGCCCGCGTGACGCGAGCGACACCACCGCACCCGTGCGCCGTGCCGGCCTTCTTCATGGATGCTCGCTGACAGCACCTTCCCTGACAGCCTGCGAGGCTGTGGGTGTGTGTGTCGGTACGTGTGTTTGTGTGCGACATGAGTTCGACAGACACCCGTACAGAGAGCATCTCGTCTCGGGTCATCCTCCTCTCATTCCCATCGCTTGCCCCGTGTCTTTACGAGGATAGGTCGGCGTCCAAGTACATGGCTGGGTTTTGTTTTCATGTTGAACTTCTTTCGTACCGTACGTAGTGTATAGTGCAGTGTATAGTGTAGTATGTTTGTTGAACTTCTTTCGTACCGTACGTCGTGTATAGTGCAGTGTATAGTGTAGTATGTTTGTTGAATTTCTTTCGCACCGTACGTAGTGTATAGTGCAGTGTATAGTATAGTATGTTTGTTGAATTTCCTTCGCACCGTACGTAGCCAACCGTGCTCATCGGGAGGTGCAGGGGAAGGGCAACAACTAAACACTGGAAGCAGCTGTAAAGAAATTAGTTTTCGATCGAGATAGCTCCACTAGCTCTCAGCAACCGTATCTGATGATCATGATGATGGCACGGCTTTTTAACTGAGTACATTTACCACCACCACCTGCAGCACTACCAACACCACCACCACCTGCAGCACTACCAACAACACCACCACCACCACCTGCAGCACTACCAACACCACCACCACCTGCAATACTACCAACACCACCACCTGCAACACTACCAACACCACCACCACCTGCAATACTACCAACACCACCACCTGCAACGCTACCAACACCACCTGCAGCACTACCGCCACGACCACCACCTGCAGCACTACCAACACCACAACCTGCAGCACTACCAACACCACCACCTGCAGCACTACCAACACCACCTCCTGCAGCACTACCAACACCAACACCTGGAGCACTACCAACACCACCACCACCTGCAGCACGACCAACACCACCACCTGCAGCACTACCAACACCACCTGCAGCACTACCACCACCACCACCTGACGCACTACCAACACCACCACCTGCAGCACTACCAACACCATCACCACCACCTGCAGCACTACCACCACCACCACCTGTAGCACTACCAACACCACCACAAGCAGCACTACCAACACCACCACCACCTGCAACACTACCAACACCACCTCCTGCAGCACTACCAACACCACCACCACCTGCAACACTACCAACACCACCACCTGCAGCACTAACAACACCACCACCTGCAGCACTACCAACACCACCTCCTGCAGCACTACCAACACCACCACCTGCAGCACTACCAACACCACCACCAACACCACCTGCAGCACTACCAACACCAACACCTGCAGCACTACCAACACCACCACCTGCAACACTACCAACACCACCACCTGCAGCACTACCATCACCACCACCTGCAGCACTACCAACACCACCACCTGAAGCACTACCAACACCACCACCACCTGCAGCACTACCAACAACAACCGCCATTCGCCACTAAGTGGCGTTGACGTCACCACGACGCATGTGCCAAGCCATGTGCACCTTGAGGCCACGTGAAGTGTCGAACGCCCGCGGGCAGGAGGTCACGGGGCAGACCCAGGTGCCACTGACTGAGATGACTGGCTGGTGCACCACCTGTGCCCCCTACTGTGCCAACCTGCTGTGCTTTAGCCACCCGGCGCTCCGCTCGTTGTTGTGATCGTCGCTCCTCCGCCCTCCGTTGTTGTTGGAGGGCGACTGCCTCCAACTGCCCAATAGCGTCCTTCACGAGCCTCCTCCACAGAGGCCGATCTTGACACCGCTGGTACCAGTCATTGGCAAGTCCACTCAGCTCCACGTCCTCCTGTACCACATCACTCCATCTCTTCTCTAGCCCGTGCCGTGCCCGTTAGCCCCCTCGATCCGGCCGAACAAAAGCTGTTTCGGCATGTGGTGGCTGGGCATGCGGGCTACATGACCCAGCCAACGCAGCCTTGCCTGCCGGAGGAGCTCACCAATGGGACCTTGCCCAGATCTTTCAAGGATTTGT